AGTAAAGCCAAATTTTCATACTATATAAGTTTTTAGTAGATTTTAGCTGTACATTTTTTTTAAATATTTTAAAAAAATATTCTGTTTAAATATTACAGGCTCCTGCTAGCGTGTAGCGTCAGGCTGAGCAGCACTGCTTTCCCTTTGTTCCCTTCAACAACTATTTCAGCTGCAGTTATTAAAGTCGATAATCAGGAAAGACATTTATTGTCCCTTAACAGGATTGTAACACATCCTTTAAATACATCTCTCTCTCTCACACACACACACACACACACACACACACACACACACACACACACACACACTGTCAGCAGTGGTCTGAGACTTCCCTCGGTTCCCTGAGCCTGAGTGTTATCTGACATTAGAAACACAGTCCTGTAGTGATGCAGTGTCGACAGGCTCGGCTTATTTGTAACTTCCTCTTCATATTTGTATTTTAGCTTTACTGCAAATTGTGCCATTGACTACCAAATTAACCTTGGTGTGTAGTTTTTTCTCTTGACTGGAATGCAATTGACAGAGAGAGCCATTTTGTATTTGAACAAATACAGGACGGTGACCTAAGCAGTTTTAGTCAGACTAATTTAGAAATACAATTCTTTCATCTGTCCTCTGATCGTCAGACAGTAGAAGGGAGGTGCATTAGTACATCTGACCATCTGCTCTTCCTGTTTTTTACATGACAAATTGTGTGAATAAAAGGGAATGAAAGTGAATGAAAATGATTCCTTTAGAAACAATCCATCATTTGAACAGTGCCAGCTTTTTAAGGGGTGAGGGGGTGGAGGAGAGGGGAAAGAGAAATACATGACTGCCAGTACCTCGATGGAAGGGAAGTATGTTGGGCATGTTATTAGATTCTGACTATCAGTCCATTTCAGACTAAGATCATAATTGCAGGTCCATTGAGACCTCTAGTGGCAACACAATTGCTACATTCAATCTCCATTGGGATTATTATCAGGAAGAAACCTGTTTAAGCAAATTTGCACACAAGCAAGTTAGTTTCCAAGAGAGACTGTTTTAGAATGTTAAAAAGGCAGTTGATGTTAACCCAGGGATCCTAAAACATTTACAGCTGAAGCAGTCATGCCTTGAGTAGATTTGGGTTATATATATACAGATTCCACCCGTTAGGCCCTGTCTTCTGTTTCCGTGTGTGTGTGTTTTCAGTTGCTTTCCTTATTTCAGGTAGCTCTGAAAAAGTGACTTTGTTGGTGGACATGCTGGGTCAAAATGTACAAAACAAAATGTCTTCTAACACATCGGAGGCCTTGACTAAGTTCTATCTTTAGTTGTTCTGGCTTTTTTCTCCTCCTTTAAAGTTTTTACACAGTTGTCAGGTGGCGCTTTATTTACTGAGGCCAGTTCCTGAAAGAGAGGCTGCTGGGAGGCATCTGCCCATCATACAGAAAGGCAAGCCTCTTTAGTTACAGGTGCTTGTTAAAAACCCAGTCAGAATTCCCATTGGTGTAAAAAATAAAGAATTGTGAGCTAATTCAGTGAATTGATACATGCACGTCGCTGTTGTTATACTTGTTAAACTGTTTTTAAAAAATATATATTTATTATTTTTTTATTTTACAACCAGTATATTCTATTAGTGGTTAAAAACTTTTCAAATTAGGATTTCTTGCTCTGGTTAAGTCCACATTTTGTGAAACCTGTGCACAAGTTAATCGGTGTCAACTCAAATGCATCTCGTGTTCATTTCCACTCTCTCTGGATAAGGGATCTGTGGACCCATTGCTGCTTCCAGCCAGCCATGTGTCTAATCTGCCTGGTTTCATACGAGGTCTTCCAAATGCTGAAGCACGTGATGACGATAATCTCCATCACCTTTGTGCATCCAGTATTTTGGCAACACTTTGGGAACGGCCCTTTCTTCACGGTATTAGCGTGCGTTTAGAATCGTCTATAAAGAATAAGCAGATGAGCATAGAATGTAATACTCCGTCCACATACTTTTGACTTTGAGCTCTTGGCAAAGCATGAAACGCAGTAAACCTTTTTGTGCTCTTTGTGTTTCAGACGAAGAGCCTCGGTGCCCGCTAAGGACCTGAATCCGACTCAGGCGATGATCTGAATCACTGTGGGACGACAAAGGAAAGTCCAGGTGTAGTTTGGGTTTTGGAGGCGCACGGATGAGGAGAGCACGAATCAGGAACCACGACTAGCACGTCTGGTGATGCTGTAGCAGCACGGAATGGTTTGTGGGTTACTGTGAGATGCAGGCCATGCTGTGCTGCCGCAAAAAAGCCAGAGAGTACGGCGGACCGGCTCCTGTTTCACCACTTGGAGCGCGCCATTTGCTTTTAGTTAATAGTTATTAAGGGTCTGGGCGGGTGCTGCTCAGATGGTTGTAACTTTTAGGGACTCCTATCACTGGTGGCTGTACTGTAGCAGCACGTAAATATTGGAGTTAAGACTAGATGAAGTCTCCAGTATTAATCGTGCTGCTGAAGCAAAGCTGACCACTGCTCAGTATCCGGCTAAAGGGTGGGTGCGCGCGCTTTAGGTTCCTCCTAATAATCTGTCATACAATCTGATACACAACTATGTTGCAATAATATTTTTTTGTTTTTTCTTTCTTTGTCTGGGGAAATAAAAGTTTAAAGTGCTTTTGTCTTTTTATCTTTTTTTTATTTTTCTAATCTTTTATCACATAACGGTGAACTCGCAGCCGTCTGTGAAAATGCTTGTCTTTCGTTCCTGGGACCCCCATAAGCCCCAGAACCCCCCCCCCCGGCCTCCCCCCCAAAGCCGGCCGAAGCGCGTCCCGGCCCGCGTGGCTCCGCGGCAGCGCCCGGTCACCAGGACCCGAGACCCGGGACCAGATGTGCTTCCGAGTCAAAAGATGACAAACACGATTTTTAGTTATGGGAACGTAAATTGCATATGTCTTGTGAGAAAATGTCCCCCCTTTAAAAAAAAAAAAAGGATTTTGAATAATCGTATTTTTAGTATTATTGCTGAATCTTCCATGAAAAGCAAACTGCGGTTCTTCAGCTTATAAAATGGCGTCCTGCAACACTGACTTTAATTTTCCCCCACAAGTAAATAGAATTCACATACCTCAGATGAGACGGTTTTTAATTTTTTTTTCATACATCCAGGGATAAAACTTCGCTATCCGATAATAAACAGCGGAGCTTTTTGTGAAATGCTGGCCCACATCTGGATATTATGACACGACCGTACAAATTTCTTATCAATAGATTCGTTATTTAACTTTTCTGGAATATATATAACTACACTGAGGGTCTATTTCGATGCCGATACTTTTTACATTAGATTGAAATATTTTACAGATTACGATCTAAGTGATTTGCTTCTGAACAGTCTTCAAACTGGCATGTGTTTATCGCGAGGCCCCGTTTTATACCGTCTATTATATAGAGAAAAATACACACTGAAGAATTTCTCATAATTGTGGCCCTTTTTAGGCCTTTTTCTGATTGAGATCATCTTTTCAAATTTAAGAAGATTTGCGCAGCTATAATTACGGTGAGTAAGGAATTAAGGGATTTGGCTGGTGTGGCTTTCTTTTCTTTTTCTTTTTTTTATTCATATAATTCCCGAGATAAAATCTACCCATTTCAATAACCTTTTTTATTTTCTTAATATCTATAAACAAACGTCTACGCATCAGTTTTTTAGAAATGGCATTTGGTCGATTTTGCTGTGCTTTAAAAAAAGAGAATTTTCTCTTATTTTTTATAATCGATTTACGAAATTTATAGGAGACTGCTTCTCCCATTTGTTTCAATGAAATGAAGGAATCCGTGTATCATGTTATCACTGATTTCTTTTTTAAACGCACCCTCATTTCTCAGCTCGCATCTAAATATGCTCAAATCGTTTATTTCAGTGACTTAAATTCCATAATCTTTTTTTAAATCACACATTAGGTCCTATTTCTCTCTACACGTGTGTGTTATATAACCTGTACAGCTAAGAATGGAGAAGGTGCCTTCACCCCCCGCCTGTTATTCGGTTTTTACATGAATTACTGTCTTTATTCAGATCTAAATTGTCCTCCAACTGTTTAAAATTAAATACAAACTTCTTTTTTAATTGCAGGCCTATCGTGACTTCTTGCAGCAAAGAACGAGTGTGATCAGGTCAAGATGATGGTCACTGATGGTTGTTTTTCTCATCAGCTCTCATCAGGCCCATGCTGGAGCTTTTAGATAAATCTGCAGAATATTGTTCATTTAGCCGTTTTCAAGCATGGATCATAAACATTTTTCCCTGGCTGCATTTGATTTGTGATGTTTTGCACTTGAAATATAAATGTGGGTTATTTCCATCCTGCATTTGCCTGGCAACACAAATCTATATATATATGTGGCTTATGTGTGCATACGCGCGCGTGGACGTGTGAGCTGTGTGTGACGTAGGCTGGGTCCTGAACCACGGTCAGCTCTGACATCGCCGGATGCACTTTGTGGCTTTAGGATTTTCCTCCCATCCCCAGGCATCCCGATAGATTGGATAGATTGGGGGAGTAAATGACCCCCACGTTCACACCTCACAGCTCCCAAAACTGATCAAAAGCAAAAAAAACATCAATCATTTCTCCTCCATTCCCACACTGAAAGTGTCTCGTCCCTCATATTTCTGGCTGCAAACAAGCTGCAGGTTTTCGACCTGATGGGTCGGAAGCGTTACGTAACAACTGAGCTGCGCGAGCAGGAGATGGAGGAGTGAGATGTTAAAAAAGAAAAAAAAAAGACTGCTCCTGAAAAGGGAATTTAACCGGTGATGTCGTGGCTTTCGGGTTTCCCGAAAAAAGCATCACACAGAGGTGTTGTTTTTTTTCATTTTCACTCTCGCACTTTTTTCTTTTTTTCTCTTCTGCAGGATGCTGAATCTCTCACGCGGAGCCCTGTTACGTAACGTGCGTAACCTTGAGGAGGCGCAGAGGGCCGCGGACTGCGCCTCACAGCAGCTGCAGGTTTGATCCCAATAAAGCAAGCAGAATGGAAAAGGGACCCATTTTTCTCAGGTTTATTTGTCGAGGTCAACTTTTTTGACAAGTAGAAAAAGAAGTGTAGTGGTCGGAGTATTAAAAAAAGAAGAAGAAAAAAAGAAATGAAATAGTGTGCACTTTCGTTTGAGGTGATTTGTTTTAGCGTCAGCTTTTTTGTAAATCTATACGCACCTCTGAGGATTTAGGGGTTGATTTTTTGTTCGATTGTATACGTGAGGTTTCACTTTGAGCAACGACAAAAAAAGGCAAATTAAATCAAAATCAACAAAACTTAAAAACACACATAAAAGACGCTGTAAACACGTTTCCTTACATCCACTATAACTCAAGGGGGTCCCTTGGGAATTATCACGTCGCTGGGAGGGGGGGGGGGGCAAAAAAACCCTACTTGGAATCACTTTAAAGGGCCAGTGAAGTGGACAGTGGAGTCACTGAGCCACTCCACCAGCTTCTGGCCACTCAATCAGCCTCAAGCACGCGTCGGTCAACTTCCGAAAGCGTGAAGGATCGGCCTCATGGAACGCTTCAATCATGGAGGCCAGGTCGGATACAAAGTTGGTGGACAGCAGCAGCAGTAGGAAAAGCGCGAGGAGCAGGAAGGGAACCAGCCACCGCGCGAGCCGCTTTGGAGCGGCCGGCCGCGGGCCGCCGGTCCGGTAGGACCCGCTCTCGTGGGGGACGGAGATCTTGTCCACCTCGCAGAGCCGCAGGGAGTCCCACTGCTGGACGTCGAAGTCGCAGACGAACGCGCATGCGCGCGCTTCTCTCCCGGAGGACGGCGGGGTCTCTTTCAGCACCTGCAGCCTCTCGCGGAACTCCTGCATCCGCTGCAGGAAGCACAGGGGGTCCGACACGCCCCGGACGGACTCCGCGAGGCTGAGCGCGCGCTTCTGCTCCTCCAGGGCCGCGCTCAGCCGCGTGATCTCCGGGTCGTACGCCTGCATCACCACCAGCCGCAGCGTCTCGAAGTCGGACGAGATCTCGCTCCTCTTGCCCTCCAGCGCGGCCACCAGCCTGTCGAAGTAGTCCGCCACCTTCTCCGCGTCCCGGCCCACCGCCTGCAGCGCGCTCTTCTTGGCGGCCTGCAGCGTCTCCAGGCTGGACAGCGCGTCCGCACTCCGCCAGCCCTCCACGCCGCGCAGCAGCTCCCCGAACGCCGCCTTCTCCCGCTCGTACGCGTCCTCCAGGGAGCTGAACGCGTGGCCCCGGTGCTCCCCGGTGGTGGCGCAGAAGCCGCAGATGAGCTTCAGGTCGGTGGCGCAGAAGATGTTGAGCGGCTGCTCGCGGTGCCGCGCGCACACCGACGTCTTGGGCAGGACTTTGATCTTGCTGAACTTCTCCACGATCCCGCGCAGGGAGTAGTTGATCTGCAGGCTGCCGGCGCCGTTGTGCGGGCTCTCTTTGCGGCACGTGGGGCACTTCAGGGGCGCCCTGGAAGCCGGACCGCGGTGCCCCTCCATCAGTCCCTCCAGGCATTTCTTGCAGAAGCTGTGGGAGCACAGCAGCACGCGCGGGTCCTCGAACAGACCGCAGCACACTGGACACGTGAGCTCCTCTTCCAGCTGCTCCATCGCGCCCTGCAAACACATCACCCCGCGCGCGTCAAACAAGAGCTTAATTTAGACAGAGAAAAACCAATAAATCAACACCCGATAAAACTAAGGGGGGTGGGGGTCGGTAATACGCACCCACACGCACGAGGGATGCTGACCCTCTGAGGCAGAGAACCCGTAAATTACACAGGGGGAAAACAACCCTAGCATCGCAAAGGATACAGGCATCTGCAGTCAGCTTCCAGATGTGTTATTCCAAGCTTGAAAGTGAAACTGAACCGCGTCGCCGCGCGCGCGTAAAAGAGCGACACGGGTCCTTCCAAGGGCTCCGCGCGCGCCTTTGGAGGCTGAGCGACATCCTGCTGCTCCGGTGGCTCTCCGCTGCCGGAAAGCGCCCGCAAAAAGCTCGCGACAGCCTCAGAGAGCCGGCGGCCACTGGACGGGATGGATGTGAAAAACTCTTTAAAATCAACGTCGATCTTCCGTCGACATATATCGTCGCGGAGGGCGGCGGCGGGACGGTCGGTTAGCCGAGTTTTAGCCCTAAAGTTTGCGGGTCTCCACCCGACCAATCCAAACGCGACGAAACTACCGACGAACGGGCGCTCGCGCTCTGCTCCCGCTCCCGTTGGCAAGGCACCGGAGGAAGGGCTGTGACAGATTTCGCGAGGCGCATAGTAACATGCAACCACTGGACCGAGAGAATCACACTCACCAGCTGCTGAGACGCTCAGCGCGACGCAATCATGGCGCTTGTTGCTGTGCAGACTTCGCCCTCTTCCGGGTTTCGCCGTTAACCGTTTAGGCCGCGCGCGCCGATCCCCGAACCGGCCCGGGTCGTGCGCGTCTGTGCGCGCGGACGCGGCGGGGCTACAAGTCCCCCCTCAAACGCCAAGCACAACCGCACCTGGGTCTATTTTTACTTTTTTTTTTAACCGATTCCTATTAAAGTATATGTGATTTTACGTTTTCTCAACTTCTGGGGAATTTTCGGACGGTCCCTGCCGGTCTGGGTGGATGGAGGGAGGGGTGAGGGAGAGCAGGAGGTGGGGGGTGGAAGGGAGGGGGGAGGGAGCTGTTGCTATGCAAAACATTACAGCGTGAAAAACTGTCAACGAGATCGCAGTCCCACAGTCCGGAGTCACGAGTCTCAGCCGCCTCCGTGGCCAGGCATCGACAATCGCAGCTGTGGGACGTTAAGGTGATGAAAAAAGGGGAAAAAAAGAGCGAGTGTGGCTGCTCAGCTGCTTTTAACTGACATTAAAAAAGGAAGAAAAAAAACAACACCGAGAAGCCCTGAACAGATGGGTTCATTATCCAGGCTCAGTGCGTGTGAACGTACACTTAAGACATCTAAAACATGTTGTGGACCGGCTCCATCGCACATGACTGAGAATAAACTTTCTGAGTGGGCAGTGGCAAGTGATGACCGCTGACACGACCGACCCCGCAATCTAAATGCACCATCTTTATCCCATTATCCACTTTCAGTTCACACCGGGTTATGTAACATCGACACCCAATAGTTACTTAGTCACGTGGAGAAATTTTGACCTTGATTTTCTTCCCTTGTTTCCATGCCATCAGGAGCAACTGCCTGTCTTACCCGCTGTGATTGGATACACTGAGGAGGTAAGGGGGCTTATGTAATTCCGCCCTCCACCGCCGGGGGGCGCTGTTGTGGCGCCGGAGGCTTTTGGCGTTTGACGCCGACCGCTCTTTTTTTGTTTTTTTTTTACGGCACGACTTTCTTTCCGGATGTTTGGTCGGCGCTCGAGCAAGAATGGCTGCGATGTTTACGTGTTGCTTCAGCTGCTGCGGGGAAGGTGGAACGGGGCATATTCCCCTCAAAGAGATGCCCACCGTCCAGTTGGACACCCATCACATGGGTAAGCGATTTTGAAGTGACTTACGACGGTTGACACGGACACGCAGTCGCCTGGCTGCCAGTTAGAAGGCGGTTTTTTTCCTCGTCCAAAGACACGTTTAGCTTCCGCGCTAATAGCTACTCGTGCTATCGTCGCCTTGAATACACGGTGTCGTGGTTTTATCTTTTTTTAAATTTTTTTTTACAAACATCAATTGAAGCTAAATATCAAATCATAGTTGTTGTGTATACTTTTAGGCTCGTTAAATAGCACGCAATGCTAACTTCGGAAGACATTGAAACCACATTTGTAAGGGTCTACCTTTCCTTTTATATAAAAATGAAAGCATACGTTCAGAAATATTAGACATATAGTTTATTCTGCTCTTGTAGAAGGACGACATCCGTGCGTCTTGTGCGCAGCAAACAAAGTAGTCAACACAACCTAAACAGCAAGTCAACACCATTAAAAGCCAATGGTAGAAGGTAGGATGTGTAAAGCACCACAAGCTGTAGAGTACTGGAATTATACGTTTATAAAACTTACTTAAGTAAATGTATTATCGACTTTTAGAATAAATATTGAAATGAGGACATATAAATTCTGGAAAGAAGTCCTTTCCTGTTACCATTTATCGAATCACAACATACTGTTGTTGTTATCACGTTTTTCTTATCAGGACATCATTTATATAAAAGTTAATTTCACCTCAAATGGACAACATGTGGCATTACATCATGTCATGTATTTTCCAAAATCTAAAGCAAAATGTAGATGTCTTGTGTGGTAATACTGAGCCTTTCTCCACCAAACCATCTTAACAAACCATATTTGTTTAGTTTTTTCTAATGATAAAGCCTTAAGCTTTAGCACTGAACATACCAACTGAAGTCTGATGTGTGTGTATGTCAGGGACATTACTGGGAGGCCCACTCCTCAGAATATTGGCCAGAAACGGTTGCCTTCGAAGACTTGTTTTGGATGTAAAATCAGAAAAGTAAATGGACAGAAATGTAAAATGTGGGCTTGACACTGTTCTCTTGCAGGCACTGATGTTGTCATCGTGAAGAGCGGCCGGAGGATATGTGGCACCGGAGGCTGTCTGGCCAATGCTCCTTTGCACCAGAACAAAAGTTATTTTGAGTTTAAGATCCAGTCCTCTGGTGAGTGCTTCATTTGAGTTTTTATTGTTATTTTATCAAAGTGTCTTTATTCTCCATCTGCCACACAGATTTTCCAGTGCATGATTTGTGGGCATTATCTGCTGCACGCTGCAGTTTTTTAATAGTCACCTCGTCCTGTGACTGCACGCTGCTATGATTCAGCCTCACTGATTCAGCTCCCGACTGCCTCTGCGAACACCAATGCTGTTGTTTTCTTAATATAAGTGCACTGTAGTAATTGTGTTAAAGATTACTTTTGTGCTTTGCCTTAAGGTGTGTGGGGAGTCGGTGTGGCCACCCAGAAAGTCAACCTTAACCAAGTGCCTTTAGGCAGAGACACAAACAGCTTAGTCCTGAGGCATGACGGCTCTGTGTACCATAACAACGAGGAGAAGAATCGGCTACCAGCGAATAGCCTTCCCCAGGAGGGTGACATCGTGGTGAGTGTCCCCAATTAAGCTTTTTAAGTTCAACAACTCCAGCTCGGGAGAAGGTTTAGTGATGCAGTAGCTTTGTTCGGTCAAATCACCCATGAGTCGTGACATGTTAATACACAAAGGGCTTAAAGTGATCAAAGCTAAATGGGATGCAATAGAAATATATTTTATCTATTCTTTTTTTTGTTAATTTTATTCCAAGCTGCCATTTGCTGCACACACACTTACACACACACCTATTTTTCTTTTCTATCAGACTGTGCGTCACCTCTCTGCAGCAATGCCCACTCAAGTTGCTCCTCATCACAAAAGCGCTCCCACCCGCTTTGGTTATGACTAAACAGCAGAAAGATGAAAGCAAACTTGTCAGAGCTCACAAAAGCATTGTTAGATTATGCAAATCAGTCTTCATTTATCTAAACTAGGATTTGCTCATTCCCTTTTGTTCTACGCCTTTATGTGTTGATGGAGAGCCCGGTTCAGAACAAAGAAAGTGTCAATGTGACATCAGCTTAAGGCATTGAAATGAGTTTTTTTACAGCTGCTCTGCAGACTCCAGTTATTAGAGTCACAGTGCAGGAATACCAAGAGCAACACGCTTATGTCAGTTTCTCCTCTCCTCTCCTTTTATCGCATGATAAATGAGCCTATGCTGACCACGGCCTCTGACTGTTGCCTGTGGGCTCACTGGGCAGCATGAAAAAACCCGCATTCACAGGTTACATGCTCACTGTAATAACCGTTTATGGAACAGTGGCCAGAGAAAAGAAATAAGACGACCTTTAATGACAGTTTCCCCAACTTTTTTTTTTCAATGACTAATTTGTGTGAAAGTAACTGATGTCATTGGCATGCTGTTATAGTGACTTTTATTGAATTGTAAAATGTTTCCTGACCCCCTTGGGAGCCAAGCCGTAGGTCCCATTTAGTCAGCCTCGCTATATTTGTGTACCAACAGTTAAATCTCAAGTAGATGAGAAAGCAGCTGCTGAAAACTTTCTAGTAGTGTATGATTAAGCTAAAAAGCCCCCCAAAGAAGTAATGAACCTTCATCTTCATTCAGAGATGAAGGTGTGTGTTTTTCACAGAAAGACGAGGTTATCCAGCATAATGCTGTGTGCTCACATGTGTGTCTGTGTTTTTCAGGGCATCACGTACGACCACGTGGAGCTGAATTTATATCTGAATGGGAAGAACATGCATTGTCCTGCCTCAGGTATCAGGGGCACCGTGTACCCTGTTGTTTATGGTACGTGTACTTGTCGACTGACATGTTCAAAGTCCTGTGTTCGGGTTAGTTTGAGCTGGCTGTTCATTAGGAGTAATGCTCAAAAAGCTGTTGGGGAATTTGGCCCACAGTTTTCCTTTTTTAAAACTTTTCCTGTATTTCCTATACTGTGCTGCACACATAAAACTGAAATTGCTTTTAGAGATACATAGTTAAATATGGAAAAAATGTGACAGACATTTCACAATATTGTTTCTCATTGTTTCTCATTTCTGAAGTTTATCCAATGCAGGTAAATAATCTGGATAATGCTTTGTTAAAAGATTTAAATGAACATTTACAGATTAACAGTGAAAATATCTGATACAAGTAGACTTTCATTTGTCTTTTATTTGTTTTTAATTATAAATGAATGCAAATAGTCCACATAACCAACTAGAATGGAACTTTTTCTATAATATAAATTTTCAATATATATACAATATATATTTCAGATATTCAGTCTTCAGCCACTAAGATGTTGCAAATTGAGTTTTCCTTCCCATCTAATATTATGATATAGTTGGATCTTCGTCCTCTCTTTGTTTGCTTCATTTGCTGGTCATCTGGCAGAATGACAGCAAACAGCCACCGTTGCTGTTTTCACATCACATTTTACATCACAGTTTTCCAGATTTGCAACATCGCGAATTGCCTTTGATATCAGCTGTTATCTGCAGCCTCCCTTTTATTTATTTCAGCTTTTTTATTCAGTCTTTATGGAGGTCTGCTTGTTTGAGCTGGTGTTCTTCAGATAAGCTTTCATGCAGTTCACGTGTTGTCCAGTAGAGGGCCGTATATGTGCACTTTTACTGAAGAAGTCATAGGGCTTCAATTGTTGGACCTTTTGAACAAGGAAAATGTTATATTATAATAAAAAAACCATCACTTTGAACTTTGGAAAAAGCAACTCTTTTTATACTAAATCATGAACATGTTTTATTCTTTTTGCTGTTTGTAGATTAATGTAATCCAGGACAGCAAAAAAAGAAGAAAAAGTTAATCTTACTGCCCTGCAGTTAGTCCAGCATGCAGATGAAATAAACTTAACTCATCCTATCCCCTTCATGGTGAATTATATTATTATCTATATGCTTCCATTAATGTCACAAAGTATACAGTTTTTGATTTTTTCGTCACCTTTTTTTCTGTTTGACTTTCTTCAGATGCCATTTACAGTGATATCAGCTGTTCAAAGCATGTGTAAACTAATATCTGCAGTGTGTGAGGTGCACAGCTGCGGTTAAGAGGAAAGACCTTAGTTTTTTAGGATTATGTTTATTAAGATCCTCTGATGTCCACTATCTGCTGAGCTCAGGCTGATAATTGGTATGACTGAGTGTCTAGACTCTGGGAAGTGACCTTTGGCAGAGCAAAGAGTGGGTTTTGAAAGAGCCGATGTTTCTTTGGTCGGCTGAGGCGCTTTACTCTCGGGGTCGATCACAATGGCTGCTTTCGTCCATAAAAAGCCGGAGATGTTCAGGAGAATGCTCTCAGTTTGGTTTGGAGAAGCGAACGTTTGCACAGTCTCATTAATCTTCCAGATATTAAAACTCTTAAAGAATTAATTTATCCGTGCTGCCCTTCTTGGACATTTTCTGGAACATTTCAGGGCCGCAGAGCATGTGTGGAAACGGCTTAAAGAGGTATTCCAATAGCTGAGAATTGACGTTGACAGACTGATGGAATCCTCTGATTAGCAATGTCCTCATTAAGAATACAGTTTCTGTTATGAGGAGCCAATTTGAATTAGCATGACCTACAAAAAGCCTGCTGTGTGTCAGTGTTGTGGTTATTTCATGTTCGTCCCATATAAGTTTTTTCCTTATAGGAGGAGCATAAAAGTACCGATCTGGGTTTGCCTGTATACAATTTCTGAACTGGTGTTTAAATGTCTTTCCTCTCTGTTGTTCCAGTGGATGACAGCGCCATATTAGACTGCCAGTTTAGCGACTTCTATCACACAGCTCCACAAGGATTTGAGAAGATCCTCTTCGAACAACAAATCTTCTAATTGAACACCTCAGCCTCTCAATGTTTCGCCGCCTTCTTCTTAAACCTCTGTAACACTACAGTTTGACCTTGATTGGTTAATATTACATGTGGCTTCAGTGCATCCTGTGTCGCCCCCCCACCCTCCCAGATTACCCTGTCTATGTTTTTTTTTCCTTCTTTTTTTTTCTGCCGCTGGACCAATGTCGGAGAATCCTTGAAGAAGGGTGGATATCTAATCACTGCTTGGCTGCGGTGGGTTATACAGATTTTTTTTTTTAAATGAGAGAAACAAACTGTAAAATGCCATGTGTCAGCGTGAATCACGATGTGTTATCTGAACAACTTGTCGCCGCTCACATCCACGCTGTGTGAAAACGTGCCAGGCAACGGTTAAAGCCTTCCCATGTTCCAGGATCGGAAGCCATGTTTTATTCCCATTTTCCTATCGAGTATGTAACCTTCTAAATGCTCTACTGACATCCAAGCATACATGTTTTATTTATTTGTATTTATTTCACTCCCTGATCAAAGCGACAGCCCCGTTTCATGTCACCGCACAGAGATACAGTAAAACTAAAGTAAACCAGTTTGAGTTACCGTGTGGTACCCGGTGTCTCACAGGGTTGCAAAAGTGAAGTACTTTAAAAAAAAAAAAAAAAAAAGACTAATCCCTCTGAATAGCTGCCCTGCTGTCACCGAATCTATCTGTATTTATTCTATCAGAATATTACCAGAGCTGGCGCTGGTTTGTCTCTGATCAGAGATATATTTAAAGATGTCAATCTGTTGTGTTGTATTGACATTGCTAACGTGCTGCTGAAGTGTGACAGTCATATATTTCAAATGCTTGTCTTTGTTTGCACTGATGATATTCAATCCAAATATTGTTGATTCATTATAGTTTTTGTGTTCTGGAGGCACCAGCTCGGAGCCATGTCCTGATTTTTGTAGTAACAAATTACCTATGAGTGGGATTATGTAATCAGATTGCAAAATATATCTGTAGAATAAAGTCAAATTGTTTATGTGGCTTAACTTATTGCATTCATTGCTTTTGTTTTATCTATTATTATGTCAAAGATAGAAGATGTAACATACCTATGAGCATGTCCTCTTTTATTAGGAGTCAAGACCTGTATGTGGTGCTTCAAAGCATCACCAGCAAAAGTAAAGCATCTAATCTACAACCCAATGTTAATTACAGTTTACTGTCATTAAATGCTCGTCAATCTCAAGATTTAGATTGTTATACACATAGGGGAATATGGAAAATATTAAATATCAGTGATAAATCTGACTATTTCAATCAATTTCAGAGGATGGGGGAGAAATTCGATTAGGCTTTTAGGGTTCATTTGGCTTGTTAATGGAACTAAATTTGAAATGTTCCATCTCTTATGTTTTGGACTTGAATTGGAGCCTATAAAACATACAGGCTGCACTGCTGACACCTGTCAGAGCAACATATTATCCCATTTGGATCGTTTTAAAACATTTAGTGCATCATTAGATGCACAATGGAAAGTATAGTGCATCTGGGTCTATTCAGCAGCTACAATTTTATATTAGCCAAGAACAACAGTTCAGCAGCTGGTCAGGTACCAGATGTTTCCACACTGATGTACAATCTGTCCAATATGTTGCAAACTTGTTGACTAAAAGGTGCAACACAGAACTTGTGGGACCGGTGGTTCCACCTGGGACGACCACAGGTTTCACTTTTTGCTGGGCATAAAAAACATTGAAAGGGGTTCAAACAACACTGTTACTAAACCTTGGCACACACCACTCAGTGGTTGTCCATCCACTTGTGTGGCTCTGATCCAAACTGCAGAGGAAACAGTGAACAGTTTTAGCACTTTTCTCAGAAATGAGGAATATTTATTTTGTAAACTAGGTATATCATACCATATATTGCAAAAAATAAGTGTAAAATACATATGAATGTCTTGGATAAAAGCTAAATAAAAAGGTGACTCTTAAAAAAAGTTGCTAATTTAACACTTATTTCTTAATAGGCAGTCTAAGCAGACCTGAGAGGACAATAGGAGGAATAAAAGAAGATGGGGTGCATCACAGGGGCCATGGAAATCTTATGGATCAAAATCTGGTGTCTGGATATAGGGCTTAGTTTGACTCTGATCTGTTGATCGACTTAAATTATTCTACATTGCTTGGTAATCCAATAAACCGCGTTGGGAAAGAATCAAATTAAAACGTAATCCGATAGCCGGTGACGTGAACACACACATCTGAGATTCTGCCTCGATCACAGGTGAATTTTTCGGGACAGCTTCAGGAAAGCCTTGGAAACCAGGACAGCCCAACCGGCGGCAGGAGGTATGCATTAACTCCTCCCCTCGCCCTGCGATCTGTTACGTCCTCCTCCTCCTCCTCTCCGAATCCAGCAGCCGCACAGAAGCTGCCGCCGTGCCTCGTCTTTGACGAAGGAGATACAGAAAGCCGGAGTAATAGCTAAACCGCCGCACAGCCATGGCAGAAAACGCCGGCTTGGAAAACCACCGCATCAAGAGCTTCAAAAATAAGGGACGCGATGTCGAGGTGAGTTGACACGAGAACACGAGTGTGATCAGTGTGAATGGCATCGTTTTAATGAAAAAAAAACGTCAGTCTTTGGGCCTCGTTTTGGCAGCCCGGCCCCGGCCAAAACTGCCTGCCAGTCGGCTAGCTAATGCGAGCTATCGTAGAGAGTTCGCCATCAGCGCAGCTCCTGTATCCCCCTTCTCAGTTACTTACCTCGTAAACTTGACGTCGGTGGACCTGACCTAGTTTATGCCGGTCGCTTGCCAAAGTCCAATGGCCACTGTTTGAGACTAGCAACCCACGGCACAGTTGGACAGCTGGAATCGGGAGAATTAAGGGCAGGCGGTCTAGCTGTCACCGCCGGCTAACGTTAACTAGCTAGTTGGTTGGACACCGGTCGCAAACGAGGCCGGGCCTACCTGCCCTAATAATTCAGATATTCGCAATGTTTTTTCGTTTTTATTCTTTTAGGAAGTCGTATCTATTTAGCAAACATGTGGACTTACGAAGGTCCCCGTCAGCCGCCATTGTTGACGAATTCCTGGTTTGTGTTGAACCGAATGACAGGAGCAGATCCACCCCACCTCGTTAGCTCGCTAACGTTGAGCAAACTGCTAGCTTGAATTTCCAGGTGAGCTAAACCGAGCCAGCTAAGCTCAAAAACACTAATGGTGCGATGACCTTAGTGCTTTGCACGTTCAGTGTGTAGGTAAACTTCTTACGTGTATAAATAGGCGGAACTATATCAGTGGATGAATTCATCGTCGTGTACCTATCCCTGAGTAGAGACACCTTAGACTTGCCTCCCGTTGAATTAGCTGTAATGTTAATTATAACTGTGACGAACGCCACGACGCAATGTTATCAGATGCCTAAATGCTAATACTCCAAATATACTGCGCTAACATAACGGAAATGTGAGGTGTCGGCCTCGATTTACAGTCACACACACTCCAGCAAACGCCTTCAGTTGTGTCCTGCTGGTATATGTGCGACAGAGAGGTCTCTTTGCTGCGGGATATTTCGGTTAGCTGGTTTAATTCTAAACCTGACGGGATTTGTCTGCATTGCTCCGTTGACACGACGACCACGCGTCACCTTAAAGGCTTTAAACAAGCGGACACAAATGATCCTGCCGGTGTTGGACTGAAACACACGAGATCAGCTCACGTACAGCTGAACTTGTTTGACTTATTCCAGATATTTACGGAATTTTGTAAGAAAGCTTTGCTTTCAGCCGCGGAGGTATTATTATTATTATTATTTTTTTTTTACCAACAAAGCCACACTTGTGCTGGGTTGTTCTGATCTATTGGTAATCCTGAGATAATCCCCATACTAAGGTAAATCTGGATATGGCCCTTTCCCTTTACAGGCAGAATGGCGATTGGAGTTGGAGTTTCATCTTTCCCCCCCCAAAAAAGAAAAATGATAAAAACATACAAAAACATCAACTCAGATTTATGCCCCACAGCTAGTTGTTTTGAAACGGGGAGGCCGGCTGACAAGCACATGGCTACCATGACAGAGAGGCTGTGCCAAGTGCATTCCTGATGCTATTTAAGGCGTCTTGGATGTCTGACCTGGATGTTCTTGGAGGCCCGGCATGAATCCAAATTTTTGTCTTTTTTAATTAACTAATTTTTTAGTAAATGAATGACTCGGACAACAACAGGATGAAAATTAAAATCCTCTTTGGGCTGGTCTATTTTTGGTTAATGGTAAGACTGCTTTTCGTCTCTGACACCACTGGAAACGGAATGTAACTGCAGAGGAGTCCACACACTTTTCCTGACTTTGCATTCTTCAAGAAGGCACTGATCAAGGCCCAAGTCCTAAATCATTCCCCACCTGCAAAGTTTCAGACACTATGTACCTTTTGGATATCTATTATGTGTCTGTGGGTACTTTTGCTGTATTGCTTTTGAACATATTTAGTTTACATTCATTTGTATAACTTTATAACTCATATTTGGATTTAACCAATGAAATGGGATGGGCTACAGTTGGTATGCCTGGGTATTAGTCAGACTGGGCCAGTATAATTTGGCGTTATTGTTGTTTTGCAGTGGCTGGGAGACACCCCTCAGCTCCATAGCCCACTGAGTTATGACTGTCCCAGGTTACGTAAGAGGCTATTTAGGAAGGCAACATGAACCTCTTCAAACAGTCACAAGACAAGATCATGGTCCATCTCAAACCATCCTGGATGAGCGTTAAACCCAACAGACATGCAAATATAGTGATGAGTAAAACAGTGAAACTGCTGTTCACACATTTGTGTGAATGTTTTAGTAGTTTTTTTTCTTCAGGCCTTTAACCCTCCCCTTTGAACGGGGGTTAGCTTTCAAAAGGATTTACTAAAGTTAAACATATTCTTGGTGATTTATGATTACCAACAAGCCATCTCATTGTAAAAATGTACTTTGTCATCAACACAAAACATTTTTTTTATTCATATCTTTATTGTGTATCTAAAAAGAGAAACTATTAATTCACTGTGACTTTTTTTTCTTTGCAGACGATGAGGCGACATCGAAATGAGGTGACGGTTGAGTTAAGAAAGGTGAGAAAAGATGTTCTTTCTGCTTTAACACGCAAGCACACATGCAAACCTCCACAACAAACCTGTCTCTGTGACTCCTCACCAATGCAGCCGTGTGTTCTTGTTAAGTCGTATAAGCTAGCTCCTCCTCCACATTAAATAAGTCATTTTGAAATTTCTGTCGTGGCCAAAATAGAGAAGCAAACATTAAAGGAGTTATTGTGTTGTAGCTGAATGGAGTGAAGCTGTGTTTGTAGGAAAGGGAGCTCACAGCAGAGGCAGGTCCACTGTTTCCACACAGGCTCCATTCAAACCACCTTCAGAATTTCCGGACACTGGTGCTTCTAGAATCCAGTTTTCTGCAAAGTCGTCGATGATTTTCAATAAAAAGCGAGAGGTTTTAGACCCAAATAGAGCGACAGGTGTGTTTTACCTGGCTTGTGTTAAAATTAGAGCCAAGGTTGTCATGAAACAATTCGTGACGCGCCAGGAGCCCTAAGAAAAAAATCCGATTTTTATTATATTTATCGTTGTAGGTTAATGTTTTTTTGTTTGGCAGTGGAATTAAGCCGCGACTTCAAGACATCATTATGGCCCAACATCGTTTTGTCGTCCATTTATATCTATTTTTACCTGGATGAACATTATTCATCCAGGTAAAAATAGTTCTATAAAAATAGAAGTTAAGGCAAAATGAGCTTTTGGGATCTTGGCTGCCACTTTTCACTTTGCATTTGTGCAAAGCACACAATAAATTTCTTAGATCTGGACATGTCTGACCCGTTGCATTCATGTTGGTGTCCGCAATGAGCTGTGATTTTCATCAGTTAACACCTTTAAACTGGTTGCAACATTACCACAGAGCAGCTTCTCTGCGTTTTGAAAGCTCCTTATGGGATCTTTCTCACTGGTGTCAACATGATGGAGACAGACGGTGAAAATAGAAGAGTCACAATAGCTAGACCTTAAAGTAGTAGCTTAGCCCATCGGTCGGAGGCAGCTCGCTAACAGTTAACATTGTGAATGATTCTGGTCGGCTGTATTGATATCAGTGGAAGGAGCCGCGCTGTCGATATAACCAAAAAACGCCACGTGCTTTGGATTCAGCTTGGTATCTGCAGGGTTGTGTTTGCTGAGCGAGAAATCAGCCCAGATGATTTCACTTTGGGGGTACGATTAAATCAGTCGCGTCTCGGTTGGGTCAAAAGTCCTTTGTGTTGGTGTGTTTGTGGCAGCTGACAATAGGAAGTCCAATCGTTCTTTGTACCCGATGCCTGCAAGAGATATTGGTTTCAAAAGGCTGCCAGGTAAACGCTGCGTAAATGACCTGAACTTGCCATTTCCGAGTATGGTTGCGTTTCAGGTCATCGTCTTTGAATTGTTGGCTTATAATTCATACAAGGAGTGCATTTGGGGGGAAATAATTTACAGAGTTCTGCACATTTTCAGTAGAAGCTCACAACAGAAGTTGTAATTATATAGTTATATTTAAGCTGTTTTCATGGAAGAAACATGAATAAACACTTGTAGCCCGTTGTATTCCGTGGAACATGTGATTTGATCAGCACACATGTGGCGTCACGGGGGAGATGGGGGTTGAAATGTCATCTTATGACAAATAGGTTTACGGACCGCCGGCTTGGTTGAAGAAACACGAAAATGAGGCGGCTGGTCAAAGCTCCTGTAAACCCCCCTCAGAGAAAATGGATTTTCAACACACGGGCTGAGCATGACGAGGCGAAAATGGATGGGGACTGGTCGAGTGCTAACCGGCTGGTCTGAACACCGGTGGACAAAATACCGAGAGCAGCGCGTGCCCGGGGAGCTCCTAGAAAACCTGAAACGTCACCCCTGCGGAGTGCCGCGCTGCTCCAAAGTCTAGCACATTCCACAGCGGCGGATGGGCGCTGCGCTGGCCGTGTGTGTGTGTGTCATCGGTGACGCACGTCAGCATGATGCACAGGAATGTAGGGCAAGGGAATCTCCTCCTACCACCGGCTCACATGCCTGGCAGAGCGAGGCTGGCTGAGTATGTGCGAGCTGGGGGTGGAGGGGGGTGGGTTTGCTCTCTGGATTAGCCTGCAGGTAGTTTTCCTCTGATCGCACACAGTGGAATCTCTAAAAATGAAGTGGTGAATAAAGCTGGAAGGGGCCTTTCCTGTGAATTCAGTGATACCACAGCTTTCTTGTCCCCCACAGAACAAACGAGATGAACATTTACTGAAGAAGAGAAACGTCCCCCAGGAGGAGAGCCTGGAGGACTCCGATGTCGACTCAGACTTCAAAGGAGTAAGTGTGTGTGTGTGTGTGTGTGTGTGCGTGCACGCCAGAGTGATAGACCTGGCTCTGAAGATAACACGTCAGAGGGGCTCAAATCAATAGGGCATTGTTTTTTTCTCTCTCTCTCTCCCTCTTTCGAATATTTACACTTTGATATTTGGCTGTTTGGCATCATGAAAGACTTGTTGGATAAGTTTTGAAAAACTGTTTCCACATGTCACAACAGGGCTGGAAGCCTCTCGATAGTTTGCATAAGAAGAATGAAATGATTCACGACTCAGCTGAAAGCTTCTCGAGGAACAGTTCTGTGTCAGATGTTATTGAGTGAGGACCTGCGGAAAGGAGATTGCTGAAACTGCTGGTTCCTCTGGACTTTCAACAAGCTTTTTGTGCAGTCGTTTAGGTCAAACTAGAACATTAACCTGCATTTAAGCTTCTTCTTAACATTTTTCTGGCATTGGAACTCATTTTGCATTAACAATACCCACAAAGTTGTAGGTGTTTTATTGCTTCTTCTTTTTAAAAAGGTTTATTTTGAGAGTTGCTTATGCTCTTACAGTAAAAACATAAACAAAACACCAGCTTTTTTATGCTGACTTTGACCCAGTAAATGTCAGGAAGCTGTGTTTGTATGAAGCCAGAGGCAATTTCTCTGTCAACCATCCTCAAAAGCTTCTTAGAAGAACTGCTGTTTGTTTTTAGTGAAAGTGGTTGCCCATGTGGCCGCTACAAGCTAAAAGCTGTCGGCGTGTGTCAGCAAACGTTCTGCTTCATCCAGCGCGGCTGCTGTCGCGAAGTCTCGTAACGTCTGCAGTTCCAAGCCATCCCAGTCACTGTTTCCTAGTTAAAAAGTCAGGAGGTGTTTCAGAAAACACATTGCACCGTATTCCCCCGAACATAAAAAGCTGGTTTAAGACTCATTCATTGAGCCGAAGGCACGCACATGTTCATAAGCAAAATATTGCTGAGGGCAAAAGCCCCAGCTCCCTGTCTAAGATGAAGGCAAAGAGCCAGATGTAGCACGTCCTGCGGTCCAGAGGTTCACGTCGGACAGCAGGATGCAGAGGTTATGGTGTCGGACTGCTCGTTACAGCAGTGTTGAAGTTTGATTGTATGACCACGGGAGTATCTGATTCTATTCAGCTGATGAATGCGTCGTTTGGCCTGCAGCTGTGTGTAAATCAGCTGTTAAATATGTCTCTGCCATTCTCTTTCTGCAGCAAAACGTTACACTCGACGCCATCTTACAGGTAAGGTGACATTCCCTTAAAGTTTTCAACCCCCCATCAAAAAAGGATCAACATCTCTTTTAAAAATTTTCTCTCTCTAAATGATTTTCTGCCGTATGATTCTGTCTCTGCAGAACGCGACCAGTGATAATGTAGTTATACAGCTCAGTGCTGTTCAGGCAGCCAGGTGAGCGCCACTCAGCACAGATCTGCAGCCACTTCCCTTTTCTACACTTTCAATTGACCTGTGTGTGTGTGTTTGTTTGTGTTTGTCAGAAAACTGCTCTCCAGTGACAGAAACCCTCCCATCGATGACTTAATAAAGTCCGGGATCCTGCCCATTTTAGTCAAATGCCTGGAAAGGGATGACAAGTAAGTTTCTATTATGATTTATCTGCTATTCGTCCAGTGGTCGCCAGAACAGGTTTCAGGCGCGAGCCAGAGTTTGTGTGTCGTTTCCCCACTGTGTCTGCACGTGAGCGTGTGTGCGTGCGTGTGTATATGTGTGTGTGTGTGTGTGTGTGTGTGTGTGGAGGCATGCAGGGCAGCTGGCTGGTCCTGTCAGCTCAAGCCAAGCCAAATATATCAGCATTCCTGTCTCTTGGAGTTCTTCAATTCCCAGGACCTTGTGCTCACTGAGGGAGGGGGCGCTGAATAGTTTGGGTAGAACAACTTGTAAGGAAGGAACTCACAAGTTTTCATCACGGCACATCAGACTGTGTCGCCTCAGCAACCGCTGGAATTCGGCTACTTTGGGGTTCACGCGGTGCAATCTTTGTTTTCGTCCAGCCAAATCCATTGTTTACAATCCTGACGCCATCAGGTCCCTCACCGATCAGCATGGACAAAACACTTTAAGGCCCGGTAACAGAAAGTCACGATGCTCAAAGGGGGATGCAAATAAAGCCGGCCGGTCCACTGGCAGCGCCATCAAACAGTTGAGCTAATTTGTTTGCTTTGTTTTGGGTTTTGCATCGGAGTAAAGCAGGAATAGCTCCAGAGCATGGCCCACATAGCTATTTGACTGCATGATATACCCCCCGACTCGGTTTGCATTTGGCCACCGGGAGTTGCCAGGGTCCACTCGTATTCACTCGCACATGTGCGATTTCTAATGTTCCAGCCTCCATTTTGAACTCGGTGTGTACAGTGTGGTCAGTTTGAACCTTTTGGCTTAGGAAAGACAACTAATGGCCTTTGAGGGCGAACAGAAAAGCAGTCCGACTCGTCATTTATCGCTCCGCCCCTGAAGACCCACCTGCAACAGAAATATGGGCTGATGTGTCTTTTTGTTTTCTCTGTCTCGCCTCACAGTCCCTCTCTTCAGTTCGAGGCCGCCTGGGCCCTGACCAACATCGCCTCTGGGACGTCAGCACAGACTCAGGCTGTGGTGAAATCCAGTGAGTGGACTCCATGTCTGTGTTTGTGCACCGTCTGCACTCTGTAGAGCAAGCACATTGCTTAGTTTTTTTCTTTTTTTTTTCACTCGGAGAGCTTTTTTTTTTTTTTTTTTTTTTGGTTTTTCTCGCGGTGTTTTATTTTAACAACATGACCGGTTTGTGGGAACTATGATAGGCTGCTTGAGATTAAGAGATGTGGAGTCAGAAGCATGAATTCTTTTTAAAGCCACACAAATCTTTTCACGCACATTAGCTTGGGTTCACATTTTCCATTTAGTCATGTGTTCGGCATCCGTTAGTTGAACCTTTGTTCCTAAGTTTGATCAGGTCAGTACTTATTGCAGAGGAACATTCACATCAGCGATCCATTTTTTAAGTTTCGAACGAGGAGTCATTTAAAAAAAAAATTCTGTTTGGGTTTTGATCCCAGTTCAGCTACAAATCTAGTTTGGCTTGATTCACATCCATCGGTAAGCTGAGGATAGAAATGTTCATGGCAAAGCGCCGGGCTGCTGTTTTTAGGAGTTAATAAGCAGCTTTACACCCAACAGACATGCAAACAGCGGGTACAGGACGCGGCTCCAAGAGGCGTAGAGATGTGAGTTATAAGATCAGATGTCTGACTCCCGTAATCAAATTAAACACATGATATTCAGTCACATGGCTTTTTCCACACATTTCCTCAAGGATGTTTTTCTCATCTCTACTCATATCCATCATTCTGCAGATGACTTTTTTTTGGCCCGTGTGGCCGGTTAGTTCATGCCCGTCTCGAAGATGAGGCAGGCCTTTTTTTCCGCTGGACAGTCGGTCGCCGGCGCCTTTGACCAAACGCGGCATAAAAGACGGACTATTTTTCACATTGCTTGTGTAAACGACTCTCCCTCCTGGGCCGTGCGCGATCCTCACGCCGCAGACTCGATACGACACGATTAGCGAACCGTGTCGGCCTCGAACGCCACATCTGTGCCCCTGCCCCTAAATAATTCAGCAGGGGTTTGTTTGTAGATGGCACGTCTTTTGATTTTCTTTTTGACAAATATTTTGTCTTGTTGGTGTTTGCCTGTGCAGACGCGGTGCCGCTCTTCTTGCGACTGCTGCATTCTCCTCACCAGAACGTGTGCGAGCAGGCTGTGTGGGCCTTAGGAAACATCATAGGTAAGCGCAGCCTTTTTGGCCCTGGCCACGTCGTACGTCTTTCTCTATTTTGTTTTTTTTTTTTTAAATTAACCGGCAGCGTTTCCTATCCAGGCGACGGGCCGCAGTGCAGGGACTATGTCATCTCCCTGGGCGTGGTCAAGCCCCTGCTGTCTTTCATCAACCCGTCGATCCCCATCACTTTCCTCCGGAACGTCACCTGGGTCATCGTCAACCTGTGCCGCAATAAAGACCCACCCCCACCTATGGAGACGGTACAGGAGGTGGGTGTGCGTCTTTTGGGGTGTCAATTTACCTCAAAGCATGCGGCCATGTCACAGCTCTCTCTTTTTATTTCTCTCCTCACAGATTCTGCCCGCCCTCTGCGTGCTCATATATCACACTGATATTAATGTGAGTATCAGCCCAGGCCCAATTTTAAAAATATTTTTGTGTCTAATGCAGATTGTGATGCCTATGTCGTCTCACAACTTGTCCCTGCTTGCGTTTAGATCCTCGTAGACACAGTTTGGGCTCTGTCCTATCTGACGGACGGAGGCAACGAGCAGATCCAGATGGTCATAGATTCTGGAGTTGTTCCGTTTCTCGTGCCTCTCCTCAGCCACCAGGAGGTTAAAGTTCAGGTAGTACTTTCTCTTATTGGCTTAACGCTTTTCACTTTCACCCCCTCGAGCAATTGAACGACAAGTTCGGTGATCACTCTTCTCCCTCAAACGTAGACGGCGGCCCTGAGGGCAGTGGGAAACATCGTAACGGGAACAGACGAGCAGACGCAGGTGGTTCTAAACTGCGATGTCCTCTCGCATTTCCCCAACCTGCTCACGCATCCTAAAGAAAAGATCAACAAGGTATGGCTTCTGCAGGCACACTGTACCATACACACTGCTTGCATTTGGTTTTGGTTTTCACCATCTGTGATTGGTCTGCCTGCAGGAAGCAGTCTGGTTTCTGTCCAACATCACGGCTGGGAACCAACAGCAGGTCCAAGCTGTGATCGACGCCGGCCTGATTCCTATGATCATCCACCAACTGGCCAAGGTTTGTGAACGGCAGAGAAGCGGGCCACGATTTAAGCCATCCACTCTGTTCTTTGTATTTGCTCAACAAATGGTGCCGAACCCCAATGAACAACAAACGAAACGGCCTCAGAATGCAAACGTGGTCCAGATTTTTCTGTGCGCAGCGACAGTATGCTGGGGTAGTGCATCTTAGTGACAGCCTGCCTCTCTACAGGGGGACTTTGGCACTCAGAAAGAGGCAGCATGGGCCATCAGCAACCTCACCATCAGTGGGAGGAAAGACCAGGTGAGTCGCACAGACTCTCACGCATTTAAGATCGCCCATGAATCTCATGTAACCTAATCTGTGTCTTCCAGACCTGTAACCATGCACTCGTGTTGCAATAAAGTATGAATGTGGTGTGTGTGTGTCTGGCTTTGTGTAGGTGGAGTTTTTGGTGGAGCAGAACGTCATCCCTCCGTTCTGCAACCTGCTGTCCGTGAAGGACTCCCAGGTGGTGCAGGTTGTGCTGGACGGCCTGAAGAACATCCTCATCATGGCGGTGGATGAAGCCAGCACCATCGCTGAGATCATAGAGGAGTGCGGAGGTTAGCTTTCATTTCGTTGCGCCTGAACCCATGTCTGTCTTTTAGCACCCGACAGAGAAGCATGACAACTATAGAGCAAGAGCAATCCCCCTGGATTTAGTCGTTTTGACTTTTAGCAAAGGTTCTCTCTTTTTATTTTTAAAAATGTTGTTTTTAAGGTTTGGAGAAGATAGAAAATTTGCAGCAACACGAGAACGAAGATATCTACAAACTAGCCTTCGAGATCATCGATCAGTACTTTTCAGGAGATGATGTAAGTCCTGTCATTGCTCTCACTCGTTTCATCACTTGGGCTCATGTGACCTCCCAGTACTGTTTATTTAATTCTTTTTTTTTTCTTCCTAAAGATTGATGAAGATCCCAGCTTGATTCCTGAAACCACTCAAGGAGGAACCTTCAACTTTGACCCAGCGTCCAACATGCAAACAAAGGAGTTTAATTTCTAAAAAGCCAGGATGTTTGGTTCCACCAAGTTGCACGGGTACTCTGTAATCATCCCAGACACTCACCCATCTGTCCAATCTGGCAACCTGGTACAGAAGGATTTCTCAGAGCATCCTTACACAATGGAAACTCACCACTGAAGGGTTTACGCACACCCACGTCTGCAGTGTTGGGTGGCTTTTCTTTTATTATTTTGATTCCTTCCTTTGTTTTTTTTTTCTTTGTAAAATTGTCATCCTTTACAGACAACCACAGCTCTTCATAGGAGTCCTGGTTTATTCAACCGCCACCAATCTGGCAACCTGCATCAGGAAGACTGTCAGCTTAGTCTGCCACTTCGGCGAAATGTCAAAGGTAAAACCTGAAGGAATTAAAAAAAAAAAAGCCTTCTTGGCAAGATTTAATTGCCAAATGTCAAGTCTACAAAGACAAAATCACAAGCACATTTTCATGCACCAAACACATTTACACACCACACATGCGCATATATATGTATATATATATATATATATATATATATACATGCATATATATATATATACATATTACTAGTGTATACACACCTTTTGACACTTTATGGTTTGTGTGCATACTTCTATTAGAAGCCATCATATCACTTAAGGGGAAGAAATACTACTGTTTTTTTGTGGTTTATTTTGTGTTCCCCCTCTGATGTTACTTCACCCATGCACGCACATGCACACACACAAACACTGGCAAACAAAGTATACACACAAAGACGCTTGGTCACACTGATTCCTGACGGCCAGGCCCACCCCTCTCTCACCCAGTTTAGAGTTGATCCCAGAGCTAAGCCATGATTACCCACCGATTTCCTCCCCCCCCCCACTGCCTTTCCAGGAGAGCCTTTGGGCAGGTAGAGGGGGAGAAAGGGCTCTAAGGTCAATATACACACGATTAAAAAAGAAAAAAAAAAGAAAAAGAGGACTGACGGGACTTGTCACTTTTTAGTGTGACTTCTGTTGAGTTATCAAACTGTTTTAAAAAGAAAAAATCAAAATGTGAAGAAAATGCCATACTTTTTTTCCTTTTTTCCAAACTGTAAGACCTGCTTAATGCCTGCTTCTGATTTGAGAAGAGCGACAGCATCTTTTTTTCCTTTTAATATTTTTTTCTTTCAATGGATGGGAGAACCTGTCACGGGAGCTTTCAGGTGAAGGCACAGAGTCTGCGGAGAAGAGGAACTCATCAGCCGTAGCGTTCATTTCACCCACCACCCCACCCCTCCATTTAACAAAAGAAAAAAAAAAGCGGGATATCCATTTCGGCACGCGTCGTGTAATCCGGCGAACTCTTTTCTTGAGAATCCCCTGCGAAATGTGAAACTCGTTTATCGAAAACAACCACAAAAAAAAAAATCGTCCTGAATCACTCATCTTACCGTAAGGCTATTTTTATTTTTTAACATTTTTTAAAGTTAAAAATGATTTATTTCATGTTTCCACTTCCTCTGGTAGTCTGTGGAGCTTCCTTGTGTCTGTTTTTTTTTTAAACTTTTTTTTTTCTTCAGTCTTATGCACACATCTGAGAGGCATAATGATGTCTGCCTGCAGAAAGGGGACCTATGCTCATTGGAAACTCCTGATTTACAGTACTTAACTACTTTTTATGAAGAGGTCACATGTCATCACTCAATTTGAACAATTGTAAAAAAAAAAAATAGAAAAAAAAAGCGTGATGTGTAACTCTCCTTGCCGTCTAATGAATATATGAATATATTTACATAAAGCCTGTACAAAGCTGCTGCAGCTGACAGTCGTTGGATAGACAACTGCTGTCAAAGATGGCTGGGGAGGGTTTTGTGTTTTTTTTTGGAAGCAATATTTCTTTTATAGTTTTTATTTTTGACTTGCATATGTATTGTGATGATATGCTGATACATTTGAACAGGCTGGGTTTTTGTTTCATGCCCCCCCCTCCTCCTCACGGTGGCGACGGGCCGTTTCAAAAGGCGCCGTCCCACGTTCCGGCTGGTCATTCTGGGTTGGGGTTTATGGCGTAGAGCTTTAATCCCAACTCCGGTCCTCGCCTTGCAGACTTTCTGATCCTCTGGTTGGCTGCTAACTACTTAGAGGGGGTCGGAGCAAGCGGGGTCACACCGGGGCTTTAAGAATTGGGTGAGTTTGACATAAGCAGGCCCGGCTTTGTTTAGTTTTTTTGTTAATTTTTTTCTGGACGGCGGGGGGGACTAGCTGTTTATTACTGAACAAAACTACAGAGAGGGTGTACAGTCATGAACTAGCAGACTAGACCGAGCCACTTTAAAGATTTACAATTTCGTTGCCTTGTATCTGCATTTGATACAAGCTTATGTTTGTTGCAAGATTTTTACTTGCTAATGAAAAGTTGTTTTAAATAAAGTAATAGGAGAAAAGCAACAGACAGCGTTTTGGCCTCTGATTGTTTATATCTTTTTATAAATTTTAGATTGAATCCTTCTCTTTAAGGTGGCTCATTGATGCTTTCAACTCTTGTGCATATTAAAGACGAGAATGAGTTGAAAATCATTGTGCCTTTTGTTTTTCATTTCAACTAAAAACTGTTTTACTGAAAACAAACGATGGAGAGATGTGGCTGGTAGTCTCCCTGTTGTTGGGGTTTGCTATGAGAATGGTCACTGCTGCTCTCTGCTGTTGAGAGGAACCACTCTCCTCCGATCCAACTCACTGGACAATGTAACACGCCATCTCCTCCCACTCATTCTTCCCCTTCCACCCCCTCGACGCCTCAAACCATCATTGCCATAATTTCAGGGGATCCTGCCATCTCATCTCGCCCTCAGGACATTATCTGTGTTTCTGACTAACCAAAATAAACTTGCTGTTTAGCCGTTGGATCCTTAATGCTTGCAAGTGTTGTGATTCACATGCACACGGTCGCCGTTTCAAGTTGGACGAACATCCACATGAGCAGTTTTTTTTTTTTTGGAGTGATGTGGTTTGCAGAGGGTATGTGCAATGATTTCCTACCGAAAACAAGATGAGGAGCATTAATCTCTATTAACCTCAATCCATTTGCCTACTAACTGTCCAGACAGCTGTTGTGTTTTCGCTTGGTAGGATTAGGCTAGTCAGATTCCTCTTTTTAAAATACTTTTTAAAGGTTTTTCTGTGAACTTTACACTCGCACAACATGTGGTATACAAACAGTAAACTGATGCACAGCAAGCCTTTTTTTTTTTCTCTTCCAACATTTGTGTTGAGATGACCTTTGTAATGGCTAAGGACGCGTCGCATTGTGTAATGTTTTGGTCTGGAGTCTAGAGATGGATTTAGCAGGCTTCCTCTGCCAGTAGATATGATCAAGTGTCATAATTTACAGCAATGACACAGTCTGCTTGATGTCTAAAAACTGGAATTCTAATTCCAGCTGTATTTCAAAATGTATTAAGTCTCAGAATGTCTCTACCTTCACTGAAAAACTTCTTTCATACCAGCATTTACACATTTGTACTAATTTCTGGAGTTGCTTAAGTTCCAGGAACACTTTTAGTCTTGTTTCCACCCTGTCTATGTACGTAAAACCAACATTGCCTAATCAAACTTGAATTTGCAGTTGCTGGAAATTAGAGCATTTTAGGGACGTATTTTTTTGTGTGCACTAAAGGCGTAATCTCCTCTAATTTTTGTGTTTCCAGACTCTAAGGCTGTGAGACAAAATATCTGAAGGCCAAATAACTCCTACCCATAACGGCGCGTCTCGTACTTTGAAAATGATCGCAGAAAATATGTTGCGTTTGTCCTTTTTGAGTTTCCAGGCGGCCCAAGTGTCCACGTGCCGCCTGCTATCGATTGGATAGGTCTCTCTATCACGTGACTCAGCCCGCTGCCCACATTGCACTTCCGCAAATAAACGTCAGGAGCGAGTGCGGCGTCTGCGCCGCGGAGAGCGAAACCCCACGGCCACCAGCCGGTTTTACCATGTCATAGTAACACCGTTAACCGGAACCGCGAGGCGCCTCAGGGACGAACCTGTCACACAGGTGAGCCTTACGGAAACACTGCTCACTGTCTTCTGTTTAAGTCAAAGCTAACATGCTAACTGTCGTCAGGGAACAAAAAAGTAGAGCAGATTAAAGCGACTTTCCTAACGGGAGCACGAGCTCCCGTTAGCTGAGTAATGCCTTTTATAACAATAGTAAACATGAGCCGGTGAGCTCTCATTGTTAGAATGCCGTTAAGCATGCCCTCTTTTGGTTTCCTGTTTCTTCTTTATTATAAACCGTTTTTTTTATTTTTTCCGTATCTAAACTCTTCCACACACTGCAACCGATTACGATAAAGAAGGAATAAAATTGTTCCTTTATTGGGACATTTTTGTCATTTTTGGTCTTAAATCTTCAAATCTTGTAAACAAAGTTGTTTAACTTTTTGTGGCTTTTTACTCTCGTTGAAAACGAATGGCAGACTTCAAATTCTTCAGAACATTTGACCTACTTCAGTGCTTTAGTTTACTTTGAGATGAGAACACCATTCAGCTTTTAGGAACTTCTTCTACAAATCCTTCTATGTGTTTTTCTAATCTACCACTTTTCCTCGCTACCTACTTTCTGCAACTATTACCTTTCTCCATTCAAATGAGTTAACTTTACATCTCTTTTTCTGCTATTTTTTGCCTTGTCCAATTGGTTGGAATTTTCTGGTATCTCCATCCAGGGGTGGATTTATTTTAGATTTGACGTTTGCTCTCTAAATGGTCTCCACACACAATGAAAAACCCCCCTGAAGCTGTTATACACATTGAAATTAGGCATTTTAAATGAACATTTAAAACCGTCAGTTTTACTCTTGTACAATTAAAAATGCTACTTAAAATTACATGTTTGTTAAATTTAAGTCCTTTTGCTATTTGTTATTCTGGTTCAAAGTCCTTTAGGGATTCTTCTTCAATTTTTCAGCTCATTTTGTAAAAGCTTCTAATCCTTCAACTATCGGTCTGTTATTTTCAGATTATGTCATATTATGTTAGGCTACTTGATGCTCCTTTTTTTCCCCCAGCGGTCAACCGCATCCGGATCTTTCTAGTTTAATTGGTAAAAGGGTCCTTATTGGCTACAGGTGTGCCAAAGGGCCACGCATCCCCAGATGCCTTCAGGTACAAGATGAAAACTGAAAATAGTAAACTCGAATTCTAAGACCTAACAAAATCTCTACAAAATAAATTGCATACATATTCAGATTGTAAGACGCTTCTCAAGCTTTAGTTAAATTTGGGAGAATGTGGAACTATTTATTTGGCGAATGAATGCATTCTTTGACTCTGTATTGTCGCGTTCGCTCCCAGGAGCGATAATCGGTTCGCTGATTATCCAGAACCTCCCCCCGAACCCGCTGGCCCTCCGGCCCACTGGCAGCGAACACACCATGGTGGATGTAACCAAATGGCCCATATTCAGCCTTATGGGAGCAGAGGAGCTCTCCTTGATTCGGAAGGCTTGCGTGTTCGGCTCGTCTGCTAATGAGGCCATCTACATCACCAGTGATGACGAGGTGAGAAAACACGGGAATGAACCATTCCCGTTTAATGTCAGACTTTCTGCGTCGTTTCAAGACGCTCGTGTAGCCTCTTGTTAAAAGAACGTCTATGTTTTTTTCAGATACAGGTCTTTCTTTCATCTGTAGTGTTTAGATTGGGCTTAGACCACACTAAAGTCTTGAGCTAAAAGGAGAAACAAAGCTGATAAAGGCCTTTCTACGTTTTCACAGAGTTTTAATCACTTTGAACTAAAAATGTAAAATTAATTAACAAATATATACCAGCAAACTCACTTGTTTGGGCACATTTGAATCTAGTCATCATTCATCCTTCCATTAACAAGCTGAAGCTGAGCCATATCTAGCATATAATGTGCCTTTTTAAATTGTTAATTTTAATCTAAACCCTCATCCATATACATTTTAAGACCCAACGTTTCCCCCTGTAACAGTCTTATTGCTGGGGCTTACTGGGTGTCACACAGCACATAAATATTAAAACGCCTCTGTGCACGCTGCTATCCACCTGAGTTGTGTGTGTGTGCCACCGGTTAGAAGCGTGGCACTGCCCCCCCCCCTCTCCCAGCCTGGTGTAAATATCTGTGTGTGTGTGTGGAAGAGCGACCTGTGGCCTCCTCGGCTTACTGATGCTCTCTTTGTTTAGCCGCCCTTGTGGCTGATCCGCATTACGCCTCCTCTCCTCTGTCCCACCCCGCTCAGGTGTACGTGTTTGGGCTGAACTGCAGCAACTGCCTGGGCACCGGGGACAGCCAGAGCACCATCGTACCCAAGAAGCTGGACTTCCTGAGCGGGAGGAAGGTGGTGAGCCTGAGCTACGGCAGCGGGCCCCACATCCTGCTGTCCACAGAGGGTAGCTAGCTGGAACACAACCTTTTTCTCCTTGTTGGGATGAAGAAAATACAAGAGTGACTGATGTCTTTGTGTTTCAGATGGAGAGCTGTTTGCCTGGGGGCACAATGGCTACAGCCAACTTGGAAACGGGACTACCAATCAAGGAGTAACTCCAGTGCTGGTGTCTGCCAACCTGCTCAATAAGAAGGTCACAGAGGTGGCCTGTGGCTCTCACCACTCCATGGCTCTGACCGACTCTGGGGAGGTAGTGTCAGCGGATCCCAACAAACTATGCAGAATAGATGATAGAGCCATTTTTAACTCTCTGCAGCAGCCTCGCAGGTTTGATTTTATTTAGAGGTAGTGCTTATTCATAAAAAAAAAAAGCTCCAACAGGACCCAAAGTTCTACATGAGAACTTAAAACAATAAGAAAGCTATTGTTTCAGGCTGTTACCTAACGAAAAAAAGTACCCTGTACCCTTAGCTGAAGGGATTTATTCATTTATTTATTTATGCAAAGGAACTAAAAAGCTCAGGTCGGCCCAATTAACTACATTCCCTCCGTGTTCCAAAGGGCGGAGAGGATTAGGCAGATTAGGCCTCCGCTTTGCTGCTGCAAATTTGCTTGGGGAAAAGGTCAAAGCCGCAGGGCACAAGGGGATTGAGAAGGCCTGCTTCACTTTCAGTAATGACAATAGAATCATTGATCTTTTCTACAGGCTCTATTCTTCTAGAAACTGAGCTAAAAAAAATAATAAAATCCTTGTAAAGGAAAAGTATCTCCTGCAAACTGTAGCAACATTTAAAGCAAACTTTCTCTATTGTGCCGAGAAGAGGGCTCTGTGCCGTTTCATTACACAGGGACTACTTGAAGAAAAAGGAGCCGAACAACAGCTGGCAAAGACGTGGATGTGGGTGAAGCTGAGGTCTGCTGTGGCTTCAGTAACTGCAAAGCCTCTAGACCTCTCCCAATTAGGCAACTTGGTATAATTTGGCCAAAGCTCCATTACGAGTTCAAAGTTGACCGGAAAACTCAATTAGTATGAGAAGCAGGAAGGCGGAGAGCAGAAGGTCCACGCTATGCGGCTAATGCCAGCTCAGATGGCTCGTTTTGCATGTCCCAATTCCAAATGACTACTTGAGATCACTGCGTAGCAAAAATGAACCATTTTTAACGTGAGACTCAAATTTAAAAGGTGGAAACAAAATGATCAGACTAATCAGAGGTGCTGCATTCATACCGCGGCTGTGTGAGTGTGGTAACATATCCTAGGTACTTTGGTGATTTATCTAAAGGGCATGGAAACCAGGCCAAAATTCCCACAAAGACCAAACAAAACGACGGCGTCAAGACAATCCAGGATGGCATCCAGAACAGAACACTTGAATGAACTCAGTTCTTGAGCTCTGACCGCCGCCCTCCTGTGCTCCAGGTGTACGCTTGGGGTTACAACAACTGCGGCCAGGTGGGCTCGGGCTCCACGGCCAACCAGCCCACGCCCCGCAGAGTGTCCAGCTGCCTGCAGAACAAGGTGGTGGTGGGCATCGTGTGCGGGCAGACCTCGTCACTGGCCGTGGTGGACAACGGCGAGGTGGTGGTCTTCTCCGTCAAAAAGCAGCCGGCCCAGGGCCGCGGCTCCTATTCTGACTCGGGTCTGGGTCCCTCTACAGGTGTTCGGCTGGGGCTACAACGGGAATGGGCAACTCGGCCTGGGGAATAACGGCAACCAGCTCACTCCCTGCCGACTAATTGCTCTGCAAGGTTTATGCATTCAGCAGGTGAGAGCACGCACACTCAAAGCATCTTATAAAAGTGCTTTTTGGTGTTTTTAAGTTGGGTTGGGCTTGCTTTGCTCTCCAGATTGTCTCCGGCTACGCCCACTCCCTGGCATTAACAGACGAGGGGCTGCTCTACGCTTGGGGTGCCAACACCTATGGTCAGCTGGGCACCGGCAACAAGAGCAACCAACTGAGCCCAGTTGAGATCATGACGGAAAAAGAGAGGTCACAGAATATTTACCAGCGCTCTCAGGGACTTTCAAAACTTAAAAAAAAGGTTTTTTTAACAGCATCACAAATTCCCTCTATTTTCCTCCCTGCTTGTCGTACAGAATCGTGGAGATCGCCGCCTGCCACTCCACACACACATCAGCGGCTAAGACCCAGAGCGGGCAGGTGTACATGTGGGGCCAGTGCAGGGGGCAGTCCATAGTGCTGCCTCACCTCACCAACTTCTCCTGCACCGACGACGTCTTTGCCTGCTTCGCCACCCCTTCCATAATGTGGCGCCTCCTTTCCATGGGTAAGATAAACAAAGGCTTTGTTAACAGAACAAATGGTGGGGGGGGAGTCAGAAAACTGTTTACGGTGAGCATTTGCTTTGGATAAAAAGATAATGTAGCGACAACTTCAAGTAACTCTTATAGGAAAAAAAACTTTCCTTTTCTTTTCTGTTAGCATTCACTAAAATTGAAAACAGCCCATAATCTGAGCATTTCACTTAATCAGATTATGGAGGAGTTGCACCAGTGGAATGGAGGTTTTTATGAGCTGTTTACCAGACTAGAACTAAACAATGTAAGTGACCTGAGAACCGCTTTATTCTCTGGTATCAATTCCAAACCATTACAAGATATAAGACCTTGAAGCCTGGAAAGCATTTTATGCTGCAAGAGACGATGGCTAAATATGTCACAGGCTCATTAAAAAAGAGGAGCGGTTAAAGTAATCAGGGCAGGCTTATGACACATTTTCTGCCCCCTCCCTCCCCCACAACTCCCCTCAGATCATGAGGACTTCTTGACTGTGGCTCAGTCTCTGAAGAAGGAGTTTGACAACCCAGAGACGGCAGACCTCAAGTTCTGCGTTGATGGCAAATACATCTATGTCCACAAAGCAGTTCTGAAAATCAGGTGGGACCGTCTGCCCCCAGATCCTATTTAAACCCAGCGTTAAATGGAAGACAAGAAAAGCTGCATCTGCTGTCTGCCCTGGCTTTGCAGGTGCGAACACTTCCGCTCCATGTTCCAGTCTCACTGGAACGAAGACATGAAGGAGGTGATTGAGATAGACCAGTTCTCTTACCCGGTCTATCGCTCCTTCCTGGAGTTCCTCTACACGGACAATGTGGAGCTGCCTCCCGAGGACGCCATAGGTCAGACACACGCGCTCTCACACACACACACACACACACACACACACACACACACACACACACACACATACACACATATACTGCATTTGTTTTACTCCCTGTGAGGAGTTAAAGCGTGTGTGTGGGCGCCTGCAGGGCTGCTGGACCTGGCCACGTCGTACTGCGAGAACCGGCTGAAACGTCTGTGTCAGAACATCATCAAGAGGGGAATCACGGTGGAAAACGCCTTCTCTCTGCTGGCTGCAGCCGTGCGCTACGACGCCGAGGTCAGTCTCACACGCTCTTTGAGACAAGAAATGGATCGATAACCCAAAGCATTTTTTAAAATACTTTTGTTTTACTCAATTCTGAAGTTCTCAGACAGACTTAATTTCAATCTTTATTTCTGTGTTTTCAAAAATGAAGAGTGGAGTCAAACCTGCTCAAAGGGAGCTTAACGTGAATAAACTTGCCTATAGCTAAAAAAAAAGAAACAAAATCCTCCGGTGCACTTGTTTAGCTCTCTGGACAAAGCAGTGTTTCTGCTTCGTGCAGGCTGATGAATGTTGTCCTTCTTTGTTGTTTTTTTTGTTGTAGTGATATCCTTAGTCAGAGCCAGGTTCACCTATTTCCTGACTGTATTGTAAGCTAAGCTCCCTTCTTCAAGCTATAAAGCAGCAGGTGGGACTCCATTTTGCTTTGGGAACACTGGGCTGAAACAGTCACGCTTTGGTTATTTTTATTTTCCTCCTTCTTTTCTCTCCTGCTCTTCTGTTCGTCGTCCAGGACTTGGAAGACTTCTGCTTCAAGTTCTGCGTAAACCACCTGACGGAGGTGACCCAGACCGCTGCCTTCTGGCAGATCGACGGCGACCTCCTCAAAGATTTCATATGTCGAGCCAGTCGCTGTGGAGCCTTCAAAAACTGACCCTCCCTTCAGGCCACCTCTCACCAGAGGCCACCTCTCCAGATGTGTTACCACCTCCTGATAACTGCACTATGATGATGATGGTTGGAAATCTGGAAATGAGCATTTTTGTCAGGTTGGTTTGAATCTTGTTCTTTTGGCAGACAGCTGCTGTTTCCAACAGTGCCTTTCAAAGAGAAACAATTGTTTGGAGAAGCTTCCGTTGCTTTATGATGGACTAGCTTTTAAAACCTCCTGGAATGAATGTTTCAGCTTTTCTTTCAAGTGACCAAGTCATTTCCAGGGTTTGCACTTTTTTTAAAAGTACTTGTTGCTGTTCTTTAACAGAAGACCACATGAGCGCTGTGCCGTGCCATCGTGTTTTCAGGTTACTTCTGAGGCCCTTTGCACTTGTAACCGTAAGGATAAAACAGGACTTGGTTGTGTTGTTTTTAGGATGTAAAGGATTTTAAAGAATATGTTTTTACCAGCAAAAACTAAACAAACAAACCCCCCCCCACTTCCGCTGGTGGTAGCGGGCAGTCAAACGGGGTTTGGATGCATTTAAAGCTGTAATGCAGCCTTTGCCTCTGGTTGAAAATATCTGACAGTATTGCTACTTTATATCTGAAGACTATATTCACTAATTTATAATGACAACTTTAAAAAACCAAGACAATCAGCACTTGTGTATTGGTATTAATATGATGTGCCAGTTAAGTATTGTGACCTCTGAAGCCTAGTAAATAATAAAAAGATGTCAAAGTGATCATTTAATAGTTTGAAGCCTTCAATACTACAGTAAATCCACCTGCTCATAGCTATAGAGTAACGGGTCTAACCTGATCACTTCAGACCTCAATACTTTGATTTCGCCTGTCAGCTCCAGACAGCTGGTGCCAGGGGCCTTGTGTCCTGTGCTGGAAGAGATGAGTCAGAATGAGCTGGTTTGGCTGTGTGTCCATTTTGAGAGGTAAGCCTTTAGAGCGGCTTCTTCTGTGGCCGATGCCTCTTGTAAATTCCACCTTCAGCCTATTAAAAGGTCACCAAAAAACATTTGAGTTTATTGCCAACACCTGTTTGAAGAATCTAGCTTCCTGAGGAATCGACTGTGGGTCGACTGGAGCCTCAGAATGATTTGATCCTCCCCCCGAACTGTGAGCAGGGATTGGGAAGCAAGTACTGACTGCTTAATTTTCTCTTTCTTTCTTTTCCTGTTATTCCAGAGACACACACACACTCTTTTCTTTCCACAATAAGACCTGTTTCAGTATATTCCATCTGGAGTTGTCAGGGGTTGGCATTAATAGGAAAGATTTGAATTTGTAAATAGATCAAATTTATAGAAATTTCTCACAAATAAAAAAATCAAAATTAATAAACTGAGCAGCTTGTGAGACTGAAAATTGATTATTTTAAATGATCATATACAACAGGAAAGTTTTAACTATTAAAAGACATTAAGACATTAAAGAGAAAAATGTAAAAAAAATAGATAAATACAAAAGTGGATTTAAAATAGCTTTGTGGGGGCTAAAAATTGAACTCAAAGTGACTGAAGTGGCTGCTGTGTTATTTCTTCAGCGCTGAGACGACCTCCTTCATGGCTGCCGCCGCCGTCAGCAGCTCCATCTGCTTCCTCTGTAATTCTGTAACCAGAGTTGGTACAAAAAGAAAAAAAGATTGAATTTGCAGAAATCCAGTGTAGCTTAGAGCTGAGGGAATAAAACGAAAACATTCAGCGTGCTTAAGCAAAAAGGATCCAGTATATCTGCACTTAGTCTTTGATTCCATCTGACGTTGTACTGATAATGAAGTTGTGTTTAAATCAAAGCTGTTTTTTTTTTTTTCATATCATCTCCTCAGTTGTCATGTTTGGTTTTCAGGGGTATAAATAAACTCACATGCGTGCAGTTTGAATAATAATAATAATAATTTGAGGTCACTCTGGAGCAGTTTCCAGTCCCTTGTGTCAGGTTTTGATTAGGTGTTGTCATATCATGGCTTTACTTTGGTAGCCTATGATGTATTTTTGTTTTGGGTTCTGCCTTTAGGGGGATTAACACGAGTGTGGCCATGAAGCACTGTTAAGATGTACTCTAGATAAAAAAACATGTGCTACTGCTCACGTACGACTGAAACATGGCCACGTCCTGGAGGACAAACATGTCTTACTGGATTAAACGACCAATTGTTTGGTTTTTCTCTGCGTATCCTATTTTTTAGATGCCTTTACAAATGCTTGAGTTTAATTTATATGTCAATGATTCAAGGGGAAGTTATTCCATTTAAGTTTTCGGTTAACAGGCTGGAAGATTGTCCAACCATCTATATAGAGGCATTTTATATAACAAAGAACTATACACTCCTAACTCCTCTATTCCTAACACTAATTCCTTATTGTCTGTACTTTCTTTTCTTTGCTATGATGGACGATCCTTTTTTTAGGGTTTAAATAAAGCGGTCTGAGTGGTTCTTTCACTTCCTTTTAACGTTATCCATCAGTCAGTACTTGCGTTAGCCCTCTTTACATAAAGAAAACATAGATGGTTTCAGACAGGTCCATCACTTCCCTGTCATAAAACTACAGTGGCGAGGTGTCCTGCCTGGACAGAACCTGGGACAAACACAGAAAAACAAGAGTGGACTTTACCTTCCTGCTGCCTGCTCACAAACTCTCCGAGTTTCCCAGAAGCCTCCATCACTGACAGAGCCCAATCAAAATCTGTCAAAAAGAAGCAGTAGTTTAATTCCGCTGCTTACCGGGCTGGCAGCAGGGACTTGTGGGCGTCCGGTTTGCTCTCTTACCCTCCTGGCTGGCCTGGTGGGTGTGGATTCTGCTGCACACGTCCTTCAGCCCCTCCACTAAGTGGGTGAAGAGGGCCTGCGTGCAGCCCGCTGCGTTGCAGCTTCTCCAGAACGCGGCCGAGTCGACAGTGGGCGCCGGGTTTGCAGGTGGGGGGGGGGGCACAGACGGCCGGGGAGCGGGCCCGGCGGGGGGGGGGGGGGGGGCCCGGTTGGGGGGGGGGGGGGGGGGGGCCCGGTTCAGGGCGGGGGCTCTGCTCAGGAGTCGCAGCAGAATGGGACTCTAAAAATGAGAAAAAGATCCAGGTGGTCTTGCATCTAATAAGAGTTTGGCTCGACTCGTTTCAGAATCAGGTGGACCCAGACTGGTTGTTATAGCAACATTGTAGAATAAGAATATGAAATTAAAACTATATGGTGCAAAAATACTTAATAAATCACCAGATTAATAACAGAATGAACTAAAGTAGCATTTCCATGCTGGGTGATGGTTAGCATCAGATCAAAGTGGAATAATAAAAATAACCTCCATCCTTTACTGCCGGACCAGTAAAGATGACCCTGCTTTTAAGAGGAGCAACAAAAGCAACAAAGCTTTGTTTGTCTGATTGGGACAACAAAATAAAACCGCTGACGTGGTAAAAAGAAAGCGTATAAATACAGTGCAGTTATTTTTGTTTCCATACCCAACATGGGGGTTTCAGGGCTGCCTCTCAGCAAACAGGGCTGGCTCTCACTGTCACACTCTCTCTTGAGCGTCTGAATCTCCACGGAAACGACCCGGGGCAGCTGGGCCGGCGCGGCGGGAGGCGGGGGGCTGGGGGCGGCTCCCCCCACGGGGGGCAGCAGGCTCTCCGACTCAGCATCCTGAGAGGAAGCATCACGTCACACGTTAAGCACATACAAGCACACTTTAGCACATATGTGAATAGGAGTGAATTCCCTCTGGCACTTCAATGATAAAAAGAACTCCTCTCCAGGACGATTATATTGAACAGAGTAAAACTTAAAGAGGACTCAAAATTAATCTGAAGACCCACAGAGTGTATGAATGTTTCCTCTTCATCCTTATTTTCATCCTGGACATGGCAAACACCTGGATTTCCTAACGGGGAGAAGCGAGTTAGAGAAACACAAATAAACGACCTTATTCTTTGGCTGCTTTGCTAAAAACACAGCCTACCTGCAGCAGAACTGAGGCGCCTCTCAGAGCTGATGCTGTGAGCAGAGAATATTCATTAATATCATAACCAAGTGCAACAAAACATCTTATTAAAAATAAGTAACATTAAAACTTTACAAAGCAAATCTTCGCAAAGCTTTGTTTAAAACTGCATTGTGTGAGACTGTGCGCCAAATTTGATTAATTTTGAGTGAATATGGATAACTTTTTAATCCTTATTGAAGTATTTGATCAGTGTCAAAATCTGTCAATATCAAAGAGGACGTCCTGTTTTCTGCCATCATCATTTATCAAATAAACCTGTTCATACCTGTTCAGCTGAGGCACGGTTGGCTGTCAGAAAAAAAAGAAAACAAAGATACCACATCATTCAACATCTGCCTTAACCTTCCTCTGGTATTAGCTTTCTGCTGCCATCTGTAGTGTTAGCGGGTCATTTTGGACCCGTGTATTAAATCAGCCATAAAATACCCTAAAAACAATCTTTTATCATCCAATGTTTTCTTAACTCTTGTTTAGCTGGTTGGGCTCCCTTATCCACGAAAAGATTGGTATTAATATTTTTTTGTGGCCCCCTGGGCCTTTGTTTTAACAGCATACCCCTCGTTTTCAATGTCATAAAAGTGGTCAAATGAACCTTAAGAGTAGAAGGCAACAAAATAATCAGTTGTTCTGTTACCTGAGTGTAACTGAGAGATATTAAAACAAATTCTTTAAATGTTCAACAAAAAAAAGATTTTAATTTTAATATCATCAAATATAGTAACGTCTATGGTGTTTCGGGTAATTTTGGACCCGTATATATTTGCTTCAAGAAAAGGGCAAAAACAAGTCTTTTTTTCCCACACAATAGAACTTTAAAACAATATTTAACAATATGAAAAACAGAACAGTCATAAATAATAATAATTTACAATAAAACAAAGATTTGCAAATAAATAAACAAAAACCAATCGAGAAAATCACATCAAAAGAATCAAGTTCTTGTTCTATCAATACTCTGCGCAAAGAACATGCCTGTGTGTGTATGTGTGTGTTTAGATGCATGTGTTGCAAAAAGTGACACTTTTAGTGTGTTCATTGCTTGATCTGTAAACTCCAGCAAGGAGGAGAACACCAATGTAGGCATCCAGGTACGTCTCATCAATGTCTTTCCATGTGTTGCCATGGACTTTTTTTCCCTCAAGGTTTGTCATAGCAAATATGACTTTTTTTAGTGACAATGGCAAAAAAAGATCAAAGCACGTCTCGATGTCACTTACTCTTGTCACAGCAAACCTCGTGACCCCAGGGGTCATTTGATGATGTTTGCAGCAGCTGTCCTTCCATGCACATCAGGAGGAACTGTGTTCCACCGGATGTTGCCACTTTTGGATTGGAATGATTCAGCAGGAGCAGCTTCAGCACCAGTGACCTCCTCTTCAGACTGATCAGTTGTGTCTGTTTCTTCCAATTGGTACTCCACATCATCTCCGTTCTCAGAGGCCTGCTCATCTCCATCGCTAAAATCCTGTGTGTCCTCTGCCTCATTTGCAGCAAAAATGTGATCCAAAGCTTAATTTACAGTTAATCTTCTCCTCATTGTTGCATCCTGTGAATTGGAGATGTGTACTCTGCAAGTCACCACCTCTACACTCAAATGGCTTGACAAGCCTGGACATGTCTCCCTTTGTTTGTTCTTGCAAAAAGGCAAAGAGAAAAGCCCCTAAATGAAGCTCAAGTGGTTGGAGGAACATGCTGTTGGTTGACTGTGTGTTCATGTTTTAATTTTGGGCATTTTTTATTGTTTTATGATAGAAAATTTTAACCGGGTCACAAATGACCCGAACACCACAGAAGTCATTTTTTTCACCAGAGCACTTTATAATTTAGTAAAAAAAAAAAAAAAGATTTTAATTTGTTTAAATGTAAGTCCCTGACAAAGTCAAAAAGTTTCAACTCAAAAAACAAATGTATGAAGTGCTTTTATGCATGTTAAAACTCAAAACGGGTCCGCCGGGACCCTAACACCATAGGAAGGTTAAACATTTATGATGTCACAAATGAAACAAACAAAAAATCTAAGCTCAGACCCACCTCTGTAGCCAGGTTTTGACTCTCCTCTATATCAGACTCTAATGGAGGAATAAGTTCTTTATCTGCAACAACAAAAGGAGGATTCAGAAACGTTTGCATCTGTTGGTCAATCACAGAAAAAAATATGATCATGCGGACTAACCAGAGTCTGAAGAATCATCAGATACGATTCTATTCCAGTTTACAGACTTCCTCTTAAAGGAGTTCTCCTCTTCTTCCCTGTGACAAAAAAAGAACAGGCATCACAACTGATTGCGAATCAAAGCTTAAAATGAAATTAAAGGACAATAAACATAAATAGATTTTTTCATGGATAATAAAAAGCAATGCAAAGGAAAACAAACCAAAACTATTTGTCTTCATATTTAATTTTAAATGGTTAAGATGAGACCCAATCATCTTAATAGAAATTTTTTGATTAACCAGACCTATTCTAATCGCCAAGAAAACAAAACAAAAAAACAACTGCAACATGTCCAGATGATTCACACTGCAGTGACCGATCAAGCATAAATGCCACCACCCACTATGTTCCAAAGAAGAAAGGAAAACTTAACCAGAACACCGGAAACACAGGCCGTAGCCTCCAGAAAGATTTGGGAAAAACAAATATCTAGTAGAGAAAACCTTTAAAAATCTACAGTTGCTGACAAAAGTATTGAGAGCTATCAAGACAATTAATCAGTGACATCTCCAAAAACTAACAGAGGGGGCGGGGGAGGGACGACAGCAGAGGATGTTTACTTGCAATGAGAACATATTGGAATTTGACCCCCGCCTCTCCAAAAAAAGAGGGAAGATGGCTGAGAAAGTCTGGGAAGAACTGCATGGATTCAAAGGACGTATGAACCTTTAGAGGGTTATGTAAAAACGCCCAAAGCAAAAAAACATCCATTAGTTCTGCTAAACTTATCAGGAGATCCTTTGGCAACCCAAGCTGAGCATCTATTAGAGAACAAAACGACAAAACAACGAGTCTGGAAGGATTGGGTTGTATTACAGGTCTGAATGCAAATACCAGGAAATGAAAGCCGACAGAACGGATCTCTTGCATCATCCATTCCTAGACAGCGTAAAACAGAAAACCTTTTTTTTTTTATTGACTTTTCCTGGTTTCTGAGTGTACAGACGAGGCCAGTGAGTGTACACAAAAAGGCCCGATATGCTCGGGGTGACGATGGGCGGGGAAATAATCCTCCAGTAGAAATATTCACCTGTAATGTGTGTTAGTTAGAGACCAACACTTACCGCCCATCAAAAGACAGCCCTCTCTGAAAAGCAAAAATCAGATCTCAGTCAGTTTGATGAGACAGAGGGAGTTTTGAATAACTTAATTCAAGGAAAACAGTAATGATACCTTAGAAGATGCTCTGGCTGCAGAGGAATAGCCTGCAGCCAAAAAACAAACACATTCATTTGTTAAACGAGAGGGGAAAAACCAAACAAAAAAAGACACACACACACAAATCTCTGAGCAGGACTCACCGTTGCTGCTTCTCTTGTGGGATGAAGGAACATGTTTGGCACAATAAAACCTAAATATAAAATGAAAAAAACATAAATGCTGGCTGTTAAAGATGGATGGAAAGCACAAGGCAACATCATGAAGAAAGAAATCCATGAAGAACTCACATAGGCAAACTGCCCATGGGCGCTTTTCCCTCCGTTTTCTCACAGGCTGGGCAGTGAGCCTCCAGAAAAAAATAAAATAAAAGCAATTTAATTATCAAATTTGGAATTTTACAGAACACCAGTTATTCCAAGACATATTTCTCAGAAAATGGAAAAGAATAGTCATTGGCTTGCAAACATTTTTAAAATATCTGTTTAGAATTGTCCATAAATGATCGTATTTTCCACAATATAAGGCGCACCGCATTATATGACACAACAAAAACAAACCTTGGACGGCCCCGCCTCGCTGGAATTGTTAGAGAATTGATGTCTTTGGAATGCTCTCGCATAATCACCATTACCTGGGCAAATTGAGGGCAAGTATTACACGCCACAAAGCAGTCAGGTGAAATTAAAAAGAGGAAAGTCTCCACTTACTTTGCTTTCTGTGTTTCAGACAGTATAACCTGGGTAAGACGCACAAATGCAGGTGTGAAAAAAATAAAAGGTACAGACACATTTGATTCAGAATGCAGGACTGCAGCCACTCTGAACTGACCCAAATTTCCCATGTTGGTGATCCTCAAAAATCTCAGCCCCCCCCTGAACGGCGCAGGGGTAATGGAAGGATTTCTTGCAGCGTTTGTTCTCACACCCTGCAGTGGCGCCCTTTTTCTTACAGTGGTAGCAGAGCTAACGCAGACAAAGAGGTAACAAAGGGGGGGAAAGGGTTTAGTTATAAATAACCAGAACGGGCCCTTTCCGATCTGACGGCCACGGCGCTCCGTACCAGTCTGCTCCCTCGCTTCACCTCATCCAGCACGTCGTCCACCGAGAATCCAAACAGGTCGTCCAGCAGCGGAGAGTCCGTGCAGAAGATTCCAGAGGAGAACAGCTGGAAAGGAGCACAGGGACGGTCATTCAAAGAATGCTGAAGCAGGTTTGGCGGCAGGATGGAGAAAACCTCCCCTGTACATTCAGGTTATTCACAGCTGGAAGAGAAAATGTGGAATTCCGACAACGGAAATGCAAACTGTGATGGGAATTCTTCATTTTTCGGCTGTCTTTCGTGTTTTTCTTTCCTTTCTTTGATCTCAACTTCAGTTTGTCTAAAAAAAAGTTACATTCAATCCACCATTTTGGGCCCACAATGTGGTCCAAAATAAGAATTTTTACTATTATTGAATGGGGGACCAAAAATAAAAGGAGACAAAGCAGGTAATCTAGCTCCATTCACAAACATGTTTTCAGCCTTTACAGGAAGAAAGTGAAGCCTTTCGTTGGCCTTTTTCAGAGGCAATATCAGCCCAACTGCCTGGAAGTTTCACACTGGGATCTCTTTGAGGACGAAAAGGACCCAAAACATCTCAAACAGGGCCTACAGAAAGCCATAGTGATCCCCAAAAGTCCAATTCCACTTCTGTGATAGCAGCAGTAAATCAGCAAAATAATTAATAAATCACAGAGACAGTAGAGAGAGAAAAAATCCCGTGTCTCATCCACGAACCTCCCACCCCACACCTTTAAAGACATTCCATGTAATTTTCAGCTCTTAGCATCAGTTTCAGATATCTCAAATGTACTTCATGACTAGAGCACTGGTTTACGTCTCTGACTTGTTCACTTCCCGTGACTACAAAGTTTCCCCCAGCCATTTTCTTTTACCTGGTTCATTTGAATATGAATAAGCCATTGGCACGGCAACTTTACAGCACAGTTCCAAGTGGTATAGTGAAGAAATTCAAGGAGGGGGGGGGGGGCGTCACATGCCGCTGCTCTACATTTTCTATTTCGACTTTCTGCCTTTCAAGACGTAAACAAACAAGTGGCTAGTAAGCCACCTTTAACCCTTCAAATGAGCCAACCCGTGGAGCATCGCGAGAGTTCATGCTAGAGTAAACTAATACAAGTAGAGTCAAGCAAAACTTCAAAACGCCTTTGAATTTACCAAACAATTCTGGTGGGCCGTGACTTGCTCTTTGGTCGACAGAGCTCCGGTTATCTTCGTCTCTTCCGAGCGTTGACAGAGTAGGCAGGACGCTTTCCGACCGTTGCCCATTTTCACTTAGTAACCCTAAAATGAAGCCTTAAACAGGACTTTCTCGTTCCGTTATAATGTATTGATGTTTAGCCACTTCTGCGCGTATTTACCGCTTTGGCGTTATCCGGGCCATCTCACCAATCATGGCCTCCCCGGCGGTTGCCAGGTTGGCGAAACATCTCCCCGTTTAGTTTTCTGAGAAGTACGAATACAGCACAACCCATACAACAACCCCAAATAAGAAATAAAAGCAGATGTTGCCTGCAGTTTTTTTTTTTTTTATATTACAAAAATTTGGACCGCAACCTAGGTTCTATAAAGTAATTGGGTTCCAAGCAAAATTCCACAGACATTCCCACATAGATTGTTTCAAATATAGAACTTTCATTCAGGTTTGCCGGTTGCTGGTCTGAAATAGAAAACATATCGATATATTTTGTGTCGGTAATGTATTAGCAGCTCTATGGGTTCCCAGTGTCCACCAATTCTATATTGAATAATAAAGAATATACTTCTTTCTTTTGCTTCCCTCTGTAATGTTGAGGACATAAAGATGCACTTTAAAGACTTTTTTGTTGTCTCATCTGATCAATTAGGTCTTTTTTTTTTGCATTTTCAATTTTATTCAGTTGAATTTTTAAGAGGTCCAGAAATCTGGCAACCAAGTTGGACAGTTTCACTTTCATTTCTGCAGAAAGCTTAACTGATAATTACCTAACAATGATGTACAGTGATGTTATGTAATGATAATTCACTCAGTAAATCACTTAAAAAAAATAAAGACACTGCAATAGCGTTGTCACGAGTCATTTATGTAAAAAATATTAGACAAGTCACCAAATAGTGACATCACCATACTTAATGTACAATATATCATCTCCATTAACAATCATCTTATGACAGACTTGATAATTCACAGTATCTACATTCAGAATGTGGTCCTTCTGCAGGGAATAAGTTTGCTTTATACAGTGATCACTGATTCTTCACACTGAGAAACGGCTGTTGCATTTATAAAAATCCACAAACAGCGGGAGAATGACGAGGAAAGGTCACACACAACGTTTGGACAGCTAGTGGTGGGACAGGTATCTAAATACAAGCTGAGGACAGGCGGGCGGAGTGTAAAAAGATGACAAGAAAAAAGAGGGATGACAACATTAAATGAATACACATGGGTGTTTCTCACAAATAAACAAATGTTTAAAGGGGAAAAAAAGAGGGAAACATACAATATAAACAAGAACCTTGTGTTATTGTCTCTTCACCTTTTTGAAAATGACTGTTAGGATGTGACCATGTGAGATTGTGGTCTTTGTCCCATTTGGAATGAGAACATAAACAGATGCATTTCGTAAGATCAGTCCTGCTGCTCCATTCATACATCTATTTCATAACCATAGACACAAGCGTTTCCAACTAGAGGGAGATCACTTTACTAAACGGTGAGTTTGCTGTGAATATAAATCTGTTCTGCATGGTCACTAAAAGATGGCACGATTAACTCCAAAGGACGGTCCTAACATGTTTGTGATAGAAAATAATTTGATTAAACGTATGGAAAAATACTTTTTTCTGTGCAAATTTCACATGAGTACTGATGTTGGCAATACGGCACAGATACAACCACGTGATGCTAGTGTTCTTGAAGGCAGCTCCATGGTGGGGGAAGAGCTGAAGAGTTCAGGGTTTGGTGTCTGGTAAGTTTGCGTAGGTCTCACTACAGCTGGATGATGTGCTGAGGTTCCCAGAACCACTGCCCTCTGTTTCAAACAGACAAACACTGAGATGACAACCTTAACTTTTAACAGCTGGGCGTTGGTGTACTTCGTTTGGGGTTGCTCCCTTAGATACCTGAGCTGGTGAGAGACTGACAAGACTTGGACTTTCCAATGAGGGTGATGAGGTTAGCAGCAGCGATCCAGCCCTCCTTAGAAGAATTCAGGTTGCGTACAAACCTAGAAACAAAAGCAGGATTATGGGTGTGTAAAAGGCTTTTAAAAAAGGGAAGGTTTGTATCTGAAAATTCTGGGCCAAGAGCTGCCCAGGCCTCCAATGGAAGCACAGTGAGGACGTATTCTCACCACTGTCCATCGCCTCCCTCCTTCACCAGCTGAACCATGTCTCCACTTTTCACCGACAGCTCCTGAGCACATCCTTTCTCATAGTCCGCCATTACAGTATATTTACCAGCACACTGTTTGTAGTGAGGACACAAGTTAAGATACACTAATCAATAATGGAACCAATGCTGCAGCAATCTGAGGTAAACAAACAAATTATTTCACGCCGTAGACCCCAGAGTGTTATTAGCAACACGCTGTAGGTTTTGTACACGCAGGTCCTCACCAGCTTCTTGACGTTTTCGTCTTCTGGGTCAGAGTTAACGGGGTCCTCAGCGCTAGAGTAGCCGTCCTGTTCCTCTGAGGCGCCCAGCGACAGGGAGGCCTTGTTCCAGCCTGGGCAAAGAGGGGAATAGGAGTCAACTGACGCCAAACGTAAAGCTCCAAATGCTGCCAGGCCTGCATGTGAGGGAAGAGACGGGTGGACAAACCACTTTCAACAAAAAAGTGAAAAGCCCCTAAACCCAGGAACCCAGGATTTAGTCAGTTCCACAGCTACATTCTGAAAAACGCAGACTGTGGCGGCTGGCTGGCATGCAGCTTCACATACAGGAAGAAAGAGGTAGGCAAGTGACTCGTTTGTGCAAGTGGCTAATTCTATTATCGCTACTATCACGCTAAGCGTAAAAGAAAAACAGGCCCCCAGCGGAGATCTTTCTTTTTCAACGGTGAAACAGTGAGCTGGCACAAAGTCAGCGTGGTCCTGCCATTGCCAGTAGTACCTCTCCATTTTGTCTGTAAGAGACTAGAGGTGCTGAACCACCTGGCTCTGGTGAGGTGGAGAGGAGGAGGACCTGCATCTGAGGGACATGAGGCACAGCCGGTCACTAAACCCTGAAGCTTAGTCCAATGCCATGCCTGCACTAAAGGCGGACAGCCAACCAAATGCGGATTAAAAAAACTACCTTTAAAGCCAAACGGAGTGGGATCGCTCTGCCGCTTTGTCTTGTGATCTGGGCTGGTTGGAGATCCTATCGTGGAGCATGAAAAGGACAGACAAGACTGGACATTAGGAATGAAAGAAATCCACACCCAGCCCTATAGATCAACACTCACACAATTTCAGCTCTATATAGAGCAGAGGAGGGAAGACAGCTAATAAAAAGGTAAAGCTAATTCTAATTAGGAGAGTATCAGAAAAAAAAAACAGCTCAGTGTTGTGCTGCTTTTTTTTTTTTTAAATAGAGGAAGTGCTCTAAGGGGGTGCTCTTTTTCACGGAGGGCATTTGGATGCTGGTAAGTCGTTTAAGTTTTTCGGCTCCTTTGTGTTTACACGCCGATGACTTAGTCAAACGAATGAGCCAAAACAGCTGCAGTGAAAAAGGCAAAGCACCAGACGGGGTCAAACCAGGATCCAGAGCTGTGTGATACCTTGTGATGGGAAGATTATCGTGGGTAATGTAAAACTTTTGTCTTCAGTATCTGAGGGCTCTGTGGATAGAGGCACATCTTTGAAATCCTTATTTTTTTCAACAACAGACTGAGAGATAGCTTTTCTCAGTGTAATTATCCCAAGACGTAACTAAAAGTGTGCCAATTATGAAATACCAACAATATCCTCCTTTACTTCTCAGCAGTAAAGTCAAACATGAGTTCAAAAGCTCCAACAGGCTCTCATTTCACAGTGATGGCATGCTGTTACCTTTCTGGACTTTGAGGTTACTGAATCCCTGTAATGTAAAGCGCTTTCTAGCCACAGCAGCTCTGTCTGAGGTTGGGCTTGTCACAGCCTCATCTGACCCCGAGGAAAAGCAAGAAGACAGGACAGACGGAAGGAAACCAGGGACAGAGGGAAGGAGGCAGGAAGGAAGACAATGAGTTAAGCAAAGGAGAACATTAAAGAGGAAGGAAGTCATTGGAAAACATAGAGTTAATACATGGGTCATCATTAGCAGAGGGGAGTCAAACAGGTCTGTGTGACGTGAGCACGACAGATGAAAAAGGCAGATTTGTTCAAATAGAAAACGAACAACAAACATCTGCACCTTCTTCCAGTTTGAGCACTAACCTTTTCCAGTGAGCTTTGGTGAAGAGGTGGAGTTGATATCGAGGCTGCAGTGCTCAGCTTTCCTCTCTTCTCCCTTTTTAAAGCTTCTCTGACCCGTCTTGAATGGACTGCAGCGGAAAAGAAGTTCAACACGCTCAGCTGATGGAACTGGTCCTGACAACTCAAACTTTATAGGTAGCGTACAACTGTTTGTCTTTATTGTGTTGTAAATCAAAATGTCTCTGAAGGAAGAAATTACTAAAATGGCATATTCACAAGAGAAAAATACTAGAGAATATGATATTTATCAACTGGCAAAAAGTTAAAAAACATAGAATAAATAGAACTTTAAGAGAACCTGAAAAATTTAATAATATACTTAAAAATGTAAAAATATACTTAGTCTTGCTTTTATTTAACAGAGCTGGTAAGCAGCTTACTATTTTTTAGCACAGGACCTGACAAACAAGGCCACTACATACCATGCTTTCCATTAAAATTGTCATAAAGAATAAATGAAGGGAAACCACAAACTTACCTGAGACTTACTGTTCCACTGGGCACAGGCGGAAACTGGAAAACCTGGTCTGGCCCCCTCTGCTGGCTGGCTTCTGAAAGAAAGAGAAATTAACATAACCACTTCAAGGCCGCAGTTTATCCTAATTCTGAATTTCAGATGATTCTGATTTAGTCAAACATGGCTAATATTTTCACACTCCATTTACAAATGGGGTTATTTTCTCTTACCTCGGCATGCCTGCAGTTGGGTTGTCAGAACCTTCCTAATTTCATTCACCCACGTGGTTTTTACTTCAGTACTTGGTGCCTGATGATCAACATTGACATAAATATTTATACCCTCTATTTGGATTTTACAATGCTTATAACTAAAATTAGTGAGTGTACATTTTCTTCTGTGTGTTGGTTTACCTGAACGATATAGACCTCTTCTCTGGAGTTGCACCAGATTTCAAACTTTTTGTTATCTCCTTTTGCATTCTCAGTAATACCCACTGCACTCATCTGTCCAAAAATTAAAAGGAGAATAATGTGAACTTTGCTGACACTACTAATAAAAAACAAATGGAGGAAAAGTGAAGCACAAGAGTTGTGCAGGAGCTCACACTCAGAGACTGTTTGAAGCTATATGAGGGGGCTTTTTCATAACCCTCTCCGTTCTCCTCCCTCTTCTTGCAGAAAAGCAGGGCCTTCTCATGGAGGAATAGGTGTCTCTGCATGGGCTTAAAACGAGCCAGATCCTTCACCTTAGCGTGGCCCTTCTTGTGCTCTGTCCACACGCTGAACGACCCTTGCATTAGTAGCTTACCCAGCTCAGTGAGATTGCCCTAAAAGTGGGAACAGAGATGAACAGGAAATGACACTGTATGAGAGAGATTTTTAAACACTGTGATATTTGTTTGATCCTGAGCCACCAGTTTTTAGACAAACATGTTAGACCAGAGCGTCAGTCAAAATTCTTTTAGTTTCAAAGTTTCAAAGTGATTGAATTATGGACCAATAAATCTTATATGTAATCTTACTATCACAGACACATGACAGGATTTAGACACGGATGTAATTTTTTTTATTCGAAGACCAAAAGAATATATTTCAAATGGATAGATAAGAATAAAGACTTTTATGTGTAAGATTGGAGATTTAAAAAGTTTTAGCGTGTTCATATCCCATTTAAAATCCCTTTAGTCTGGCGTATCCTGCTCTGATTCTGCTCTTGATCAAATGTAAAACAAAGATTGAAACTTGTTCAGGTTTTTCTTTCTTTTTTTGGTTATAGAATACTGCAGAAAACAGGCTTGAACCTGTTAGTTTGCCAATGGACAAAACACTGTTGCTCTTATGGGAATAAAAGGATTATGATTAATGGATAATCCCTTAATAACTAATCGTGTTTTCTTAAACACCCACAATTAAATCTTAAAGTCGTCATTTTTGTTACATGTAGACTATTTAATTGAAAATCTTTTGTGATAAAGCTCTATGCACAACACATGTATTCCACCTTTTAGTAAATAAAGGTGCCTCTTCAGCACTGCACCACAGTTGTTAGTTTTAGGAATGCTGAACACTGCGTTTGGGGTCATAATCTAAAAAGTACAATCCACACAGTATGATATGATATAGATAACGTGCTTAAATAATTCTAGAAAAAACAGCGTGAGTTGATAAATGCACTCACATAAACGTAATAATTATGGAACCCCCGCTTATGGGACATATGGAACTACACAATTACCCTTAAACAGTAATGCAAATCAGAGCTCACAGGCAGCCACAGGGGGCTCCTATAGAGAAGACTAAATCTGATCAACATGCTTCATGTTACGGCTTTATATATTCCTTCCAGAACATTTGGAGTTAATTGCACAGCATGTCATAGATCTAAGTAATCTGTTCTTTGGTTAATAAGCCTGGGGTACTTAAATGCCTCACCTCATATCCTGTAATGGCGATCAGGTGCATGGAGTCATTGACAGCCTTGAGGATGCCCAAGATTGAGGTCAGTGCCTCCTGCAGGTCATCAGCCCCCTCACAGCCCTTACTATACTTCAGCATTTCCTGTAGGGAGGAAATTACAATCCGGCAGCTCAAAGCATCGAAGCGAAAAGAGATTCTGTTAAGTTTGTGGCCTGTGGATTAATTAGTACCTTCAGCAGCAGCTGATACTTTGTAATCCTTTGAACTGGCTTCAGTAGATAAGAATCTAAACCCAGCTTATGCTCCAACTTTTTCTGACACTCCTAAAGAAATAAAAATGTAAAAAACAAAAACAAACAAACAGTCAAATAAGACTACAATTTTTAAGGAAAAACATTCATTTTCTGGGGGTTTAGTCCACCTGAAAGAAGGCACAGTCTGAACACTGCCTCCAAAGGCTCTCAGAGCGAGGTTTGTTGTGACAGTACTTCTCATAGATCTGCAGGTCTGTCATCTGAGGAAGGATGGGAAACAGTTTAAGAAAGCAGCTTCTCAGTGTCTGTGCTCACAACGTAATAATTCACTCACCCTCTCCAGAAAGCACCGTCCAACCAGTTCAGGGCAGCCTGTGTACTGTTCCAGCTCCCTTAGAAAAGTTCTGAGGACAAAAAAGCAGACAAACAACAACATGAATTTAAAACCAAGTGCAAATAATAAACACAAGCTGCGACAAAAAGTTCAAATATCACGGCATGTTACAGGAACCATGAACAACCACCAGGGGGCGCTTAGTCACCTTTTGTGAAAGTGGTAAATTTCAGGCATGTTCCCAAACAGAACCTCCTTTTTGCTTTGCAGAGATGCAGGGATGAGGTGAGACATTGCTGGATTATCCATCTCGGAAGCATATCCCTATGATGACAAAAATAAAGTATGATGCAGGTAAAAATAAATAAATACACAAATGGGCTCATTGAATATTGCGTGGGCTTATCAGACACCTGCAGCACACAGAGCAGCTCCTCCACATAGGCTCTCTCAGTTTCCAGCAGCTCGTTCATGACATGCCTGCACATGGACAAAAAACAGGAATAAAACTAAAAGTTTTCGGTGCACTCGGAAAAGGTAGCAGCCCAGTGCTGTAGATAATGAGATAAGCGCTTTCACACAGTCCATCTGCTGTGTAACTCGATTACAGATGAAAGAGTTACTGCTGGGGTCCCTCACCGCCTGAGCACTGCCAGGTTCTCCTCCTCCTCGGACTGAGATGCATGTCTGCTATTGCCATCTCCATTCTGCAGTTGGCCGTTTCCCTGTGAGGCAAAAGACAAATAGGTTTGATTTGCTTTGACCAGGAATGGTCACTGAAACTAGACAGAGAGTGTGTGAGACAGCATTCGGACACACACAAACACACAAAAAAAGGATAAAAATTCTTACTTTTTCGGAGCTGATGGAGTCCGAGCAGTTTTTCTCCTGCTGAGTTCTGTGTGCTGCAGATGCGGAAAATCATAATTTTCATACATTTCAAAGTTGGGAGAAGGACCACTGACAAAACCTCTGTTATTTTGTGGGGGAAGATTTAAACAAAGCTTTTGAGATGTGGAAACTGAAGCACTTTAAAATAATGAAGACATATTTGGGACTTTATGAAGAATGCAGTCAAATGGATCTAAATATAATATAGTTGTCACAATCTGAATTCATTTTCGCTCTTAAAACCTTTCCTAAAACTAGCTTTAAGGCTATCAAAATTATGATCTGGTAACTGACAGGGTTAATTTGAATCAAACTAAGCTAGTTAGTTATAGCATGGAATATAAAGTGAAGACTGGCAGTTACTCCATAATACAGAACAAATGTGTCATATCATTCTGCCACTGAAGGATCGCAAAATGGGTGAAAGAAAGTGGTTTCAGAAACAATATGAGAAGCATTTTTGTAATTAACAGCATTTTCAACAGGCGTTTTATGATTTTTTTTGTCCAGATGAATCAAATTCAATCCATTCTCCAGTGAATAACAGATGCTAATTAGAAGTTATTGGAAACGACAGATACGTGATCAAAAACCATTCTAAAAAAATACTTAGAAGTATGAGGACAGTAAAATGCAACTAACAGATGACTGTGTAAAGACTCACCAGGTGAGCTGAGGGGGGATTTGATAAAGGCTTCGGGTCTCGGGGCCACCGGCTGCACAGGCCTGGTTTGTTTGGCCGCTAGCTTCTTGAGGCTGACCCTCCTCTTGTCAAACATCTCTTGCATGGATGCCTGCTTCTGGTAAACTTTCTCCACTTGGTCCTGACACACAGGAAGCCATCAAAGGTGTGTCATAAACAACCAATGTTTCATGTTATGTCTGCTGTGTTATCATCAATGCAGCGGGAACACCATAATGCGAGACCTAATGCCATTTTGATGTCAGACACATGACGATAATGTAGTTAAATGGCAGCCGCTCATGTCTCTTTATCATAACTGCATCAAGTTGTTACAACCACCCCGGAGGAGCAGTGAGACGTTTAAATGCAGCATGTGTTCTTTTTCTTACCCTTAACTGTTGGTTCAGCACTGCCTCGTACTCATTCCAGATGCTGCTGAGGTCGCTCAGTTGATTCTGGCCCGCACTGTCCAGGTGACGCTCAAGCTCCTGTAGGGCCAACTCCGCCCCCTCGTGTGATTGACACTTATCTACTGGCTGAGACGCCAGTAGATAAATCCCATCGTCCACCCATTTAGACGCCTGCAGAATATGACAGAGGGGGATGAAGTTTAGATGCATAAAATGACATGAGGAGGCGTTTAAGCTGGAGGTGTTTTAATGTCTTCTCACCCTCTCCAACCGCTGGTGCAGCTCCATGGCTTTCTGCAGAAGGTCCTTCTTGGCCCTCAGATTAGCGCTCACATTCTCACTGATTTGTCTGAGCTCACAGCATTTGGGTTGAATAGAGTCTTCAGCATAGTGGGAGTGCTGGATAAGGTCATCACCCTCACGAGACAAGGCCAGGGCTCTGTCCAGAACCTCCTGTGGACCCGAGCAAACAGCTTTTCAAAAAGAACCCCTCTGTGACTTTATCATCTCCGGATGAGCGTGAATTCTGTTAGTAGTTTTTAAAATCAATTTCAAAGTTTTCCTTTGCTGATTTTGAATTTAACCTAAATTCATCTGCATGCTGCAAGGAGTCCTTCAGAATGTGACAACTTTCCTTCCGAGGTTGAGAAAAAACATCTAGATCATAGATAGTATTTTATTGTGATACAGTTCTGCATCCAAAATTCCATTTTTAAAAATCGAATTTATCTTACACTAGCCAGCCTAGCCTAAGAACTGTATTACTATAATTCTGTTTCTAGACCTGCTTGTACAGAAGCGAATGAAACTGCGTCAGATTGTTATCAATATTCGGCCACTATGAATCTCAACAAAAACACACAGCTCATTCATAACATTGGGGTTTATCTTCTTATCTGCATTAAAGAGCATGGTTCCCATCCAATAAACTACAAAGTCTGAACAAAGTTTGGATCGGTAGGGGTCGGGAGCGACTTACACAAACTCTCTCCTCAAAGCTGGTGAGTTCACAGAGGATGTGGTCAGCGTGTGCCGGGCTGATCCCGACCTCAGAGAAGGCTGCGAGCTTTTCCAACAGCTGATCCAGCAGAACTCTCACCTGCAGTAGGCATGTTACATTCAGTTTTTATGTCTGAAAGGCTTAGAAGAACGGCGGCGTAGTCCGTCACATTTCAGTCTGGTCGATCGGCTCCGGCTCACCTCTCTGTAGCTATGCTCAAAGTGGCGCAGTTGGAGACACTGCTCCAGTTTGGTCTGATGCCTCACCCAGAACTCATCGAAGGCCCTCTCGGTCTCATCCAGCTGAGACAGCAGTCTGACGTTAAAAAAGCAAAGAAGAAAAAAAAAAGGGAAAGCAAGCAGAGAAAACAAAGACAACGGAGACATTAGCCAAGAGGAAGGCGCAATGGTGCTGCTGAATGAGATTTTTGGGCTTTCTTGATTTTTCATGGAATAGTCCGACATTTTGGTTCATTTAAATGAGAAAAACAACTCTTAGAAGGTTAATAGATCCGAGAACATTAATAAATAGTTAATAGATGAATAATGTCCCTTACCTTTGTACTGTTGCGAGGTTCTCCAGTTCATCCTGATTCATGTTGTGGTCGGGGTCTCGCATTAAGGGCTCATTGATACCCTCCAAAAGCCTGCTGCCCTGTCCCAGAGCCACCAGTATGTCCTCCTGCAGACAAACGGGCAAAAACGGAGCCACACTTGTAACCCAGAAAGATCATGAATGGACTGCAGAAGTATACAGACACATATAAGTCTGTACTATAGGGACCACCTTCATTTTATCTCGTCTGTTGGTGTGTGTGCTCAGCAGGATTGTTGTGGCTTGGATTTCATTTGGGAGTTCAGTTTCTGCCAGCTCCATCCCAAACGACTGTAGGGTCTGTGCTGTTCTCTTAACCATCATAGCAAAGCCTTCAATAGCCTGAATAACAAAGCAGGAATCAGAGATTTTCAGCATACCTGCTCCCCAAACAGAAAACAGCACATTGGTCATGACTCCACCTTTGGTGCTTTTTGTGATGTTTATTGAGTTTCAAGCCTCAATGTAGAAATATATTACTTCTGGACAAATATATTACTTCTGGACAATCTGAACATCCAAGTTTGAAAACATGCTTGTTTTTTATGTTTACTGCTTTTTTGGGGGTCTTTTTTAGCAACTAATAGCTATACGGAAAGGTGATCTGAGCAGTGCTCATTCATGTTTTCATACAGTGCGGTGGGAGATCCACTTCTCGTGGCAGTATTCCTGTGCCCCCCCGAGTTCCTGCGTCAGCTGCGTGCGGTCAATGTAGGAGTGCAGCTCAGTTACTGAGCTTAACATGATCACCTGAGACAAAAACACCCATCACTCATTGGTCATTTTATTCTACAAGTAAATGCAAAAAATGTTAATATACTTTGCAGTCTGATGGCACCTACCGGGACTTTCATCTTGAACTCATCCTTGTTGAATTTGAAGAGGATATCTGAGAGTGTGCGTTGTAGGAGTGTGGTGGGCCTCAGAACCAGGACCAGCTCGAGGTTCCCAGGAAAGGAGCCCTGAAAAAGAATAGAGATCAAAGCTTTCACTGATGACGAGCGCCTCCTTTTCCTCCCGGTAATTAATCAATCTTCAGAGAACGGTCTGTTTTCTCCTCTGACAGCCTGTATATTATTCATCCCTTCTCTCTACTATTTGAAGACTCTGCTCAAACACACAATGAAGCTTTTATGTGAGATCTGAAGGGAAACATGGAGGATGAAGCTCAGACATTTATCTATACCACTGCAATAGCTCTGCAGAAATAATAAAACAAAAGTATTCCTCACACAGCTGTGCATGTACATGAATCAGTTTCTGTCCTTATGGAACTGATGTTGAATTAGAGAGTCATATTACCATTTCCTCTGATATATAAAAAAAACCCTTGCTGTATTTAACTTCCTCTCCTGTTTTCTTTCCCCTGTCTTCAGGACTCCAAGACTCTGTATTTGTGATTTGATACATAAAACTGACTCAAAAAATAAAAACAGTCACCGCTTAACATACTCGGAATAAAGACAGCAAATCTCACAAAGCAAAACAGATTGGATGATGTTCTCAAAACAACCTCGTAAATCCTCCCTCACATTTATTATATCCCGTTTCCAGGAAATGCTAAGCTTAGCCAGCAAAATAAATAAAATGCCTATTAAAATGTCCTGACAGACATCCACTGACAACCTGATGTGGAAGCGGTTGGATGAGGTTGAGGGTAGTATTTTATCTCCCTTTCTGAAGCAGAGCTATTGTTAATACAGCATTAATTAGCTAATGACATTAATGAATGGGTTGCCGGATTGGTGCTCCCATCCAAGCGAGCTGAAAAATGCTGGTCTATGCAAAGGTGATTCTAAATAGATTGTTAATATAAACCTCAAGGGAGAGGCTTTGTTAGTGGAAATAATAAATCAGCTCAGTGTTTGTCCTTGCTGACCAGTTGGAGGAAGGAAGATAACTGTGCAGAAAACTGTCATGAACCAGCTGGGTCGATAAAACCGACAATCTTTGGAAAATGCAGATATTTTTATATATAATTGTAGTGGGTGTCCAACAAAGGTGGTATGTCTGTGATAAATAGGTTAATTTAGATCATATTCTCCCCCACTAACAGTGAATTGATTCTATTAATTTCATCTTAAAAATAGCTGTCATTTATGGATAACAAAAACATATTTTTTCATTTTGTGCAATCTAACTAAATTAAAAGAAAGAATAATTATTCAAGTGAAGTTTGTTGAAAACTACATTACCTGAGAGTTCAGGAAAACAATGTATCCTTTTAAAAAAAAAAGTAAAACTGTACACTCATGATTTACATTGACCAAATTCAGCTTATAAGCAACTACTCCATCATGTTGCTTGGATGGGAGGCTGCTGGCTCTGAGTCAAGATCTCTTTGCTCTTTGTTTTTGATCAATGGTGGACAGACAGACAAAAGCCTCAAAGAAGAGATGCAGTAAAACTGGAGACTTATTTAAGATCAGTTTACAAACAGTTTCTGCATCATCTATTTGAACTCAGCTATGCACTGCAGTCTGCAGCTTTCCTGGAGAGCAAACTGACCAACACTCATTTCCACATCCCACAATATGCACAAACATGCTAATACATGCAGAACTGCAGAAAGTCAAAGTGAGAATCGATTGTTGGTAGAAATGAGCCGTGATCCACAGATCATTTGCTTACTGACTGTAGACCCCGCCCCCCTCCCAAAACCCTTAATCATTTTACACTTAACAGTCTATCTGAATCCCATCAAGCAGGATATTTCTGCAGGGTTGATTTAACTGCCCCATTAATGCCCGTCAACCTGTAAAATTCTATCATGTGGGATTAATAAATCTTGATTTAATTTGAAATGACTGAGTGGGTCTAGCATTCCTCCCGCAAGACTCATGTTTTTGCAAATGAGAAAATAAACCTTTTTCTTAATCTACGATTCTCAAATTAGGGGCTAAAACGTTTGAAGATGTCAAATGTGTGACAAAAACTGTCCAAAATGTTAATTGTTAGATCTTTTTCGCTATCCCATACAGTGTTTGGATGGTGTTTGCCATACACCATCCAAAGAAGTGAAAGGATACTCATTGCTTCCAATTAAGCAACAATACACTCCAAGACTTTGGCTATAAAGGCTCAACTTAATTATTAATTTGCAGTAAATTTTCTATCAAGAGCAATGCTCTCCACAAAAAGCATGAAACAGATAAATATACAGACTCAGGGGCCCAGAAATCACTTCAGACGTGCAACACCTTCATTTAAATAAATTAGAGTTATTTATAAATCCAAAAAGATTCAATAGAACAAGGGAAATAGAGTTCTTTGACTTTGTATACAATATGGCACAGTTGACCTTTTTAATGCAGACACTAATCAACTGCCTAATAAGTAAACTAAAGAGACACTAAAGGTTAGAAAATGAGTGGTTTTCTGAAACACAATGCAGGCGTCCTCAATCATCTGTTTATCTAAGTGAATCGTCATTCAAACTAACTTTATCTAATCTAAAAGAGGCCAAAATTGAATCACTCTGAAACTGACATGGTGAGCTGGACTCAAAGATTAATGCATGGACCATCTTGTTTTTCCTGGCTGTTTATTCTTTCCTGTACTGTAGTAATGCAAACATAGGGATGTGATGAAATCATTTAAGTATGTGGTTGGCTCCAACCAGCTGCCTCTTTATGTCCAGACTGATGACTCTAAATAATTTGGAGGTTCTACTCAGTGTACAATTATGTTCAGCTGCTTTTGTTCAAAGTTCTGTTAAAATGTGTTCTTTTAAACTTGAAGACCTTTAAGCAAAACTGAAAGATGCTCTTTTAAATACTAAAGTCCAGGCTCTGACAACAAATGAGAAAAGCTTGAACTTTTCTCATTCAACTTTTCACACTTGCTTATCAACATCATGCGATAAACCTCTCACTCAGTGGCTGATGGATTGCTTTTTTTCTCCCTATCTCACAAACATTAACATACAGTGCACTAGTGCACTGTCTGGCTTGCAAACGCAAAGACGAGCTTACTGCGATACGAAGCAGTGTCCCCTTGACGGCCGCCCATCGGTCTTGCCTGCGGTCAATGACCAGGATGAAACCCACGTCTGTTGACGACAGGCTGAAACACAGAGTGACAGAGCACAGTTGAAATTCCTTATTTCCGGCACGAAGGTTCAGGAGTGAGGAGCAGCCCAGAGAGGGGAAAAAGAGATAGCACTAATATGACAAAGAAAAAGTGCACTATAAAGAAAAGTGGCGAGGCTTTGCAAACAAAAATTACACACACATATATGGCCCTTTGTTATCAAGAGGGCAAGCTACATGCCTGGCCACGGCTTGCAGCTTTGTTATGTTGCTCCTTATCTCTACAGACAGCTGGTGCAGTTCATATTGTGAGATACTGTGAGGCTCTACCAGATTTCTTGGCCGGCAGCCTTCCTTCCTCCTCCCTTCCTACTGTCCCACAAAGGGAGGGAGACTCTTCCATGCAAATAAAATAATGCAATGCATCTCCTGCACAGGTGTACACAAACCCCGTCAAACTGTCATTTACCTTGCATTAAAAAATATCCTTAAAATTCTCCAGCATTTCTTCTTTGTATTTTTGTCCCCATGAAGGCAGAATAAAAAAAAATAGCAAGTGAGGCAAATTCCAACCTACCGTGCTGTTCAGAGGAAGCCAAACCTTTCAGACCAAAACAAAATCCAGCTTCTTCACCCCCTGCACTGCATCTTTAAACTATCCAATGAGAGTGGAGGAGCAGCTGGGACACGAGCCAATCATAACATTGCTTATAAATAATGGGCAGCTTCAGTGTCCAATCAGAAGGGTTTAGCAGCTATCGGCGACGCAGCCCGGTGCCTCTCCACTGCACGTGGCATGTATCTATGCAGTTCTTATCTTTTTCTCTCTCATACCACTTCATTTTTCCATATTGTCCTTTTGCGTCATCCTAAAGCTAAAGATTGCATGCAGTCATCTGCCCAGATGCAATTGTTTGGAAATCACAAAATGCTCCACATCTCTGCTAAGGGGGTTGAGGAGGAGGGTCGGAGAGGAACAAAAGCTTCACAACAGCTGAGATGAGAGGATTTACACCGTGTCTGCGGGCTTCACCAAACACAACCGCACAAACTGGATAACTGTTAACCGTGTCATACCATATTATGCTATAAGGAGTGTTTTTCAAATACATGATTTTCAAATACCAATGAAGATGAATATTTGAGATCCATCACTATTTTGATTCATGAAACAACATAGAATTGAGCTTTTGGAGACAAGGTAACTCAGAGTTCTTTAAAATGTAAACAGCTGTAACATGATGTACGATTAAACATACACTGCTCTTATCAATTTACACATTCCAATCAATGGCGTGTTGTTGCAGCTGCACATGCTTGGGTGTAATCACAGTAATTGGATTTCTTAGGACAAATTGTGTGTTGAGCTGTAAAAAGGCTTTGCCTAATAGCGATGCAGTGATGAGGGGAATTTGCTGCATGGATGCGTATGGAGACCTCACAGCACACATCCCGCCCCTGGGTGCCGAGCGGTGCGGAGAAATGGGAGATGGTGGGATGCGATTCTCTTCTGGTGAAATATCCGAGTGTCTTTCATTAGCATAAAGCCCGTCAGCATAATCCTCGTGCGCATCCACAAGTCAAGCCAAGAAAAGATTAAAAATGAGAAAGTGGAGAAATGTGTTCCGCACAAAGATACAGCTAAGACTGCCAGCAACACTGCAAAAGTTTAGAACACTAAACAAGAACATTGAAAACCTAGGTCTAATAAGAAGGTAAATTTATATCACGAGTAAGGAAATCATAAATCTGTTGGGATATTGATCCAGATATATTCTAAAAGGTAAAAGGAGTCTAAGGTCAAAACACGCAGATGCAGGACATCTGCTTTAGGACTTTGTTTCCCTGTTTGGAGCCCTTAGTCCCTCAGGTAGCTTCAGCCATCTGTTTAAGCATTTACAACAGTTTAGGCTTGCCTTTGTGGATGACCCCCCTAACTGCTAAATTTAGGAAAGCTCACAGAACAAAATACAGGTTTTGATAAAAATGTATCCTTGTATGAGTTGATCACGTGCTTCAGCATTCTTTGTGCACGGCTCGCTCATCTGTCTCTATGCATTATTCAGCTTCGACCAGTCGGGCTGACTGCAGTTTCTATTTTTATGCAGTTCACCACTCCACGATGGGTGAATGAAGAACAAGGACATTAGTGAGGACAGCTCAAACAAATACTGACCAAAAAGATGTGGGAAATAAACAGAAAAAACACAAATGAATATTATGGGAAAGGTAACAGTGGTCTGGAAAGATAATTCACGTCTTTTAAACATTCTGCCCCTCCTGAAGTCAAACCATGTTTGAGTATTCGTCGCCACCTACTGGTAGACTTCATACACAAATTTGCCTCTTTTGCAGCTTCCAACTCAACTCTTTGTCTTTGAAATAGCTCATCCATTGACCAACGAAAGAGACAAAGAAGACTATCTGATGCTGCTAAGAAAATGGATGAACAAGGTAGAATTGAAATGAGAGATGTGTGCTGGGCTGAGAGAAAAATCTGAAATGCCTTTTTTTTTTTTCTCTTTTTTTTTTTTTACCTGGGCACACTTGTCAGGTAGGTGAGCACGTTGTGAAACTCTCTGTCTGTGATCTCCCCAAATGAAGGGAACTCTGGGAACACAATGATTGGGCTTCCATTGTCTCCTCTGCCTCCTAACAAGAAGAAAAGAAATATAGTGATTATGCATGTAGGGGTTAGAGATATAAAACAATTTTACATCATATGACACCCATGTAAGGAAAGACGCAGAAACTAATGCCTTTCATAGCCATTAGGCAGAGAGCCTGGGAGCTCTGATCACCAGTGTCAAGGGAAAGCGTTTTGATTAATTACAGTTGGAATAAAAAGAAGGGAGGACTCCACCACCACAGAGGTTAGGGATGGCTCTATAGGCAGAGCCATCCAACATAACAAACAATATAGGCCAGTGCTCCACTTTAAATCCAACAACAAGAACAAGGATGCCACGTTGGAAAGGATATATTTCAAATACCATCGACTTATCTGTCATTTCAGGACTCACTAAAAATATAAACATCTTTGGTGACTAATTAGAATTAGAAAAGTGAAAAGAAAAACTAGTGTGAGATACACACACTAGTATCACTGTGTTTGCACACAGTGATTGTTGTTGACACCCATACTCCCACTTTTCACACACATACAGTGGACATGACGAAGCAAATGCAAACACGCACACACATGCCAGACACACACACACACGCACGCACACTCTCTATCTGTCTGCTCTTGCGCAAAACAGCTGCTCTGTCAGCGCATGTGCCTGGAATATCAATCTGTCTGCTTTTTCCTCCCCCATCACCATAGCAACAGCAAGTGCCTGGTCATGGTTTTAATGTCTGCTTGGATCTTTGTCTGCAAAATGGTTCCCGGCTCAGCAGAAGGCATGGGGTCACCACGCAGAGGGGACAGTTTGTATGATTTTGTGACAGGGTGGGGCCGTTTGTGCAGGCAGTTAGAGGAAATATGGATCAGGAAGCGTCAGCAACCGAGCAGTCAGGAGGAAAAGAAACGGTGTGACATTTGAATAGCAAATCGTAACTGTCCTTAGAAAATATGTCACATGTATTATGCAAATGTCAAGTGGGTATCAAGTTCAAATACAAACAGAGAGTGGGGGCATGTGAACTGGGAAAATGATAGAAACACGGTCACCTGAAAGGAAGGCAAACTGTTTCTTGAGGTCGGGGATGATGTCAGCAGCACGGAGGGGGCTGCTGTCCAGCTGCATGATCTCATCTGGAAGAGAAAAAAGGAAAACGAGCGTGTAAATAAAAACAGTCAATGAATGGCTTCTGTGAAGAGCCACACTGATGTCTCTGCTCTGTAGCCACCATTTTACAGCTGGGAGTTTTCCACATGAGACAGCCGGAATGAATGAGTCAAGCTCTGCCGCTGGCAGACATCGTGCAACACCATCAAGCTCCCCAGACGACTTGCCTGCCAATTTTGAGATGGCTAAGACTTACTTGACAGTTGGAAAGTGACCAAATATTTGCTCTTTGTCCTAAGTGAGTTTGAGATTTTACATCTCAGCAGTTATATTTGGTTAAAAGGGTTAGTGCTGCTTATTTAAGATGGTTTGAGAGCTGTCAGTCATTAGACAAAAGCTCTCTATCTCAGGGCAGAGATTAACTTCTCATTCATCTGTGTTCATGTTTGGCAGAGTAATTTCACACATTAAGGTCAATTTCCTGAATGATCTTAGGGAGGTTGCTCTATATTCATGGTGCAATTTCCTATGTATTTCACGTACTTCCCACGCTGTTTATTGGCAAGTATCAGGACAACTTTTCCGTAAAATGTTAATGTCTTTTCTTCATTATGGAAGCCACTCAAGTTCAATTTCTGGTAATCTGTTTCTTTAGTCCTGGTGAAATCACAAAAAATACCAACATTAATTAACCCAACGAGAAGTGTAATCACTTCATAGTTTAGGAATTACTGATTAGCTGTTGTGGGGTTGATTTTTAATGCAGGCAGTCAACTGTTGGTTGTAGTATGTCTACAAATCCTCTGTTTAGTTAATTATCTGAGGTTTGATTACTAAATACACGCTTCCTATTCTTTTTTTTTTTTTTTTACCAAAGCTTCAAATAAGAAGAACCTGCACTGATTTGTTCTAAATTATTCCAAATTAGCAAACTAAAAGTGGCCTGGTTCAGTTTAAAACAAATCAATACAAATAAAAAAAGAAAGACAGAGCACATTCATTTACTGCAGTAATTACTTTGTCTTTCATATAGAATTAGATGAAGTTAAAAGGACCCTTTGAATCCTCAGTCATAGCTTGCTTTTGTCACCTTGAAGGTCAGAGTGACAGGTCCGTTTCTGAGATTAATTAAGCATAGAACGTGTCCAATTCTGTCATGACAACCTTATTCAAGATCCCATTATCGCTGAAAACTTATGTTAGGGCAACTCACTAATAAATGAAAGTTCAAATATGCACACTGCCTCTCTCAACCTAAGACATGTCTCAAGACAGCAAAAAACAATAAATCACCCCATTTAAAAAAAACAAAAAAACACTGGATTATAGAATGTATGTTTGTTCTATACAGTTAAATGGCTACTCCTAATCCGAAATAGCACATAAGCATATGTGACACACATAACAGCTGCTATTGATCAAGAAATTAGGTCTCCGGCAGCACGTTTTCTGTCATTAAACATATATTTAGTTGCATATTTAGAATCCGGTTTGGCATCTATAATCAACTTAAGAACACAAGATCATCTTTAAATGAAAACAAGTATATAAGTAAAACATTGTTTTTAAGAGTTGCAAGATCAAAGCACAGTCTAAGGACGATTTAAAAGATCTTTCCAAGAACTGGACTGTACCTACTCAGTGATATCCCAATCAAGCTTGAAACCGTCCAGATTAAAATCCACTTAGTTCTGCTACATGCTCGCTTCTGCTGCCTCACTTGAAGTTCTGATGTGTCAAAGCAGCAGTCACATCTTTACAGAGGCTCTTCAAACACCTCAGAGACAGAAGTTTAAACCACAAACAGGTCTTACTGTAATTTTTTGTTTGGAAAAAGGATCAAGCAGCTCATTTGGCTGTGAAGGATCACTAGATAGTCAAACAATGTTTATTTTTCATTAATATTTATCATTCACACTCTTCAGTCAACTTTGTTGTTCATTTTAAGTGTAACTTTGTCCCTCTCAGACCTGCTGGTTCCAAACTTATATAAAAACCACACCCTTACAGGAGAAAAACACATTTCTTTTGTCAAATATTGTACACAAAGTCACTTTACATACTTGACATTAATGCCCAACAGCATCTTTCTTGGTCTACAGAAGCAGGTGGTTTTAAAGCCTACCCTGCACCATGCTTGACACCTAGATTACACTACTCTTATCGACTGCCACATACACAAATACTTTTTTCCCCAAAACCTTTTACACCCTGACACACAATCGATGTGATAGCTGCAATCTCCAGTTAACAGGTTGATAGCAAATGGTGAACTCAGCGGCTCTCATTCGAAACACAGCCTCACATTTTAGTTCATGTTGGTTTGTACCTCCGAAGAACAGCAGCATTCTGCACCGGTCCTTTAAACCGACACTTTTCCAACGGCATCAGCCGTTAACAGGCATTGATTGGGAATGGCTGTGTAATAATCAAGAGACTGCTTCCTTTCCCTCCCCTTTTATTTAAAATTCGCCTCCAGGGAGGCCATCTGGGTGGAAATGAGACCAGATAAACTTTTATTTTCTGTGTTGTTTGCAGGATGGTATATCAGAGATGTGAGCGCACAGTGTCAGCTGTCTAGCTAACTGAAAGTGCCTAAAGGCTCTCACATGAGAGACCTCGGTCAGTTTCCCCTCTCTGACCGGGCTGCACTTAGTAAGCCGCCACACCCTGCCCACAGAAACTCCCACGCATATCACATCAAAAAAACGAAAAGGGGCTATTCCATTACCAAGAAAGTCCCCTCCCTGATGTCCAATTTCAGCCTCAGACCCTTTCCCCAGTCACTCTTCATCACCCCAACCTGTGTGAACATCCACCTGGGGCCTCCTCTGGCAATCTCAGATATCAAGTGCTACAGTATTTCTCAGATGACAGAGAGCGAAACTACTCCAGTATCAATTCCAAACGCTCTGCATCTCCTCTCATCAACAATTGGCGTTGTACTCACAATGCGGGCTCACAATACATTTTTTTGCCCACTTCAAATTATCAAAACAAATAGGCTGAATATATCGGTGTTTGCTGTTTAAAACATTGCAATGAGATGAGCTTCAATGTTCAAATTATATTACAAATCTAAACTGCATCTCTTTTTCTACCTTTAAACTGGCTAAGTTACTCTTTCTGCTGTGAAAACACATACGCAGCTCATCCTGGACGCACATTATCTCGCAAATAAACAAACGCTCACACACACACACGTCACCTGGTGGCTGAGGCGTTAATGTTCTTTAAGAAGCTTAACGACGGAGATTAGTTTCCACTCACGCTCACGTTTGTGGCTGACGAGTCAAATGTTAGTGGGTCACATACACACCTGGACGGTCTGCCTCTACTGACACAGATTAACTTCTCTGACTTAAAACTTGACCTTAGGAATAGCACCTTGCTTTCTTCATGCTAGAAAAAGCAAAATCATTATCAGTCTTGTGTTTGCCAACAAGAGCATAACAGGACATTTGACGCCATTTTGAATGAAGTTAGTGTAAATGCAAATTTTAACAAATGGAAAAAACTGAATAAAAAAGGAAAATTAGAGTGGTAAATGCAACTAAAACAGACCAACGGTGACACAATGTGAACAAAAACAGACAAGGGAAAAAAAGTGGTCAGGTACAACGCGGGACAAGAGGAGGGCTCAAACTGGATTTTACCCACTCGAAATCTAAGGAAAAAAGGCAAAAAGACACTGTTCTCAAAATTCCACCATTGTGTGTGTGTGTGTGGAATGTTTGTACTGCTTAAAAGGCAGATGGTTTTTCAAGCACATCAGGACTAAAAAAAGCACTGAACCACCATCAAGCTCTGAGCATCTGAGTGCATGTCAATTAAAGGCGCACACTGCTTTCTGTTAAAAAATAAATTCTTTTTCATAGCTTTATTCATATAACAGTGTCTCAAAAGCCTGAATAAAATACACTGCAGACTTTGGGGGCTAAGAGGCAGGAAGCAGGGGGTGGGGGCAAATGGCAATAAAGGGCTTAAGGTCATGGTTGGGCAGAAGAGGAGATTAAGCAAAGTGCAGAGTAGTGACGGGTAAGTTCATGCAAAATGAAGGAAGCTGAGGGGGTTCAGATGACGGTTCAAAAAGCCTACTTTCAGAAGGTGGTGAAAATGAACAACTCTGTTGCTCTAACAAATGATTAAGTGACAATACGAGATAAATGTTTTTTTTCCCATAACGATTTCCAGTCTCCTCTGGTCTTCCTTGGCTAGCCAAGATATTCACTGTTAAATGAACATGAATATATGTCAGAAATAAGCGTATCTCTTGTGTGAGCAAAACAGGCTGCATATAGACATATCATCTTTTTTTTTTGGTCCATTTTGTGGTTGTTTTAAATGAAAAAAAACAGACAATGAATGAAAGAGTGTGGCCAAATTTACAGCTGAATGAAAAATATATTTTACCAACAAAATGTGACATAACCACCATCCAACAGTAACAAAGACCAAAAAAGTGGGAAGGAACAATGAAAGATGAGGACAGGGGAAAGTTTGGTTTTAAGAATCCATTTTAGACTGTTTTTATGTGATGAAATGACAAAAACAAAACAAAAAAGAGACACCTACCACAGAGCCAGCGGCAGCGGCGAGAAAATCTGTAGTAAGTCTCCACCTCTTGAACAGATATCCGAACATGACCCCAACTCTGCTCCCTTGAGCCCAAACAAACAATCAAAGTTCCTTCCTTCTTTTCCGCTTTGTTTTGACCGCTCTGATCTTCAATCTTTACGAGCATCTTTGTTTCAGCCTCATCCACTGACGATGAATCGGCTCCTCCATCAACTTCTTCTCCGGTCTTACTCTGCTCATCTTCACGTGGACTCAAATCCAGCTCTTCTCTGTCTGGATTTCCATCTGAACCTACAACCGTCTGTCCGGCCAGAGGGTTGAATTTAATACTAAACTCACAGTCCAAGTCAACCCCCATGTCTTCGTCGGAGTAGAGCCATGACCCTACCATCTCTTCACTTCTCATCCTTCTGCTGCACTCTACCTCCTCTTCACTCTTCTGCCATTTGTTCCATGAAGCTGTGCAAAAAAAGTCTCATGGTAACAACTTCCCTCTCATGCTGGCTCCACCTTTCCTGAAACTCCGCATCCACCCTGGCACTTGCTGCCAGGCTGCAGGTGCTCCACCGCCTAGAGATATCTGTCAGTAACTGAGAGGACTTCCTATTCCAACCTCGGGTTACCTTTCCTGTATACAAAAGGTACTGTGTAGTACTCACCCCACCCTCCCTCCTCACTAAAGTATTTTTACCCATCCCCTAAAAAGACAAATGCCTGCTTAAGTGACCCTGCCTGACCTAAAACAATCATCCAGTCATAAATGACTTTTTATGGCTTGCCAGAAAGCAGGAAAAAGTTTTCCTTGCTGAGATATGTTTTGCAACAGTATGTTTTAGATAGCAGCTATGAGAACTCATTTACCTAAGCTGGCAAACCTCGGGATCCCCTTCTGCTTTATCTTGCACCAAAAGTACAAAGCCTCCATTCTGACCAGACCATTCAAACACGCTCTGCATCCCCATTTAACCACTGACTATCAATTGAAAGGATCTTTTCTTGTTAACTGCACTCAAAAGGCCCCATTCTTACAAACTCACTGAAAGATGCAATTCTAATGAGACTTTTAAAAGAAAGACACTGTTTCTTGGCGACTGTGGTAATTCAGAATGAGTCTAATTTAATTATAAGACATCTTTAAGTCATCTAACAGACATTCTGCGTCTCCTAATGCCATCATCATCGAAGTCCAGTTGTGTTAAAACTTGTCGACGGTATGTAAAGCGTGTCAGCATGGGTATGCAAGTGTGAGTGAATGTTTCAGGCTATCAGTGTCATAAACACTGAGAGATAAAGGCTGACACATTTTAAACGGAGAGCCGAACAACATCTTTTTTCTTAACCCATCTTTTCCGCTTGCCCTGAGAGAAAGACAGTTTACACTCCTCTTTCAATCTCATGGTTTTATGCATTAGGACATAACAAAACCATCCTCACCAGGTCTAAGAAAAAGGTAGGTGGCTGCACATTGTACAGGTTCAGGACAGCACATTTAGAAAATTGGCTGAAAAAGGTTGGCTTGTTTGGAAAAGTGGCCAAAAGAAAGTCGATTCTGTCTAAAAATAGCAAAGTAAGATGCAAGCTATGCTTTCCAGAGGACTTCAAGACCACAACATGACGATGCATTTGCATGTATATAAATTATATATAAGTTCTATGTCTTCTGTATGAAAACATGTATAAAAACGTAAAAACTCTTTTATCCATGTCCTCATGGATAATGACTTTGCCAGAGCTGAAAGGAAAAATACCTTCCCCTAAAACCATGTAGTCTGAACAGAGTCTGTGTTCTGAAAATCCATTGTGATAATTCAGAAGTTTAGCTTTAAATGCCACAATTTTCAGACTTGATACTAAAGGAACAGGCAAAGTGTAAACATATAAGATACATTCATGCAATAAAGGTACAAATCCTGCCCTTTGACAGAAATTTGCACTTTAAAAAGGCACAAAAACACCACCAATGTCCCCCCGGACTCACGTGGCTTGAGTGGTACCAGTGGTATCCCTCTATCCAATTCAGATGTACTCTTCTTGGTCCTCCTCACCATTCTTTTCTCAGTGTGTAAGAAGCTCTTTTAAAACGAGGCATAGAGCACCCCTCAAATTGGAGTAACTCTCACAAACACTGCTCCGAACTAAGAGCTTAGCATCTTTAACGGCCAGATCAGCCTCCCCTGAACCAGCTCGTCTGCTGCTTCTGCAGCGTGCTGCAATATCTGCTGAGGATTCTGTCGCTGCTGCGGAAAAATCTCAGCGCAGCTGCAGAGATCTGTAAGTTACAACCCAAGGGGCTGTTTAAGCTGCACGGTCACGTGCTCTCTCGCACATGAAATGTTACATGCGCACACACACAAAGACACAAGCAGCCAAGAGGGTAAGAAGGGAAACCCACAGGAAACAGTGTGTGTGTGTGTCGGGCTCTGGGCATGATGCCCTGGAAAAGTCTGGCCAGAGCTAAAAGTAGGAATATTTCATGCATAAGTGCATACATATATATCCCACCATACACACTGTTGTGTAGTCCAATAGGCAGTTTTGCAGAACTGGAAACTTTCCTGCACCACAGGAGTTGTAAAGTGGCAAATAATAGCATGATCTGCACATCTGCACACACACAAAAACTATATATGGCATATATAAGTCTTTCCGCCCATGTCTGTCTTACCATCCCACTCTCTCCACGAGTTCTTGCGGCTGGCAGGGCCGAAAGGGAAAGGAGAGCCCAGACCAGAGATGTCCAAGGTCTGGATCAGATGACTGAGGCGGTTCATGATTCGGCAGGATGCTTCCCCACCCTCCCGCAGAAACTCGTGCAGAGACATTAGAGTCGGCTGTTGGTCTCATACACTCTCAGAAACTCTTCGCTGCTCCGTCACAAGCTCGCCTGAACAGTTTAACAGACTCCAAAATCCAGCTCCCAAATGCAGACCTTGGATGGATCCATTTTCGGCGTCATTGGTAGAGATTCTCAGGATCAATAGTAACTGCTCTCACATGCATCCTAGGATGAAGTATCTGCACTGGATACGCGTGACACAGGCAAAGTGTCCTCTGCAGAGCCACATTTGGGAAAATAGCACCGCGCAAAGCAGGCACAATCACAAAAGGCTGAGTCACAGTCTGCACAGCCGCTGAAACAATCCACCGTAGAGGTGACAGTAGCCTCCAACTTCCTCACACAAAGTCTAAAGGACACACATACCTTACAAGTGCAACTGCAGAGAGTCAAGACAAGGATTTTAAGGAAGAACGAGAGAGGAGGAGGATGGAGGGCAACAGAAGCAGAGGGCAGCCGGTGGAGCACAAATCCCCTTCTGCTCCTCAGGCTAATTATATTCCTCCTCTCCTTTACTAATCTGCCTTTTCCTTACCTCTTTGAATCTTTGCAATCCATTCAATTCCTGATGAAGCAGGAGAGAATGCAAATATCACAGAAACGGCTGAATCCAATCAACTGAAGAGCAGTAACAAAAGAAGCTGAACCTCAATCTATCGTGTGCACAGACAGCTTACAGTGTCAATTTGCTGTCAGTTACTGAGGCGGACAGGTAAACAAAGTGGGTCTGTCTGGTTTGGAGAGAAGAGGAGGTCATTTGTTGCAGGGTTTTAAGTTTATCTGTGTGTTTTGTGAGTGTTTGGCTGCAGTTCACTAGCTTAGAACAAAGATGGGAGACGAGCTCTGACATACTGATGAGGCGACTGCGTGGGACAGGCCGCATAGCCTCAGCTCCCAGTTCAGTGACCTTCTCACCTCCTCTGTGCTTGCTGTGTGAGCTATAGCCCAAAATATGACTTTGAAAATACAGCCAATATGTTCATTTAACTCTATAAACTCAATATAATATAATATAATATAATATAATATAATCAAGATCTTGTTGATTGGGTCTTCGTGAACACACTCAACTATACCTACACCAAGAGTTAATTTTAGTACAGCCCTCATTTCCATATCTTTATTTAATTCAAATGGCAAAAAAAAAAAACGTTGTGACTGAAGAGCACCACATAAACACCACATGTTCAGACTGTTACTGTACCACACTGTAACCGCAGTGTCCTCTAATAAGATTACAGTTCACTTCATGACGCTGAGAATGATACATTACTGCAGTTCTTGAGTGTATCTGGCTCTGGCTGACTAGCTGGAGACTAATACTGGCCTGCTGGATCCATCTGGCTATACACCTGCTCCGCCCTCAGGGATAAACAGCACAGTTCTTTTGATCTCTAGAAAAAAGAAAAAAAAAGGATCCAGGCTCCCACATTATGTTGATAAAAACATCTGATATCCACATCTGATTTTTTGAGTTCTGGATTTGTTTCTCTGCACACACAACAGAAGAGATTGCCTGATTATTTTAAATTTGTTCAGATCAGAGGCATCTATTTACTTCCCAGACATCTGGGTAGCTTTAAACCCTCAAAAGACTTTCAAAAATCTCTTTGACATTCTTTTAATAGACAGTCTCCATTAGTTTAGCTACACAAAAAGGTGTAAACACATTAGCTATAAATTCAGAAAAACAATAACTAGTTCCTGCTCGAAAAGCTCAGACCTGTGACTCAGTGAACTGAAAGTGTCCCTTTAACTCAACTGGAAGTAGGTCACATGCCCAGTTGGACAGTCATAGTAAAGCTTTCTATGACTATGGTCAAAATTATGTTGATATTCATAGATCATATAAACAACTGTGACTTTTCTCCATTAGCTTTACAATTTCACTTAACATAATGTTAAGGTTTTACTAATAATGACAGCTTGGTGTGCAATGGTAATGGAACAGCCTCAGCTTTATATGGAGCTTGAATCAAATATATTTTAGTAATCAGATAAAGACGTGCCTAATTAGTCTCTGTATGGTTTGGATAACTGCATCTGACTAAAGTGCTGAAAAAATATGTATTCAGACTTGTAGTCTGCCACAGGTTGGGATGTGATCATGTATCAACACAGACAGGCAAAAACCACAAGCTGAAACTGAGACAATAGTGTTTTGAAAACTGTTTCTCAGGGGAAATTTAATAGAACTACCATAAGAACCATTAAAGACTTTTCAGAGCAGCTCTCCAGATGAGAGAATGAGCAATCCTTTCTATCCTGAGATGACTCAGTTTCCCTAAGCCTCTGTTTTCATCACTCTCCTTTCCTCTAGGCTGTCTTCTCCAATCAGTGTTATTGAACTCTTCTCTGAGCCGATTACTCCTCTCATCCTACTGCCAAAGCACGTTCCTGCCATCTTTCCTTAAAAACAGCAACCAGGTAAAAGATCCCTGCAAATCTCAGAAGAGATTTCTGCCTTTTTATCTTTAACTTGACTAGTTTGGCATTCCCCTCTTTCAAGCCTACCCACTTACGCCTAAGATACTTTCACCATCTCTGGTGATTAGAGAGAAGGGCCGCAGAGTCTTGATATACGTTTCAAGCCCGTACTGACCAGTTCTGCCACCCTGCTGGAAACGCTGAAAAATTACTGAAGAAAAGAGATAAAGAATAAACCATTGGCACTACATGTGTATGCACACAAACACACCTACACGCGCGCACATTGCGTCTGGAGAAAGAAGCTGTGCCACAGAGTGGATTATGGGTTATCTCTATAAATGGATCACTACAGAAGAGAGGTAAATGTTAGGAATCACATCAGTGGTATCAGTGTTCAAAAGAGAATCCTCTATCCCCAATTAGCATTAAATGAAAAAGCTGAAGCAACGTTGAGGTGTACACAGAAGAAAAGGATAATGACCACAAACGGGCTTTGCAGCGACGAAGAGACAAACGTGAAAAATATATATTCAGCTGCAGGGTCACACGGAACCTTTTACTTCTAGATGTGTCGGAGATTAAAATGAAAGTGAAATGACACAACATACCAAGGATGTCTTTTGAAACTGAAAACTGGACAGCTAAACCTACACAAACCTGATAATTTGAAGTAGCAAGTCCATGCTATGTATGTATGTATGTGTATATATATATATAAATGTATATATATATATATATATATATATGCTGTTGTATATCTGGAGTTGGTAACAAAAATAATTTCCATCCCTGGATTATTAAAGTATCTTTGATTCTGATTCTGATGTTAATCAATAATTTCAGCCTTAACGAGGTTAGTAGATCATGGACACATCATCGTCTCCCACTGCTACCCTCAACACCGTGTCATAGATATTCCAAATACTGAGATTGCAGGGTGGAGCACTTAAATAAATAGACCAGTGAGGCACTGTATAACAAGACAAATCGTTTTGTGAGATAGAAAGAAATAGTCGGACAGCAGGCAAAATATGCTAAAAGGATCACCCTTTTCATAGAAAGCATAAACTCATAAACATCAGCCAGTGTTGGTGTTCATTTTAATGCTTGCCAAACATCTGCTTTAACATCTGCCTGAGGCAGACATTATTAAAAAAACAACAATTTACACTAATGTGAATTTTCAATGTGGTTGACACACACTATATATATATATATACACACACCACACAATAACGATTACAATAAACAAGCAGTATTGTTGGTTGATGTCACCTACCTATGCTTTGGGTGACGGTCCTCAGCCTCTCTAGCAGCTCCCCAAGGGCCATTTCTTCTGTCTTCATCCACAGGATCATCCTCCAAAGGGACAGCGGAAGACCAGCTGCCCAACCAAAATACACTCTCTTAGGAAGAAGAGACAGCTTGCCTGCTTTCTGCCCAACAGTTCTTGAATGATGGCAAGGAGAATGGGAGAAGAAGGAAGTGCGACGATGGGCCCCGCCGAGCAGAGAGGATGGGGGGAATGCAGCAAGGTAAAGTCTGGACGGCTGCTGCCTATTTCAGCCCACAAATTCTTGGGAGGGAGGAAAGATTCAAGACAATGGGGGCGTGCCCTGCTTTGGCAGTGCTCAGATAATTGTGAAAAATATATGTTCTCGAGGATGGAGAGGACGCTGCCGAGATGGATGATGAAATGGTGCTGAAGCTGCGTTGACAGCCCCAGTAGCAACGCTGACGCGCCCACTGAAGGATCAGCAAAAAGGATGGCAGCAATGGAGATGGGGAGGAGCTGGAAGCAGGAGACAGCATCATTCACGCACGCATGTTTCAGCCCTAGCACACACAATGGTGCAAACCTGGGCAGACTTGACGACACAGAGGGGGAGGGGAAATGAAGGTCAGTGTAGCAGTTTCAAGGGAACCACTAATCCAATAGTGACATCCAGTGTGGAGGAAAGGCATTACAGCTGCGTCTTGATCCACAGAAACCCACACAGTTCTTGCTGGTCACACGCCACCGATTATGCTGCGTTGCCACCATGTGATAAAAAAGTGTTATGACAAAAAGTGTTTTGGGTTCTCATTCTCAACGTGATATATTATGATGATATAACATATGTTAAAAAGAAAAGATAATAACATTGCCCTGGAACCTGATCGATTTGGGAAATCATCCATGGATGGAATTTAAAAAGGCTTTAGGAAGGCTAAAACTATAAAACCGGTCATTGTATGACGCTGGATTGTCAAATTTAGTCTAAAAATGGAAAAACATCTCCTATAAAGAAGTATCCCAATAATTGTGTTTACTTAATAGGTGCCTAATAGCTAGACATTTTTATATTTTACTTCTTATAATAAAATAGCTGTCAGGCAGCACCCATGTACACCACCAGATTAAGCTGAGTCTCTCCACCCCAGAAACGACCCCCCCAAAAAAGAGGAAGATCCCCTTACACAGATCTGCTGATTGCCATATGTATTGCAGGCTTGCCATATACTGCTCTCCTGGACGTCCTTAATGACGGGAGAACAATGTACCCAACCGGGACAACTGCAAGCTTAAATAAACTCTAATCAGTGTAGACAATTATTTCAAATAAATGCGAGCACGTGACACATGTATATAACCGAAAACTTTTAGGGCAAGTGTTACTTTTCAGAAAAGTCGAAAACAGGTTAGCTTACCAAACCCCTGAACTTTGCCAGAGGCTAGCGCCTTCAATGCTGGGCTCATGGCTACTCATGGGAGCAAACGGTTTTCCAGAAGAAATGACCGTATCGTTTACTGGTGTAGCAATAGTTTTGACAATGAACACACGACGAGTAAAACTTGTCCGTTTTACGTGCATTTAAAAAAAAAAAAACATAAATTGGGCATTCAGTCCAGCCTACTCAATTAAGGCAGGAGTTATACATAAATGCGCATGCGCAAATAGTCATGGGTGCCACGGGTAAACCACGGTTGACTGTTATCTCAACTTATACAGTGGGGGAAATAAGTATTTGACCCCTTGCTGATTTTGCAGGTTTTCCCACTTACAAAGAATGCAACGATCTATAATTTTAATCATATGTACATTCTAACAGTGAAAGACAGAATCCGGAAGAAAATTCCAGAAAATCACATTAGATGAATTTATAAAAATTGATAACCATCTGATGAAGAAAAAAATTCATTCTTTGTAAGTGGGCAAACCTGCAAAATCAGCAAGGGGTCAAATACTTATTTCCCCCACTGTATATCTCATAAGAGCAAATTGTATTTCCATGGAGAAGCATGTCACTTGTTATTCATAAAATAAACTAATAAATAAAAATCAGAGGAAAAACGTTTTCACTCTTTATTACAAGCAGAATGACAACACAGGGCTTTGCCCTCATTTGCTCCAGACAGGCTGGCAAAAAGTCAATGAAGTCAACTTTTTAAAAACTTTATCCAAAAAGGAAAGGAAAAAAATAAAATAAAATAAATGTCTCAAAGTTGATTTAACAATATAAATAGTGCTGTACTAAAGGTATGATATGAAGCGTGCTGCTTGGAGCACAGCAGTTGACATTTCAGACCTTTGCCGAGCTCGGGGTGACAGGATGAGCACCTGCTGTTGTGCTGATGGACTTTAGAAAAAGCAGTTTGACATTCTGATCAGCAATAAAAGGCTGGTGTGATAAACCCACAGAGATAGACGCCGACACCTACAAACAGTTCATTCCTAGTTAAGTTATTTGGTCACTTCTTGTTTAGTTTTTTTTTTTTTTTTCACTCACTACAATCATCATAGAAAAATAACTTGTCAGGAAGAGTGAACAATAAACTCCAGTTGAAAGACAGTAGACCTTGTTTTTAGGGGGGAAATGGTGTGTTGTAAAACAAAGTGCAGTGTGTAGGACTATAGGTAAGTCTAAGAAATCATATAGTTCATATTTTGCTCTCATTTTGGTTACAAACTCAAACACCTAACGGAATTAAAATATAATTTTTTCTCTGACATACAAAAGTAACAAAATAAATATTCACAATGGACAAAACAAGAATGGAAAAAAGAAAGGTGAACATTTGAGCAGAAAGGTTGAGGACTTGAGATAGTAGAAAAATATGATTGCAGAATAAAGAATTCAATATTGAATCATTTCAATTGACTTTACAGCTTCAGTGTAACAGAACTGGTAGTAGACATTTAGAATGCTTGCGGACACGTTATGGCAACAGCACAGTGAGGTGGGACACAGCAATTCAAGCACCGAGGTCTCTCCTTTAAAACAACTGAGGTCAGGATGTTGAGCCTCCGTGTCCCAACACTTGTGGAGGCTTTGAGTGAAAACTGAAGGGGACATATCCAGACCTCCCTTCAAACAAATAAGTCATCTGTGCCCCAGTAGAAAAATACCGAACACCCATTATTAAATCTATACAAGTTGGCAGATGGTGATGTATATGAAAATAAACTGTATTAGGATACAAAAATGCTTCAGAATCTCACATTCAAGACTTCCAGAGTCAGTCACATGCTATGTAACCAGACAGATAAGCTTTGGAAAAAGAGGACTCCAGAAATGCTGTTAGAAATGCAGAAAAGAGGTTCATCCATAATGAGCTACAATCTTCGGCTGGAGGACATGATGGACAAATCAGCTCCACATTCTCATTGATTTGATTGTGACATCGCCGATTCAAGTCTCCCTCCTACTTACCACGAGCTGTATCTACACAGCTGTCACACTCCTTCTTACTACAATATATAGCACAATCCTTAGGCTACATCCATACATAAAACAGTGACTGACATCAATAATTTAAGAACGATACAGGAGAGACGTGTGGGTTAATGCATCGCAGACAACCCTTTAGAACATGACATTAGCATTCTGACATTAGCGCTTGCATAACACATAGCATGGCAGCAAATGCACAAGCACACTACAGTGGTGAAGGATAGCAAGCCAAATAGGATATCCAAGAACGGATTCTTCATCAGTCCCAGCCTGTAACTCAATTTTGCCACATGGTGGCAGGAGAGGGCAGACTAGACTGTGCTCACTGTTCATGAAAAGAGAAAAGGTGCCCTGATGTTGTTTTTTTTGTGACAAGTGATGTGCGGGACAAAGGTCGGATAAGGAAGAATAGATCAGCATGCAGTGAGAGATCCAACATGCTACACCGACAGACGAGAAAAACAAAGCTTGACACCATCGTGAGAGTAAAAAGAGTACAAAGGAGAACAGAAAAACGCTGTACCAGACAAGTATACCCTCTGAATCTCCTTGTACTCTCATAAATATTTTTAAAGTGATTTACTGAAAATAGAATCTATGAGTTAAGGCAGGGTGGCTAAAATACTGCACTTCCCATGTGAGTTTTTCCTCACCCCCCCTCCCGTTCAGCTGATGAGTATGTGTGTAAGGCTTTGTAAAACACCGATTCTGCTAATCTTTTTTTGTTTTTTTAAACACCTTTCTCCTTTGGCTCCTAGTCTGCTGCTGCGTACCTGTAAGGCAAAAGTGTGTCACGTACAAACATACAATAAAACAGGCAAATTCATGCGTACTCTTGCGCACATGCACACGCACTCATACCTAAAGGGCTGAGCTTAACGGCGACCCCTTACTTGGCTAGACCACGTAGCGGTACATAAATGTTTTCAATAAACATTTCCCAAAAAAATCATGTGACATTGGAGAAACAGGCAAGATAATGTGAGACCAGACATGATGACAGGGTATACAAAACTGACTGATCAAAGGAGACATTCCCGACATTAACAGTGCATTAACACCATCCCACATGGTTCCCACTAGTTCTCAGAGAGCTTCAGAGAGCAGTCTCAGTAGAATCTTTGACGAGACTAAGACAGGGGCTACTTTGAAACAGAAAAATATGAGAGTGAGGAGTCAGGGCGAGACTATCTAAACGATTTTCCACTCGATGTAGCCCGGGAAATGCACATGGTGAACTGAGCATGGAGTGTCCACGCATCTGATGTGTGGGTACGTGTTGGCTTTGATCTCTAAATGCTTGATCCTTGCAATACAGAGCTTGGTCGGATTCTTTTTTTTTTTTTTCTTCTCATGAGGTTGACACGCTCATAGTTTCAGAGACTTGGCTTTACTTTCAAACAGAGGTCTCTGGTCCCGGAGCATAGTAGGCAAATCCTGCCCCTGAGAGACGAAGCATGTAGGGGCTGAGGGAGCACAGGTCTGCCCCTCCCCCCTCTGCCAAGTGGGCCAGGAGTTTCTGGGGAAGAGGCCCGGACGCGCGGAGGGACAGCGTTTCCACGGCGCCGAGATGGAGGAGAGAAGAGTCTGTGCTCGTGCCTTTAAAGGACTGACGGAAGGACAGTGGAGTCAACTCATCAACGCTGCCCGGCAACAGCTTCTCACATTGCTACAAAGAGACAGAAAAAGTGCCATCACAAGGAAATTCAAGAATAAAGTGGACTAGTGGACAGTAAAAACATGCACCACAAAAAAAAAAAAAAAAAAAAAAAGGTGAATGACAACAAATGAGAGAATATGAGATGCACTGAGCAGAAAAATTTGGGTTGTTTCCAGAGGGTTTCAAGATTCTTTGGGTCTACGTTCATGTAGAGATATAATGGTATGTATAGTGGTAATTCTGGGTCAAATGTATTGGTCATCTGTCATCTGTCCATCTGTGACTTTTCTATACAGCTTATTTCAAGCAAGGTCACCGGGGGAGTAAAGCCTATCAAAGCTGTGATTGGGTGAGGGGCGGGGTAAACCACGGAAAGGTCGCCAGTCCATCACAAGGCCGCACAGAGACTAACACACACAACCATTCAAGCTCGCGCTCACGCCTACTGACGCTTTAGAGTCAGTGTAAAGTATTATCAAATTAAAAACAAGAAACCCTCTGAAAATGTCCAGACCAGTTCAGTTTGATCAAGCAAGCTCATGGCGGGGAAAACGAGATCACACATGCCATCCCATTTTCCGAAAAATAAATGTCATCAGCTTTACCAAGCACACTTCGGACAGTTCGACAAAGTCACAGGCAACCCGCTTCATCTCTGACATTAGAGCAAGATGAAGTAACCAGTAACACCCCACATCTAGGAATGTTCACTTTAAGCCCCACGGCTGACTTAGTGTAAGTTTATTCAGCTAAATCCAACAACAGGCTCCAACTTTTTAGAGCCTATGTGACAAGTGGCAAAGGATTTTAAGTAGCTTGGGTCCAAAATAGACATTATGACGTTTCTCGTGTGGCTGCCTCCCAAATCAAGTTAATTCCCATCCAACAAGTGAGACGCCCAACCTGCTTTGAAACCGGTACCGCAGAGTTAATTAGGGATTGCGATTCCTGAAAGTGAGACTGATGGAGGGAAGCGTCTTGTGGAACACATTAAGCCCACCCCGGCTCCTTAAGCCCGAGCCACAGCACGCCTCCATGCCGCATGCAGCGCAGAGCAGCAGAAAGCGTCATGGCAGCGGCAGTAAGAACACAACACTCCAGCGTAAACGCCCTCTGTGTGCGGTTACCATGGCGACCTAGCCCAGCTACCGCTGGGCGGGGAACTCTACGGCCTGCTGAGCCGGGTGCTGGGGCTGTGCGACGTCATGGAGTCATAGGTCCTGGCAGCCTTTCCTCCACTGTCTCCCTCAAAGGTCCTGTCAGGTTGAAGCGGGTCCCTCTCATTCCCTCCCCCTCCTCTAGACGGGCCAGGAGCCACACAGCCCTCCAAGGCCCCTGCTGTCCTTACCCTCTGTGGATAATGTTACAGGAGAGGTGATCACGCACACTGATCAGATTTGGTCAAACTCAGAATGGGTTATGGAGCTGATCGGAGTTTTTAATCCAGTGGTATTTTTTTTTTAAATCTAGTGGGTTTTCGGTGAGCTTTAAAAAAAAAAAAAAAAAGCATAATTCATACCATATTATCAGCAATCCATTCAGCGAAAGTTTTTCTATGTCCAAATCGTGCTAAATTTTTGCATTAGAGCTTTGTTGTTTTATACACCAGTTCATTTTTAGAAGGTCTTTCATATCTATCAGAGCAAATTTAGTGTATTTTCCCCTAACAACAACTAGTCACTACATGTTTACCTCTCACTACATTGCAGTATGTTTTTGCAGTTGAACAAGTGTCCTTGATGACTCCAACCTACTCTCCTGGACACATATCAGAGACAAGTAGAGTATGATAAGATCAAACAAACGAATGCTGCACGCTTAGGTGCACTCTTTACTGAAATCATATTTTGGTTGGTTTACATTTTTTTTCTGTTGAGTCCTGCTGTTTTCACTTATACAATACATGATTTATCATTTTCTGATGATGTCAGATAAATATAATATATATAAAAGACACCTTCATATAGAAAACACTGTTTTAAACCTACTTAAACATAGTTTAAACGCTGCCCCATGGCTCTAATAATGATTTGTTACCTGACAACAACCCAAGCAATACACTTTCCTCCTCAATACAGAGAATGCAAAGTGACATTTTGATTCAAGTATCAAAGGATACGTTGCTGAAAGTCCATATTAAGCAGTCACAAAAAGGTATCCTTTTTAAATATTTGTTTTTATATCATTAATTTAAAAAAATGTAATAATGATATAAGTGTGTCATATTTGCAATTTATTAATTTATTTTATATTTGAAGGGCTCTGCGTTTTAGTTTTTGAGTTGGATAAAAGATTTTTCTTGCTTTTCAAATAGTTGATTTTATTTAGTTTTTTACATATTAAGCTCCTGCCGGCTTTGGGAATTAGGTTTGTATATTTAGTATACTAAAGCTTCTGGACGAATAAAATTCTTTGCCATTTTTTCTCGACAGCAAACAATCAGTTGGTTAATTATTTGACTGGAATAAGTTGGGGAAATCGTGGAGGTGGTTACATAACGGAGACGTCCTACAAATCCAGCTGTGGGTCTAAGGTATTCCTAAAAACCTGGAAACAACAACAACATAGGAAATTGGGTATGCAATGATTGAAAAACGTACACAACAGCATGGAAAACATGATGGGACAGTGTGAAGCATGCAAAACCATTTACAAAAGGAAAAGGATGCACACAAAACAAATGAACAGCAGGGAAGACAGTCAGGTGAAAAAACATTTAACCTGGAATACAAACCACACCATCCTGTGTTGTTAGTTTCATATTAATCAGAGTGTGCGGACAAGGGATTTTACACTGGACCATGCCACCATGCACACAGGAATGAGGGCTAAAAGAGAATCACCTCCTCCTTCCAGCTCCTCTCTCGTCTCCCTGGGCCAATCAGAAACTCATTCTGCTGGAGGACTGAGAAAGCATGAAGATGGTGGACGGCTCCACAGTAAGGCACGGGCGGGAGGACTGCAGTAACCCCGAAAGAACGCGGAAGTGCAGAGGGCAGAGTCACAACCACACGGGAGGAGAAGTGAAGTGTTAAATAGGGGGAAGAGAGATGATAAAGAAGGAGATTATGGCAATAATAAGGATAAGGATGGATGGGTTGAGAAACGGGAGACAGGAGCAAAAGGGATTGGTGTGAGTTTTCATTACGGCGGTCCATTAGGAAGCAGTGAGAAAGGAGAAAAGGAGAAACAGGAGGGAGAAATCTGTCAGACCTTTCACTACTTTTTCCATTTGTTGTGAGACTTGCTTCATTAAAGGATGTAGCTAAGCCTCAAGGAACAGGAGTCAGAGTCTATTTACTGTATTTGAGATCTTAATGGTGTTCTTGGATGATTAAAAGGACTAACTAAATACACGACCAACAACTACAGTGTATTTGAGTGAATTCTACTTAATAAACCATGCATTTCTGATTTTACTTAAAGAGAGGCCAAGCATTAAGTAGTCAATGGTTAATGTGTAGCATTTAGTTAGCACAATTGAAAAGAACAAAAAAACAGACTAAATTGCACTGTGGGGAATGTACCTGTGCACGTTCGGTGGGTGTGGGACAAACAGCCCTGCAGAGGACCTTCTTGATGACATCTGGCAGCAAACTGACTGTTATGAGGAGGATGATGCTGAGCCAGGCTGGTCCACTGGACAGCATCTGCATAAACACGTAGTACATCCTCTGGTAGTTCAAGAAGGGCCTGAGCAGCAACGAGAAAAGGCAGAAAAAGATTCCCAAACCGGACCGATTGACAGAATATTCTTTGGATGTAAGCCGAATCAAAAGGCTACTGTTACCAAATGATGCCACCCCAGAGAAGCGAGAAAATAACATAGAAAAGCAGCGATCCCCAGATGACAAAGTGATTGATCCAAGTCCAGTGATGTGTATCCAAGGCAAGCTGAAACCAAGAGAATACATGAATAATAAATACCAGTCAACAAATTCGATAGGAATAATTGTTGATTTTATCATTTTTTATTCAGTAAAAAGTGTAATCTCTTCTATACACTTCAAAAGACACACACATACACACACACCTTGAGCGTCACGGTAAACACCAGCACTGTAAAGACAAGCGTCCCAAATGTCCAATTTCCGAACATCTGCGAGGGATCAGAAGAAGAAGGCGTTCAGTGGCAGCACTCAGCATTTATTAGTGCACATCCTGTGCTTTTACAATTCATCTTCAGCGAGAGATTCTAAACATGGTGAGGGGTGATATGTTCAGGGAAAGGGGTTTGTGTTCAGTGGACTAAAAATATTTTCACAAGTTCAAGCATCCGTAACTATTTACTTGCTCGAATCCTAGAGAGGTTTAAGCAGACATCAGGAGTGAACAGATGGGATGGGAATATGAAAGAGGGAGGGGGGTGGAGACATAGGGAGATCAAGGCATAGAAACTGGAGAGCTTATGTAACAGCTACAGCTATGTGTTTTTCCAAAAACATCCACCTTTGTTCAAAATCCTACATCTATTACTATTTTACGAATGACATAAGAAGTTTTGGCACAAACACGTGGACACGTACACACAAAAAAAGCACAAAAACAGCAGACAGAAAAAACAAACAGATGTTGGGTCTAAATCTGTCCCACTTACAAGTATTGATTTGTTTGCCACCATAATGAAACACAAAGAGAATGCGGGGAAGCATCGGCGATTTCTACTATGTCAGAGGAGTAAGTCCAGGTACTGAGCAGGTTTCAGGGCTGTACAGTGATTAGGAGGAGTCTAGAGGGAGGGGGGGGTGGAGTACCCAAAACTACACATCCACATGAAAGTGCATGGATGATGTGAAGAGAGGAGGGATGAAACTGGATGATACGCTCAAAACAGAAAGCAAAAACTGCAAGACGGGAACTAAAAGGGCATGGAAGACAGAGAGAGCTGACAGGGAGTGAGATAGGCTTACCATCTGTGTGTTGGTGGTCATAAGCTGAAGAAGAAGAACAAGAGGAGGAGAAAGGAGAGAGGAGCAAAATAAAGAGCGAGGAAGCAGAGAAAAGGAGGGGGAGGAAAAGAGAAAAGAATCAGGACAAAAAGGTAAAAATGAATTTCAGGATGTTTTAACTTAAAAAACAGGACCAAAGGCAATCAAAAACAGTTGACATGATACAAATTAACAATACAGAGAAAGATGCTATTGCGTTGTCGATATGAATGGAGATCCAATGTTGCTGACCTATGGAGGGGACTCAGGACAGAATCTTCACCGTTACAAAACTATAAACACAAAAACACGACCACAAAGTATCCCACTGCACCATTAAGTGACACCGAACAAGTGCTCGTGATATCCATTATCCTCTCTTTGAATCTCTACGGGAAACCTCAAACGCTACATCAGACACTTCCACTGATCAGTTTCTGCCGAATTCACAAAATGGAGCCTCCGCTGGCTCAGATAAAGAGGCTCACCTGGCCATTGCTGGTAAAGGTGGTGTTGTCAAAGAGGAAGTATGCACCAAAGAAGAAGATGACAGCGTCAAACACACCCAGGCACGTCCAGTAGAGGAACACAGGCCAGCGGAGGAGGGAGTTCTTTGCAATGTCCCTGGTACAGAGAGGCACAAATTAAAAGTATATTATAGGAGTTGGAATTAACAAACAATTCAGATTTTTTTGGCCAACACAACAGTTGGTTAAAAGATCACTTCTTTTATCATCTCACCTGTACAAGGAGGGATCCCTTTTTAGTGTCTCCATGGTGACATGCTGCTCGACCAGGCTGTACAGGAGGATGGGGAGCGAGGTGAAGCTGATGTTGTACAGCGTTAGATACGCTGTGTCATATAGAGGCTGCGGAGAGAATGCAATTAGAATGGCGTTAGACACCTTGAACTGAACGGCCATCTGCGCCAAAATCAGAAAGAGATCCGATCTACTGTCGCCTTGCTTGTCACACTGCTCCCAGATGTCCATTTGCACAACAAGGTCTGAAGCACGTTTTTTCCTAAACAAATTCCTGCCCAAAATTAATCACGTTTACTTGTTATTAGAGGTTACTGTATTGTGCTTCAACTTGGATAAATTGTCCATTAAGCTAAAGAGATGGTTCCTAACTGTGAAAATTGTATGTTGTAATGACCAATAACTCGAGCTTTTTATCGAAAACAAGTTGTTCTAAGCTCTTAGAAAACAACACTGGTTTAAGTCTGTGCACTAGAGCTGAAAAAAGTGAGGCACAGGCACGTTGAAACTCAGCAGAGTTGAGTGACATGACTAATATCAGGCAATAATTCTTTATAGGTTCTGTTTGTGACACTTTTGGCTCCAGAGACAAACATTTATTGACAGATGTGAACGCTAGCCTCTGGCTAATGAAACATCTGACACAGATAAAGCACTAACCTGCTGGGAGAATCCACAGAAGAATTGATACAGGAACTGAGGAAAGATGAAGCATACATTCTGGAGAGATTTAACAAAAAAGGAAAGAAAGAAAGCAGAGAAAATGATAAGCTTGTGACGCAGTGAAGCAATTTAAAAGAAACTAAAACTGCAACTATCTACACATTTCTGTTTATGTAAATTGTGCATTGTGAATTCACTGAGTGGGCCGCCGAGCTGGCCTGCCAAAAAAAGAAAAAAAATGAAAAAATGAATTGGTTGGCAGGGCACAGATCGCTGTGGAAGCCTCCCACACTGATCCTCACTGCCGTGAATCCGGAAGAATGTCGCACAAGGGATTCATGAATCCAGTAATCTGTCAGAGGGGCTCCAAAATCTGTTTCTTTGTAACTTAGGGGATGATGATAAAGTGATTAAGATGCATGAGCCTCTAAAGTGCACACAAAATGTATACCTTGTAGAAGAAGTACTGAACAAGCTCGGCAATGCGGATGTAGTAGTAGTGGCCGTGAACGAGGAGCATCTTCTTCAGATGTTTAAACTTCGGGATGGCATAGTCACTGTTTCTTGCTGCCTGTCTGCCTTCTTTACCCATGATGCCTGAGGAAAGAGTTATTTTATACTGAAAAAGTAATATTTAGTTTTTAAATATTTGCCATTATTTATCCTAAACTATATATATATGTTTGTATACACTCAAACGTATAACTCATAACGCGTCAATAGCACCTCCAATTTAGTTGTACCTTTGGAAAAGTGACAATGACAATAAAGATGTATCTTATTCTATCTTAAAATTTAAAAAAAGGCGTCTTTGTATTTATTCTTCTCTAAAATATCACTTTCAAGGCTTTCAAAAATAAAGCTGGACTGATTAATTTGCTAGTAATTAAGGTGATATAAAAACTAACCAATGCCCACATGTGCTTCCAAGATCATGCTGACATCATTGGCTCCATCGCCAACGGCAAGGGTAATGGGGTGCTCCTTGGAGGCTTTAATTAGCTTCACAATCTGGCAAAAGACAAAAAATAAGTCAATTTCATCCATTTCAGAGGATTACCTGAGTCGGTTTGAGAAATTACAGCTCATTTTGGTCACCTGTGCCTTCTGAAGTGGAGCCATCCGACAGCAGAGCACAGCGCTACAGTTGCGACAGATCTCTAGAAAAATCTCTCTGTAGTTGCCATGGCTGACTCCCACCTGGTTGGGCTTCAATAATGCAGAAAGAGTCACTCCGTCGATAATCAGACCAAAGTCGAGGCAGTCTACAGACAATCTGGAATCAAAACCGTACCCCAGAGTGGTTAGCTGGGAGTTACAGTAGATCTTTGGCCAGCATGCAGATCTACACATTTCGCTGATCTGTGAATCCCAAACAAACACTTGTAAGCTTAAAAATAAAAAATAAAAATCTCTACCCCGAAATGGAGCGTTGTCTGAGGACCGTTCTGTTTAATTCAAAGAGGACGTCATGCAGGCTCTGCTCCTCGGTGCGTTTCTTGGTCAGCTCCAGGATCTGGGTGCTGCGGCGGAACAGCTTGCTGGCGTAGCACGTAGCGGCCGCCGTTTCCATCTTGTCGCCCGTGAGGACCCACACTTTTATCCCGGCTTTGTGCAGTGACTCAATGGTGTCGGCAGCTTTCTCCTGGAGCCTGCGCATCAATAAGTCAATAAATGTTTCAGCCTCCACTGAGGTGGGTTGAATTATCCATCAAAGCTTCAATCAATCCATTACCGACTGGTGATAACTTATCAATGCATGACCACCCCTGTCCTTGCCTATCAGCAGTTTATCTATTAGGAAATTAAACTGTCAAGCAGTTGATCAATCAGCTGGGGTCAATACAGAAGTCCATCTTATCAGCGCACAAAAACATCCCGTATCATCACACAAAGGAAAGTGAGAGAAGAGGAGGAGAAACAAAGGGCCAAGCAGTATTAATACTAAGCTCACACAGAATCTTTTTATGCCCTCATGAGCCATGAAAACGCTTTGAAACCAGCTTAATGACTCATTAATCTCCCCTTCTGTACCCCTGCTGCGGCACAATTTCTAAATCTTTCCCTTCCTCTCCCTCTCGTATCGACCAACCTGTCCTCCACTGCCGTGGCGCCCAGAAGGACAAAGTCTCTCTCAATGATGTCATACGCCTGCGCCAGCCTCTGCTCCCTGTCCTGCAGGGCCAGTTTGGCTTCGGTGAGGTGATGGCAGGCCTCCTGATACTCTGACGCCGACAGCCTTCGGTAGGCGACACACAGGGTCCGCAGCCCCTCCTGGTTTTGCAGTGAAGACAGAGAAAATTGAGCACGTCACAGGACTGAAAAAAAAAGTTTTTTGTGTGATTTATAAAAAGCATATTTTTCCCCAGTTATCCGCTGAGTTTGTAAAATTGGCGAAACCACTTCCTTTGTGCTCCAGGGAATAAAATCACAAAGGCAATAGCAAAGTCAATACATATTAAACTCACTTTAAAAAGACTTTTCTGCATGAATTTCATTTTCCACATACACCCATTAATATTCTAACCCCGATGCAGGTCCACAAATATTTCAAATAAACTATAAAACAAAAAAACACACAGGTGATACTAAATATTCTCTCTAGGTTTGTCAAAAATATTGTGCAGTAAAGATTTTTTTTCCAAAAATATAGTAGCTTCTGGTGCAATGCTGCATTCTTAAGCACAACTCAAGGAGGCAGTTCATTTTTCTCTACTATTTTACGATAGGCATCCCTTTTAAGAGGGAAAATGTAGGAGAATTTAAGCAATCAAGGTTAACTGAACCCATTTTTTAGCCATTTTATCAAATACTTTAGCATGAGGCGCTGCAATGCCAAAAAATACATCACTCCATTGTGTTTTGTCATATCGCTGCCGCAGTTCATTTGCCCTGGTCAAAATGTCCACTTACAACAGCATTCTGCTCCACTCGGGCTTTCACTTGCTCCACCTTTCCAGATACCACCCGTGGAAAAATGGATGAGTCAGCGCCTTTGCAGAACAGCAGGTATTCTCCTGAAATGCACATGCACAAAAAAGCCAAACACATTGCAACAAACCGCAGGGGGAGTCTAGGATCTTGTCCGTGCACCTGGGCGAGCCTTACCCGAGCCTGACTTGACAATGACGCTCATTCTCCTCCTGACAGAGTCGAAGTTCAGCACGTGGAGCAGCTCAAACCTGACCAAGAGATTGTGTTAGCTTTAAAAAAAGAGGGTCACCCTCTTGTGAACCTCTTAGTAAAACAATATTGGCCTTGTATATGTTGCAAACCTCCAACTCATGTCTTTAACTAAACACTCTGTTTCTGTCTGTTAAAAGTCTGCAGGGGCAAATCTGTCATGTGAGAAAGAGACTTTAAAAACCTAAAGAGGTAACTCGGGGTTGATAAGGTTTTGAACGGTGTCATTTGGCAAATAGTGGACTTCAAATTGCACATTATGGTGCATTATTCACACTTATTCTGAGGACTGGAGGTGATCTTTAACCTTCCTAATGGAAAAGCTGTAAAGATAATCACAACAGTGACTGAGGCCATTGATTTTACTCTAGCGCATTTTCGACTTTTTGTGCCTTAGATTCCCTTACGAAAGGCTAAAGGAGTAAACGAAAGAAGACTTTAGATACTTCTGTCTTCCCTTTGCCTTCAAAGTCTCGACCACTGCTGGATGAAGGGGCTCCCCTCCCCTCTGCAGTGACCTTAAAATAGCTCACTATTGACAGGCTACTGCTGAGAGCGATGGCTGGCGAGGACACTTACACAAACACACGCTATGGATCAAGAGACTTTCCACAGCCTCCCCCTATCCCTCCCTGTGGAATCTAACTTTCATCCATTCGCGTTGATTCATTTAAGCGTTTTGATCCGACTGAGTGGGTCTTTTGAGGTAGCAGGTTTTCGTTTCCTCTGCTGAACATGTAACACAAGCTGAGAGCTAATTCCCCCTCAGTCAGCTAAAGTATGAACACGACTCCATCAGCTGATCTATCCATCCTGATCTATCACCTGTGGTGTAACCACCGCAGACACAGAGTAAACTAACCTTTCAATCTCATCATCTTTGTTGAGGATCTCCATGTAGTTGTCTTTCAGTCTCAGGTAGGTGTAGCCCAACCTGGAAACAGGAGCAAAAGGAATAGATTCTTGAAAAGAAGCGTCAGCATAAGACAACTATTGTCAGGACAGAGTTGTCACAAAATTAGAAAAACAGGAGCTCAAATATATGTAGAAAAGGGAGCACAACTGTGTAAGCGATACCAAAAAAATAAAAATCTGATAGCCTGATCATCATGCCTGATGATTCTTGCATGTACTTAATGCACCCTCCACAAAACTGAACACACAGCCTTACAAGAGAATGGATGAAAAAAAACAAAAAAAACATCCACAGGACTTACATCACAATGAAGAAGGATTAAAGAACTGTCATGTTTGTTCCTCCTGTATCTGTTCAATCTAAGGGTGGAGGTGATTTCTCAGAAATGTAATATGCACAGAGATGTCCATTTCTATCTAATTTTCCACAAAGGTCAAAAAGTTAAGCCAGGACGTCACACCATGTTTTGTTTTGCCACAGTATGGACCATGCATTCCCAGTTTGGGAGTCTCAATTTAAAGTAAATAAAGGCGGTTTGTTTTTGACAAAGCCCACCGTAACTCAGAGATCTCACCGCTGGAATACATTTTCAAATCAGTTAAATCACTGCTTCAGCACTGTGTAGCCACAGATTTCATATAACTTGGTAAGTAAATACACCGGAAAGACATTAAACTAGTCCATTAACATCAAGGCTAAATTTGAGCAAAAATTGGTCATAGACATCTATTTGCAGACCTTGATGAAGCGTTTGCATTCAGCCCATATTTCACCAGAATGGGTGATATAAATAGAAGATACTGACTAAGGGAGTCTAATTGGAGGCCTTACTGAGTTAAACACTCACACACTATTGCTGATTTCAGGGGACATGTTAAGAGTCCCCTTTCTTCAAAAACCTTTCACGCTCCAAAGGAACATGCGTTCACCTGCGCTGTTAATGTTACTAAAGCATACCTTTGGCAACAAATGGCCAGTATGTTTCCGTATTCAGATCTTTTGAACATTTCAACAAATTTCTTCTTTAGTTTGCTTACCTTTTCATTCCTTCGACCAAAGCTACCTCATCCGGTGAGGAGGAGATGTAGAAGGAGGTGGGTCTACCCTGATGAATGCCCCTCTTGATGCCATCCACCGTCTCCTCCTCCTTCACCTGCACCGTGTGACACAGACATAGTGCCCGGAAAAATAGGTCCTCATACTCCTGAGGACACAGACACAAACACAGCCATGCGTTAGGGTTCTTCTTTACATGCCAGCCCAGCACAGATATACATCAGAGTAATGCCCTGTGCGGAAAAGCAGGGGGTACTTTTTAACATCTCTGTTTTTTTCTCCTTATAAGACAAACCAGACTACTATATAGAATACTACTATAAGACTACTTCACAAAGAAATTTCTCAATATGGATATCTGAGATTGCTAATTCCTGGAAAAATCTGACTTCTGTAAAAGCATTTTTGAAGTGCAAATTTGACTAAATTCGTAAATAGAAACATTAGTACAACCACTTACTCTCCTGTACCCTCCAGGTGAGGAATCGATCATGTCTATGCTGGAGGCAGCGCTGAGGATTTGACCGTTGCAGATTGCATGTGGGATGTAGACATTCCCATCGACGCAGCATTCGATAAACTCCATGTTGTTCTCAGTCAGCGTGCCGGTCTTATCAGTAAACACATACTCCACCTGAGAGGAGGGAAAGAGAACGAGCATGTCTACGCAAGGTTTCCATTAAGACGTTAACCTAAACCTCCCCCTCGATGGTGCCATACCTGTCCCAGCTCTTCGTTCAGGTCGGAGGTGTTCACCTGAGCACCCTCCCCCAGCTCTTCATCAAACATGTCCTCGTCCCAGGTGATGAAATAGGAGCCAAGAAATTTCTGCATCTCCACGGTTACATACATCGACACGGGGATGATGTAATTAAACAGGACCATGAAAGCCAGGAAGTCTGTGAAGGCTCGGATGACCTGAAAAAGGGAGGCCACTGGTTTTAGAGGAGCTCTCATAGGCGGTCGATGAGAACGTTTCAGCGTTAAAACCTGGATGGGTTAGGACGGACCACATGGCGCTGGCGCTCGTTCTCCGTCCTGTGGTTGTACCAGGGCTCGTCTCGGTCGGGAGACCACTGCCAAGCGTATTTCAGGACAGTGTTGATCACAGCTTTACTGATCAAGATGCACAAATACACAATCAGAAAGGCGTTCATCGACCTGCAGGTTGGAACAGAGTACAGAGGGTTGAGCGCCATGGGATGGAGGGTAACCACTTCCCGTCAGAACGAGTCCAGCTTATGCAGCAGTTAGGTTGTTTCACTTACTTTTCAACAGCAGAGCGCTTCTGAGATTTCGACTGGTAATTTAGGGCCATCTTGGTGTCCATGCCAGTATAAACTGCAACAGCTGGGGAGCAGAGAATTCCAAGTTAACAAATACCTACGCTAACAGCCTTTTCAGAAAAAAAATTGACTTTTTATTTGGGCATAATCATTCAATTCACGCTACTACCATAAATATGTTGCGTATTCTTCAGTGTGGCTCCTCTGAGGAGCAGGTTTTCAGCTCCAAGTGTTCTGCAAAAAGTCAAGGAATGCATCTTTAATGATTTTTTTCCCTGGACTTAAGTCAGTGTGTCAGTGTGAGAAGAAAGCAAAGACAAAGCATACCCACCGAACCATAGGCTCTTCTTTGTCCTTGTAAATGTTAATGCGCCCCACAAATCTGGATAAACAGTTCAGCAAAATCAAATGAGGACAAACAAGGTAATTTGATTAGACATAGTGACACTGCGATCGTGTGCGACACTCACTTGTAGAGGTCAGGTTGTGGTTGTTCACATTCAATAGTGGCATGTAGTGAATCCACCTCCTGCTCTGTTCTAAAGGCCATGGTATCTGGTACAGCATAATAGGTCTGAGATAGAGAGCAGGAGGAACAGGAGGAGGAGGAGGAGGAGAAGAAGAAGAAGGCAACAGGGGAAAATGTCAACATCACATCCACGATACACACAGGGTTAATATGGCCCTCCAGCAACTAAAGGTTTTCTAAATGACCTGACGGAAGCGGGAGGGTGAGGGATGAGCCGTTTGTGTGCTGTCTTGGTCAGCAGGGTGGCGGCCTACTGAGATAGGTTCGCCAAGTGGAGGCTCTGCGCCAAAATTGGGTCTGTTTTTACGCTCATGCAGTCAGCCATGAATATTGTCGCATGAGTCACATCCATGAGCCAAGAAAGAAAGGTGAAAAGTGTAAGGTGCAAGTCAGATGTACTGTGCTTCTTTGGATCTTGGCTGCATTTACTGTTGATTTTCAAGATGGACAAACTAAATATTTCATATAAACATCATTTTGCACACCTTCTGTAAAATCTTCATGATTTAGATCCTTTCTAAGCTCCGCACACTTCACACGTGTGGATTTTTCATCCGTAATACTGAATGTGTGTGATCCGATGCGCCTGGTAGCAGAGTTGTTTTCTTGGTTGATACCGATGTAAATAGATTTTTGACTATTACATAACTGGAATTGTTCTGTGTGAGTGGGCAGGCATTTTGTGTTTTCTAAAAAGGCTATAGTTTTCTGACATTTTTGAAAATCCATACCATTACTTCTCTAGTTGATGACTGAGTCAAGTTTAAAAGAGCCATTCACTGATCCTGCTACCTTGTGGCTAGACTCCCCATCCAGGCTGGTGGTGGTGACATAGCAGGTTCCATCGTAGCGGCTGGAGGAGAGAAGGATGAGATCACAGGGGAAGGTTTCATCCTCTCTCACCATGACGATGTCCCCCACCTGACACAAAGGACAGAGACACACACCAGATTTCACATTAATAACAAAGTAAGATCTATTCATTTTTGCAGGAAAAAACACAAAGAAGTGCGAGTAACCATCTGCTCATACTTAAACATTCCTTTTTTTTTCTCTCCAAAGGATTGAGAAGTTGCGTAACGGATTATGAGAGCAGAGCAGCTTAAACTCTGATAAATCCCATCTCCACGGTGACCATACACATGACACACGCTCTCCGATTTCATATGATTAATGTATTCATCATTATTCCTGCTCCCGATTCACACTCTAATCCCCTCCATTTGATCTGCTATAGCAAAAGACCCAGGTACAAGTAAGGAAAAAAAAAAAAGTCAGACAAAAGGACAAATGGCGAGACAGGACAAGAGGAACTAACAGAGAAAGACGACAGGGACGGGGACAGACGAAACTGGAAGAGGAAAGACATCAACAAGCCAGATGTCTCCCTAAACCACTGAGAATCTCTGGAAACTACTGCCATGGTAACACAAAGTACAGCGCTCTGCAATCCTTTAACGCTTGGCAGAGATAACTGAAGCTGTATATTCTGAGTTGACCCTCAACATCCCACACAGGCTCCGCACACTCGCAATGAGCAGCAGACGCAGCAGAAAGTAGATGTACCAGCACCCATTACGTACCTGACGACAAATGGTGTTACAAGACTAAAATATAGTGCGCCCGATCAATAGATCTGTGCAGGAGGTGATGGGCGAGATGAGTCACATTAAACAGCCGGACAAGGTTTGCATTAAATGTTTGGATGATAGAGCAAAAATATCTGCGGGTGAGTTGCTTCTTTAGCCAAAGTTTTAATGAAAATAAATAAAAACACACACACACACACACACAGTATCTTATCAAAAGGGTCTCACCTCCCCCATTTCATTCACTCAAAGTTTTGACTCAAAACTCCCTATTTCACAAGATAGTTAAACATTGTTAAACAGCTAAAGTAAACAATGAAAAAAGCTGAATCTATATGTTTCAACTAAACCCAGACGTGGAATAATCTGACATGGTATAGTGTGCATTGTTAACAAAAAACATTTTTTTCAAGGAGATTAGAATTTTTGTATCTGATGAAAATATAAGAGATGAAGATGATCAGTCAGCTCGATTAGCCTTAATTGGAAAGTTGCGTGACTGGTAATGAGGGCAAAGCGAGGGAGATGACATGCAGCTAAAGGCCCCGGGCTGAGACGGCTGCATCCAGGAGCTTCAGCTTCTGCCCAGGCCACGCCTGCTCAGCTGACCGACTCCCTTTGAGCCTCTCAATTTGAAATTAAATTACACTGGGACACAAATTGAAACAGATGATGTTTTAAGGACGCACGAGAGAAAAAGAAAACAGCGCATTGTCACCTTCTACGAGTTGCAGGAAAAACCACCCCTCTGGTCACGTTTGCACTCAAACATCCAACAGTGTGCCCGGTGTCATAGGCAGGTAAGGATATATGGCAACCTAAACATGACGCTGCTCTTCTTTTGGTTCTTTTCCAAATTTGTAATAGATGGGGAAAGACACACTCAAATTCCTGTAATAATTTCCTTTTTTTTTAAAGCCAAAGGCCGGTTGAGAGGATTCCCCTTTCCCGTATTTTACAAAAGTTAACTCCAGAGAACTGATGTGACGGGATGTTAAAACGACTCCTGCATACGTTTAAACGTCTATAATATACAACTATCCTTTAAATCAACAGTAAAATTTTGCTGGAGAAAAAAAAAAGGCTGTGGCACTGAGTATAAACAGTGAAGTCTGACATCGTACAAATAGTCTAATGAAAAAGGAGAGCGGGGAGCGCAGCCAGCGGTGACCGGCGCTTGCATCAGAACGACGGAGGAGAACATCAGAGGCTGATGACAGGAACAACATGACTCATGAAATACATCAGTCCTGTTCATTCTCCGACAAACTCCTGCAGCAGTGCACCAGGGCTCTACTTCAGTTTGAGCGCGATTAATTGGTGGGAAAGACGAGAGAGAGTCAAAGTCGGAGGGAGCACTGCAGAGAGGAGGGGAAAAAGGGGGACGCGGGAGCGGCGACGGTGGTGGAGAAAGGGAGCTATGCAGCAGTGCAGCAGCGCTGCGCTGTGGCCTCAGGTGCTGTGCTGCTGTAATGAGGCCACTCTTACCCGGAGCTTGTGACTCTGCGTCCTCACCACCTTCCCCTGCTGCACCACGTCCACCGGACACTCGTTTATGGAGCAGTCAGCCTTGTGTCGGAGCCAGTCCTCGTAGCCCTGAGAAGAGTCGCGGCGAGAAAGACACAGAAAAAAAAAAAGATCTGTGAGGGGGAAAGAAAGGAGGAGAATATGGATTTTTTTTGGGGGGGGTTGTTTTTTTGTGCAGAATATTGGGCCTGGAGCATAGTAGATGATCAAGAGGCGGGCGGGGGGAGGAGGGGGAGGGGATGGTCATACACTGTAATTAATTAGCATTGTGCTCCCTATGCTTACTGACCTGTTTCCTGAATTTCCAGCCAATATGTCATATTTTAGATTTATGTACCGGCAAAGTTCAAGCTTCCTTCTCTTGAACAGCCTCATCTATCACTGGTAGTACCCTATCCCTCAGAGCTGGGATGCAGTGGAGACGATGCATCTCCCGGGGGGCAAGGGATCCTCAGCTCAAGTGATTAACAGAGGAGACCATTCATTATCATATTTCTCACATCACCAGACATATTCAATGGCATGTCCTTTCGCAGCGAGAGGAATGTGTACATACAGATAAAAGAGCGATTGGTGGAGGCCGGGTTTGTGTGGGTCCACTTCGGGCTCGGGGTCTGTGTGTGTGCGGAGAGGGATTGTTGTGGGCCATATTTCAGGGAGATGTGAGAAATATTTGCGTGTGTCCTACCTGTTTTATGGCGGTGACGGTGATAACAAAGAAGAGGGGCAGGCCGCTGGTGACTGGGCTGGTGGGGGTGTCGATGATAAGCTGAAGGGAAGGGGCACAGAGGGAGGGGGGAGTGTGTCGGGGATGGGGGAGGGTGAAGAGGGGCCAACAGAGAGGACAGGGGGAGGACACCGAGTGAGACAAGGCTGAGTTCAGAAGTACAGCAGCATAGAATATGATAGGAAACATCAGTCAAGCCAACTTTAAATTTTCTCCCCTTTCAGATTTTGCTTTTATAAAACAATCGTGGTAAACTCATATTTTTCGGGAGACAAAGAGAAGTTTGTGGAGCCACACCCCGATTTGTCTCATTACACGTGTTATATTTCACACGCTGCTACTAAAACTTGCGCACGCAAAGAGCCGAGTGGCGGCTCGTGGCTGCGCTACTTTCTATCGGTAGGAGACGTTTACTCCGCTATCAGCAGACTGATGCTCAGTGTAAATTACTCTGGATGCTCTCAGTTTATTTTCAATTTGTGTGGGGGTGTTATCAAAGGACGCAGAGCAAAATTAACCTGACAGAACCATTAGTTACGCACAACCATCTAGGAATACTTCCATAGAAATAATTTGGAAAAGGGCAGACACTTAGTAAGTGACCGGATGAAGTGTCCATCCATCACCGTTAGGAGCAACCTAAAAACACCAGGAAGCTTGTGGATCCAAGTATGGCTTGCTGATTGGTTTAAACACACTAATGGTATATTTATCATGTTCAAATTTTGTTTAAGATAATGCATAAAAGGGGATGCTAGGAATCTAAAATTAATGGGCCCTTCATTTTGAATTCTAATCTTTTTTTGATCACTTGAAAACAAGCACATAAATCAGGTAATGATCATCATCCCTAAACTAAGAAATACGATAGCGACGTATGCCGCTAATTTATGCTATTCCCAAAAGAAGGGGGGAAGGAACCTTTTAATGGGAGCTCTTTGATGGGGGAACGCCTGAATCCAGGTGGAAATGAAAGCCGGTGCAAAACGCGTACATCCAAGAAAAACAACAGTCAAACTTTTGACACTTATTTGAGAAAAAAAGAGGGCTGAAGGAGGGAGAAATGTGCTTTGCCAGAGCAAACAAACTCAGGAACTCTGATTAATCTGCTTCTCTGGTTTAAACTAACCAGAACACAGCCTGTCCTCTTCCAGTCAGAGTGTTTGTGCAAAAGTGGTTCTCAAAAGTAGTCCTCAAGAAAAAGCTAAATCAATAACACACCGATTCCACGTATCCTCAAAAAGGAACCAAAGGTCATGAGAGCTAAAATAAAGGAAAGACACAGCTGGTGCTGCAGCTACTAAAAGTAACAGCTTCTTTTTGTCTGCAGTGACTTCACTTGAGGCTTTGTGCACATGTAAAACACAAAAAGACAAGAAATCCTCACTACTTCTGCGCAAATTCACACACCATATCAAGCCTGGAATAAATATTCCCTTTTGCCTGGGAAATAAATATTCCCAGGCAAAAGAGTTTTTGAGCCAGAGAAAAGCTACCTCTGTGCTCTTTGGAACTATTTTCAGATTGGATGGAGATTTTGCAGCTTCCAAGCGACATGGAAATCTTACCTGGACCAAAAATATGACCAAGAAGTAGAAGTTTGCTATTCTTCTGAACTGCTCAAACAGGTTCTTGGGGATGAAGCTCCAAAAGGTGTACTGTGAGACAGGGCGAGAGCAAAATTAAAATGACATAAACAATGGCTCATCACAAGCATCCCTGGCAAGGGAAAATGGTGATGCACAGCTTGTCAAAACACGAGACAAGTGAATTGTGTCGTGCTTTAAAAATGGCGACAAAAGAGATTACATGGTTGTCTGGATGTGAAACAGAAAAGGCGCACGATGATAAACGGAGCCGTGGCGCCGACTGGGGCTCACTCACCTTGGAGGAGACGATTCGGTTGTCGGGATAACGCTGAGGGATGTAGGCCTCAGCTCCCGGAGGCGGTTCTTTATGGCCGATATACACTGTCCGATTGTCCACCCAATTCTCCTCCCCCACACACTGACAAAGACACAGATAATACGCGGATGGGAAAAGCAACACGGAGAAAAAACTTTGGTTAGTTCACTCAGCTCAACTGAGATTTGTTCATAATTCATGAGCTGCTTGAGATCATTTAGATTGGAACCACATAGCACTGTCAACCTGATGCTGACACACTTCCAAATCAATTTGTGTGAAATCAATAGCCATTTAGTTTGCCGAAATCAGATGGGTAAAACAACAAACAAATAGAAAAGGAAATAACCAACAATAACAACAACAACAAAAGAAATCAACAGGTTAAACCACAACTGTAAGAGCCGTCTCTTAAAATCTGGAAACTGCAACCAAGAAACAATGTTGCATCTAAAAAATATATTAAAAAAATAGACAAAACCACCTCTGTTTCCTATAAAACATCCCCTGAATCACAATGAAAAAATAAATAAATAAAGGGTTCTGCCTTGGATGAGCCTCAATAAAGACACTGTCCCAGATTAAACGCAGCAATCCCGACTGTTACACAAGGCTGTTACACAACTTGAGCTTCTTCCTTGAACAGGCAACTGAAGACGAAGCAGGTCCTGGGATTGAAGAGTGTGGGATCTCACTGGGCCATACTAAGGTGGATTTGTCATTTATCTTTTCCCTTTTCTTGCCGAATATGCTGATGTATTCTGTTTCGGGGTGAGGGACACATCAGGGTAAGGAGGACAAATTAAGCGATGCATGCGTCACACCTGCGACACAGCTTGATGATCTGGGGATGTTCCTGTTGGCCTGGCTCAAACAATGCTGTGCAAAAATCTCAGGTCAACCGATTACCCGAATTTACTTAATGGCAAGGTTTTCCCTTAATACATATATGGTAGATAGTTCCCTTAAGACTACATAAGGACTACTGGACCGAGACGGTCGTTTTTGAGCACTGATCGACAAGCCTTTCAGATATTCTGAAGAATAATAAATATGGCACTCAACCATGTCACAATGAACAGAGTTCTGCCGACCTTCAAACAATATGTGAGCTGTCCTACCAGAGAGGAGAGGACCCTGTACTTGATGTATGCTAACATTAAGGATGCTAATATTAGATCTCCTCTTCTCTCCCTCCTCCGGCAGGTCAGACCACAGCCTGGTTCACCTCAAACCCTGCTATGTGTCTTTGGTGAAGAGGAAGCCTACGACCACAAGGACTGGGAGGGGGTGGTTGGATGAGGCTTATGAGACACTCCAGGCCTGCTTTGAAGTGACTGACTGGACAGTGTGAGCCCCATGGGGAGGGTTCGATGGGCTCATCGAGTGCATCAACTTCTGTGTGGACGGCAGTGTCCCAAGCTCGGACAGTCACCTGTTAGACCAACCATAAACCATGAACCGCCAAGGACATTAAGGCCAGCCTGAATGACAAGACGAGGGCGTTCAGAGATAACAGCCGTGATGAGGTGAGGAGTGCAGGGGGTACTCAAACTTAAAATTAAGGAAGCTAAGGACAGGAGAAAGCTGGAGAATAAACTCCAGCGAAACAACATGAGGGATGTGTGAAGTGGCATGAGAACCATCAACGGTTCTAGAAGTCTTGTGGCATGGGGCTGGAAGGCCGAGTGGACCGGGTCAATGAATAGAACCTATTTTTCCATAGGTTGGATACTGCGGCCCATCCCCAGCAAGTCTCTGCTGCTGGCTAACCAACGACTACCACTCTACCTTCCCCTACTCCTCCTCCTTACAGACCCCCTGTCTGCTCATCATCACCTCAATTCACACCCACCAACCCCACCCCTCCCCCCTGCTCTACATCATGTCCTCCACAACCCGAGGACCTCCCCCCTCCCCCAACTGACACCTCTACAGTGTCCTTCACGCCTGACCTGGTGAGAAGACATCTGACCAGACTCCACTCCGGCAAAGCTTCCGGCCACTGATGGTGTATTTCCCAGGGTGCTTAAAGCTTGTGCCCCACAGCTGTGTGGAGTACTCAGCCTTGTCCTGCCTCGTTCCTGTGCCAAAGACGCAGCGTCCTAGCGGCCCTCAGGAATACAAACCGGTGGCACTGACGTCCCACATCAGGAAGACCTTTGAGAGGCTAGTCCTGGAGCAGCTAAGGTCTATGGTCAAGGCCCTTCACCGATCCACTACCGTTTGCCTAGCAGCCCCGCCTGGGAGTTGAGGACAGCATCATATACCCCCTGAACAGAGTCTACACCCATCTGGACAAGCCGGCGAGCACTGTGAGAATTATGTTCTTTGATTTCTCCAGTGCTTTCAACACCATCTGTCCGGCTCTACTGGGTGAGAAGATGAGTGCGATGCAGGTGGATGCCCCCATCGTGTCCTGGATTGCTGATTACCTGACGGGCAGACCACAGTATGTACGCCTCCAGACCTGTGTGTCTGACAGGGTGGTCAGCAACACTTGCGCCCCTCAGGGGACTGTCCTCTCTCCCTTCCTCTTCACCCTCTTCGCTTCGGAATTCAACTATTGCAGTCCTGCCACCTTCAGAAGTTTTCCGATGACTCAATAGTTGAGCAATAGTTGGCTGCATTGAAAAGGGTGATGAGAGTGAATATACTGTAGGTCTGTGGTGGGCAACTTTTTCACTTGGAGTGAGCTCAACCATCTGCAGCTCAATGTGACAAAGACTAAGGAGCTAATGGTGGACCGGAGGAGGGCAAAAACACCTGTGACCCCCGTTTCCATCCAGGGGGTCCCTGTAGACACTTGTGGGGGAATATAAATACCTTGACGTGTACTTTAATAATAAGCTGGACTGGACTAGAAACACCGAGGCGGTTTACAAAAAGGGCCAAAGCCAAAGCAACTCTTGAAGTCCGCAGACAACAACAGACTAAGCAAATTGATCAGGAAGGCCGGTGACGTCGTAGGGGAGGAGCTGGACACTGAAGACCGTGGCAGGGAGGGAGATGCTGTACAGGCTTCAGTCCGTCTTGGACAATGTCTCAAACCTCTCTTCGATACACTGGCCAAGCCGAGGAGCTCCTTCAGCTGAACACTCCTCACCCAGATCCACCACAGAGCGCCACAGGAAATCATTCCTGCCTGTGGTCATCAATCTTTACAACGCCTCACTCCGAGAGTCAGACCCCCCCCCCCCTGTAATTCTGTCTCATTTATTCATTCTTTTGCATTCATCACTATATTTCTTCTGCATATATATTGTCAAAGTCTTGGCTTGATAAAGTTGTCATTGTAGTTTGTACAACCCATCAAAGGTTTCTGGATTTTGCTGAATTTTTCCCAAAAAACTGGTGGAAACGTGACCACTAGATCATTTTCCCCCTGCCTTTCTCTCAACTGGAGCTGACCTTATGTCCAGAGAACTCAACAATGCAGCACAGACTTCACATACTCCCCCCTCATCACACCACACAGTTTTAGCTTACTTTTTCTAAATAAAGGAGCACATTCCGTTGAGGGACATTCGTTTTTAAAAGATGCTTTTGTGCATGTGTGTATGCACCTATCATAGCGGCATGACACTTATCGCACAGTGCTGCCTGCATGGTGAGTTATGACCCATCCACACCTGGAGAGACTGCATGTTTACTAGAGGGTCCTTTTACACCTAATCCTGACACCCTCAACTCTCAGTAAAAAACATTTACTCAACACTGAGATTATGTATCCCATAAAATGGGCTCTGTGGGCTCAAACTGTGCTGGAACTGGGGCAGTGGTACTGCAAAAACTAACCCTAGTCTGTCAGTAAACAATAGAGTGGGAAGGCACACAATAGGAACCACAACATTTAGCCGTTAGATTCGGCCTCCCTGCATCGCACCAAAAGCTGTGGTGTGATTGGACAGTGGGATCGCAGCCTTTGGCAAAGCTGTATGTCTGACACAGCTCAAAGAAGAAGTGTTGACCATTAGTAGAAAAAGTTCTGGGTCAATCACTTCAGTGGAAGCAGTACTTTAGGGCTTTAAATGTCCTCTACATTTTGGCAGAGTTGTAGCTCATTATTGTGCTCAGACCACATGATCCAAACTTCCCACCATTGTCCTGTTCAGTGGGATTTCAATAGGCATTTCAGCAAACTAAAGACTAGGCACAAGATTAAAATACAAAAGGCTAATTCAACAAAGCGAGCTTCGATGTGAGCAATAAATAGCGAATCACCCGAGTTGAAAGCTCAGAATCGCACATCTAAACTTGCCCTCTGTTTATCAATAGGCACTTGGGCGCTGAGGTAAAAATACACATTTAGCCAACAGCGTCAGCCAACTTGAGACCCCTCCAAAAAGATTAGTGAGGGCAACAGGACCCTGAGAGATACCGGGCAGTGGAAAGTGAGAGTGGCAGCAGATTGAATTGCAGCAAGCAACAGCGAGGGCCAGGGGATGGAGGGGGACTTACAGTAAGAATACATTACCTCAGAATCAAAAACAGCGAAGAGGGGCAACAAGGAGAGAGAGAAAAGCACATCTAAAAGTAAGAAGACGGAGAAGACTGATAAAAGACCCACTCCGCTGCTGCTTGAGTCTGCGGCACTGACTGTTTCCCCCTTTCTCCGTTCAAATATTTTTTACTCATAATGACGCCGATTCCATCGTTCAAACCCCTCACATTTCTGTCTGGGCTGCTCTCAGTTTGTTCCCACCATCTCCCTGTCACACGATGACAGAGTGTGACTGCGGGATAGAGATGGAGGGAGACGCAGAGAGATTGCATTGTGGTTCGTGGTTATCTGATCATTAATCCTCACTGATCTGTATCAACCCTTGTCCCGCGGTTCCCTCTTCACTCCATCGGTCCATCAGACAAAGTGGCTTGCTGGTTGGTTGCGGGACGTCGAGGCTTTGTCTTTATTAACAGAAAGGCAGGTCTTACATCACCATCAATCATCTGCAAAGACACAGTGGATTTGAGCAAAGCGAAAAAGCGTCCCACCATTGCAGCCTCGACTGATTTCTGAGTGCTGGAGTGCGTTCTCTTTGGGAAACAGCTCCCTGATTAAACCCTGAAAGAGGGAGCAGCCCCACTCCTGCCGTTTCCAAATTCGGAAAAGCTGCTATTTTTAAACAAAAGCCACAAGAGTATTTTTAGCTCTGGCATTGTGTGCTTTTTAACGTGGCTGTTTTTGCATATGCTTTCACTCCACGGCACTTGAAGGCACCACAGACGCACGCGTCATCATTAAAAAGCTCCCCGCCACCCCAGCAGTGTCACGGTGAACTCAAGCCTTCTCCGTGATGTAGCGCTTTTCTATCACAGGCTGCAATAAAAGATATACACCATTAACTCGGCTGATTAAACGACCCTGTCTCGCACTTCCTCCACTGCGCAGTCCTGTGCTGCAAGGGCACTCCACATGTTCAGCAAGGATCTCTCATTAACCCACAGATCAAACTCCCCTGACTGAGCTCCACTTTAATGGACTCCTGCTGTTAACACAGGTTGTCTGAGACATGCAAAAAGGGATACATAATACTCAGGATGTTTGTTTAGCTCAGTTTTACATAATGAAGGAAAGAGCGCGCCTTACCAGGCAGAGCTTTCTAAAAGAAACATGGACTTAGACTAAAGACGCTGGATCATGACTGGATCTGTCAAAACTATGCAATATTTGTGTTTTTCAGCCAGATGTTCAGCATTAGGACACGTTTGCTGCCGACAGTGAAAATAAATAGAAATATTGACTGGGAGTTGTTCAGAAGATCCGAGATTCGATGCACTGATAAACCTGGTAACTGAAGGGTGACGGTAAGACCAGTTTAAGAGTTTAAAGTAAAGGAGATATGGATAAACGGTTATTATATCCCAGTAGCCAGTATAGGTATACGGTATGTGATATGATAGGCCCTAATGTAGTTCTCTTACACATAAAGAACCTCAACAACTAAGGTTGACTGACTCTTAAAGTTTCAAAAGCAAAATTCATTTGACAAAATCTAAGTTATCTTGCTACTTTTTTGTTTCCTCGATTTTTATGGATGCAAACACAGTGGTACAGCCATACCTGACTGCTCAAACAGTTGAGACCTTGGTCAGCTAAAGACAATGGAGACTGGGGATTTCATTCATTGCCGCAGACACACCTACAGAGCAACAGATTGCTTAGTTATGTCTGCAGGTTCCTGTTTCAATGACACAACACCAAACGGAAACTTATACAGATCCAATATTGAATGAGCGACTCTCTCTGTTCAATATAATCTTGTTAAAATATATTTGACGAGAGTTTATGAAGGAAAACGGCAAGCATTACCGGTACAGGCAATATCTGAGATACTTATATTTTTCCCATTTGTTTTAAAACAGGACCTTTTGGACTCCGGACAAAAAAAAAAAGGAAACATCAAAAGCAGCAGTGAGGATTAAACTGCTTAAAAAAAGCGGGAGAGCATGCAAAGGAAGAGAATAATACGTGAAAAGGAAAACAGATCTGTCGGTATTTTTGCTTTGATGCTAACTTCTAGTCTAGTGCGTGTTGTCTCAATCACAGGTGACAAAAGCCCTTAAAACCTGACAAGCCATAAGGATACCTGTGAAACACATTACACGGCTAAATATTAAAAGAACACTTGTGAGAGACAAAAAATTTGTATTCTGTTGATGCCCCAGCTTCCTCTCCCACTTGACTAGCTGTGATCCAACCGTTACATAAGTCTTTAATCCAGCTGTGTTACTTTTCCTCTTCCCTCCCACTGCTCTCTCCTTTTCCTCCTGCCACCGTAATCTCCATCCTAAAAAGCCTTCAATTTGTCTGCGTCTCACGTCAACAGACTCACAAGGCCTCAAACTGTCTCACATAACAATAACACACACACACATACATATATATATGTAAAAATGTGTGTATGTGTAGATATTTGCATATGAGCACTGGCAAGTGGGTAAAACTCAGCTCAAGTCACGTTTGCTTTGTCACCTACAGCCGCTGTCTCTCCACCAGGGGCCCCGTCACCCTGGGGTGCAGCAGACAGGAATAGACTGCCCTTAACCGTGTGTAGCAGCGAGATGAAATGTGGCGAGCGGTGATGCATCGGGATGCTTTCTGCCTTTCAACACCAGCCAGGGGGACTCAAAGAGCCGTGAAGTTGCTAGGAACCTTTTCTTGAGCCCTTGAGAATGTGAGGACCTGCTGGTACCTTTTCCGATCAAAGGGGGAGTTCGCTTTTAACCAGCTGATTCTGTGTGACGTCCCCACTGGTGCAACAGTTGGATATCATGGATAAAACTGTTACAGTTGATACTGGAGAATACAAGGATAGACGGGGCTGAATAAAGGAGATAGCAGAAGCCATGGACCAGATTTATGACAAACTGTTACCCCATGAGGCTGCTTCCAATATAAGCTTATAAAAATCAGAGCGTTCCTACTGTTATAATGGCATCAGTTACATTAGCCGTCAGCCACACATACCTGCATCCTTTAAATCCAGATCATGGCCTCATGCAGTTCTCACGGAGTATGAGGCAATACGGTATGAGGCATCATGCCATATCTATTATTATCATGAGAGAAAGGGCACTGAAGAGAGGGGAGTGGAGACAGTAGACATACCACACGTGAGCTGACCAACTGGTATGCAACAGCCACACAGGGGATGTGCTTTAAGCACAGCCTTGTAATTGCCCTTTTACGTTTCAGAAGATGCCACATTGGGCAGTTTCATAAATATGTGGATCTTGGGCTGGGCACTGTCTCTGGTCCCTTGGCTTTGCCTTTGCCTTTCCACCTTTCGTCCTATCAGCACCATCTGTGTCTCCTATCTGCATTGTGTTGGAATGAAACGAGTGTTTTCAATATCATACAATTGTTTGTCTTTATAAAAATGGTAATCTTCTTCGGTCTAGCGATACCACTACCAATCAGCTGCCCATTTTGGTGCCATCTGTTGTTTTTGAAGGAATGCACACCTCTCTGTTCAGTTAAAAAAAAGACACTCGGCGAGGATTAAACTGCAGATAGATACTTCCATTAAAGTATAGTGTTTTAGAAAACTTTAAAACAGGAATTTAATTTCATAAACTGTAAAAAGATTTAATTACATAAATAAAAAATATATATGAAAAACATATTTTCCACAGTACAGACGCAGTACACCCATATCAAACCAAAAAAGGAAAGCTTTTCAGCTGAAAAAAATAGCATCAAACTACTATTTACAGATAGTAGTACCAACTACTATGGTACTATGACGGACTTAGGCCAACTACTTTAAAACACTTTCAAGAGAAAAAGGGGCAAGAAAAAGTAGCAAGAAGAAAGGCCTCTATCCTCTCTTGTGAACTGAAGTGGCCTATCAGATATGCACCTTTAACAGGCTGAAGCAGATTTACCTATTTAGTGTTGCTGGGTTACATTCAGCCTTCTCTCTGTCTGAAAAGGCTTAGACTCCCTGCTTATCACATTCTAATCACCTGGCATGATCTGATGTTTGCTCTTCTATGTACTTTCATTAAGGCCGCAGCTGTTCAGAATAAGGCAGGGTTAACAAAGGGTGATAACCCAAGTAATAGAGGTCCAGATATCCTGTACACCATACATCCCTCAATTGGCAAATCAATATCTCGATGGTTTAAGTGATGACTTATACCGTGACTGATTAATACTGTCGCAGAGTGGGTTAGGATGCAGAGGGTAAGAAGTGAGGGGCGTGCTCAGTGACCCCCATCCGTTCCTCTCCTTCCCAGCCTCAATTGAAGATCTGATTTCCCCTGGTATTAGCTCTGCAGGAGCATCCATCAAGCGCCCTGCCACTCGCCTGCCGCTAACACACACATGTACACACTCATTTGCAGGAAACAAGCTAGATATCCACTCAGGGTGCACATTCTGCTGGTTATCTTCCCACCACCTGAGCCGGTTGTTGGGTCAGGTGAAGGCGTGACAGATGTTTGGACCCTTACAGGAGCTCAAAGGCTGTCACTGTTAGTCTCTCACAGTCACCCCCCTCCCCTCCCCTCCCTCCCCTCTAATTCAGCCTCCCACCAACCAGCTGCTTCCTGTCCTGCCTCATAATCAGAGGCTGCTGATGGTTGCAGCCCTGTCAGACCAAGCCAACTAGTCATACGGTTACAGCTCAAACTATTATTACGTGGACGTTTCCTGCTAAAAGTTCAACCTGATCACAGACTCATGACAGTGTTTGAGCTTTAGCTGCTACCCTGAGAATATGTCCTTATCTTTTAGGCCTGATTTGGATGTAAGCCTGGCGAGTACAACTGGGAACCCAAGGTGGTTTGGTGGTTCTGTTGTGGCTGACACAAACTCATCAGCTTAGTTAGTCTCGATTCTACACGGTCAACAGTCCCAACTGCATCTGTAGCCACTGGCACATTCTCCAGTCAGCGGGACAAAAAACAGAAAAACAACACTGAAAAGCCGACAGTCAGCCTCCTGCCAGAGCTTAACAAGTGACAAGTGTGCCAATGCAGATGAGCAACGAACTGGATTTGTCATCCTGTCCGTGTGCTTTCACGGCCTCTGTGCAAAGCCGGGAAAAACCAACATGCAACACAGGTTAGTGTTGAAAAGCGTGAGGAAAACAAAAAGAAGCTGCACGACATATTTCTTTGAGACACAGAGGTACAGTTGTGACAGTGTTGACAGACGGCGGGCCTTACGAATCTGCTGATGATATTCCGGAGCAGGGTGAAATCCATCCTTTCCTCTGCTCCGGTGGGGACTTAAACCGTGCGACAGCGACTCTCGGCTCTCCCTTGATCTTCGTAAACGCTACCTACTGTGGACCTTTCCACCAGCATCCATCGCTCACCGCCGCCGCTGCCGCCGTGTCTGGGATTTAGCGAGGAGCAGCGGTCTCTCTCAGTCACTCGGCTGCTCTGATTTTCGTGGCATCACTGGAAGAGCCACGCAGCCACCGAGCGAATACAACAACCTTCACTCACACGCCTCGGGCTACATTTCAAGATAGTTTTCGCGGCTTCAAACCTCCAAAAACTCCGGCTTGTCCTGGCTGTGAATTCCCTCCCTGTATCAAAAATAGTTTGTATCCTCGCAGGAGATTTTTTTTCACCCCCTTTTCCAGGACACCGTGTGCGTGTCGCTCTGTGGTAACGGCGGTGGCCCTAGATGTAGTGGTCTACAGCGCGCAACCGTCAGATGACTGCGCGGCGCATGCGCACCGAGGGTCTGGTCTATGTTTGAATCCTGCACAGAAAACTGTAGTCTGTCGCTCATGCAGACTGTTCAGAACACCAATTCTTTCAAGTGTATATCTATCTATCTATCTATCTATCTATCTATCTATCTATCTATCTAT